GACGTCCAACCCGAGCCCAAGCTCGACACAATGCTGGGGCTGGGAAGTGCAAGCTCCAACCCGAGCTCGAGCAGAACACCTCCAACCCGAGCTCGAGTACGACAAAATATCGGGTTTGGGAAGTGAGAGGGGCTGGAGGATAGGAGGCTGAAGAAACTCGCGAAACCTTAAAGCAGTTAAGGTTTTACCTGGTTAATAACATCCTTCCAATGATTGCTCAATTTGTACCCATCTTCTCGGTTGAAGTTATGTCTATGTTTATATATCTGGATGACTTCATGAACAAACCTTTGAAAGCAGCCCGAAGGTTTGCAGAGCACCTTGGTCTCGGAAAAAAACAATATGAGAGCCCACAGAGTTATAACAAAATATGTGATCTGATCCCATCCGTTAAGGATGTCATTCCTGACTTACAGTACCCTGGTGTCTACAAACTGAGTTGCATTTGTGGTGATATATTGGGGAAACGAAACGACATGTATCTGACCGCATTCGCGAGCATAAGTCAGATTTGAAACACAGTAAGACGAATTATTCTGCAGTTGCTGACCATTGTTATAACTCTATGGGCTCTCATGATATTGTTTTTTCCGAGACCAAGGTGCTCTGCAAACCTTCGGGCTACTATCAAAGGTTTGTTCATGAAGCCATCCAGATATATAAACATAGACATAACTTCAACCGAGAAGATGGGTACAAATTGAGCAATCATTGGAAGGATGTTATTAACCAGGTAAAACCTTAACTGCTTTATAGTTTGCCTCCGTATCCGCATAGCCAGTTTCTTCAGCCTCCTACCCTCTAGTCCAGGGGTCACCAAACTTTTTTGACAGTGGGCCTGATAACTGAAAGAATGACGAGCACAGGCCGCATAATCATTCTGTTCAATACTTGCAAGCCAGAACGAAAGCTCGGGGAAAAAAGACAAAAAACTAAGTTTAGCATTCCATGTTAATCATGGGTGAATGGCGTGCAATGCACAAAAAACAAAGACAACCAACATATTTATTTACTAAAAAGTTATCAAAGAAGGCGATGTTAGAAAAAAGATAGTTACATCAGACCTAGTGTGCACATATCCGAATCGCACAAACTAAGCAGCAAAAAAAGTTAGTGAGATTTGTGAAACTGACGTTTGGCTTTCAAGATATCATCAATGTTTGGTTTGGAATTGCTGCATCCAATCAAGAGAATTGCTTTCAAATGTTCATCAGTCAATCTCGTTCGATGTGTTGACTTCACATACTTCATTTTGAAAATGTTTGCCCACAGACATAAGTTGTTCCAAACACTGATGCCATACCAGCGGCAAATTTCTTCAGTTTCGGAAACTTAACATCAGGTAAGCAGTGGTAAAATTCAACAAGTTTTCCTTCTCTGTGCTTCTCTTTCAACAAGTCATTTGCTTGCAAATCAATGAGCTCCAACTGTAGTTCAACTGGCACATCATCAAGGTTACAATCAAACGAATTCTGGAACAGAAGAATGTCACTCTCAATTCTGTCAAGATCTGAAAATCTCTTTAAAAAATGCTTCTTCAAGTCACGAATAATCTTTTTCGGAAAATCGAGGTTGACATCTTCAGCGATTGTAGCGCAAAACTCTTTGAAACAGTGAAAATGAGAGAAGTTTTCTCCTTCCAGTTGTGCTTCAAACAATGACAGCTTTCTCCGAAATCCTTTGATGATTCTGTAGAGATCACAGACGAGGTTATCCTTTCCCTGAAGTTTCAAGTTCAGTTCATTCATGTGGGATGTGGTGTCGCCCAAAAATGACAACTTTGACAGCCAGATAGGATCTGACAGCTGTGGATCAGCTCTATCTTTTTCAGTGAGAAAAAAACATCTATTTCGTTTCGGAGCTTGTAAAAACGAAACAGGACTTTACCGCAGCTGCGCCACCTCACTGCTGTGTGATAAGGCAAGTCACAGAAATCAGAATCCATTTCTTCAAGAAAAGCCTGAAACTGACGGTGATTGAGTGCATGTCCCCGAATGAAGTTCACAGCAAAAACGACTGGTTTCAATACACAAGAAATATCTAAGTCTTTCCCACAGAGTGCTTGCTGATGTATGATGTAATGTATGAACAGAGCGCCCATAATTTACAAATCTTCCAACTGAGTCCTGATCTACTCCACCAGACCCTTCCTCAATCCAGCCATGTTTTTTCCTCCATCAACTGTAACACCTCGAAGCTGATTCCACTGAAGGTTATAGTCTTGTAAAGTTTTTTGCACTTCCATGAAAATGTCTTTTCCAGTTGTTGTTCCATGCATGCTGCAAACGGATGCCAACTCTTCCATTATCTGAAAGTCCAAATTGACACCACGAATGAACACGGGAAGTAGTGACGTACTCGAGAGACCAGTAGATTCATCCAGCGCCAGAGAATACCACAACAAGTCCCTAGCTTTCTCGCGTATCTGTAGCACTATGTTCTCTCCAAGTTCTTCTGTTCTCCGCACAACTGAACTTGCCGAAAGGCTTATACTTCCAAACAAATCGGCTTTCTCAGGACACAAGTCATTTGCTGCTTCCATCATACACTCTTTGACGGTTTTCCTCGTTCTGCCATCTTATGGATTATTTTGTAACTTGTACGAGTGACAGATTTATTTTCAGCAAACTTTCTCGTGAAGAGATTTCTTTGAGTTTCTAAACCACGTTTCATGGACTCATATTTCTCAGAGCGTAACTTTCCAGAAAACTTTGAATATGTTGATAGATGTTTTGTTTCATAGTGACGCCGAAGATTGTACTCTTTCAAAACGGCACCAATTTCGCTGCATATTACGCAACTAGATTTCTGGTCTTTTGTTTCCACAAAGAAGTACTTTACTCCCCATTCTTCATTGAAAACGCGACACTCGGCGTCCACTTTTATTTTCTTAGTAGCCATAATGAAGGGTGAAGAAAACGGGATCTGAAAATGACAAAGACATTGAATTGTTTCCTATTGAAACACAAGAAAAGCAGAGGATTCAGGGGTCACTGGTGAAGCTACGGCTCACCAAAGGTACATATAAAGTTTATAGGTACCTTTGGTAATAGAATATATCACATAATAAGGTTTACAAAATATATAAATAGGGTGGGTCTAAATAAACAGCCTAGAGACCAGCTCGATTAACACCTTGACCGGGGAATATTTCTGAGCTGGGGATAATATTTTCGTAATAACACGAGGCTTCTATGGCATTGTTATTCTATGTTTGTTACTTTATGACCTCTAATCACACTTGTAGTTCACTTACCTATCACTGTCAAACAAAGAAATCCTTGCTACCTACCTATAAAATGGATGACAGGCAAAAAGAAGTAAATATTTCTGGAGCGTCGGACCTGTGTTGACAGCCGGAAAATCTGGGGGCGGGAAAGATGCGTGTTTGTGTGTGTTGCCATGGAAACCATGGTAACGTGTTGCCATGACGTCGCCATGGAAACCATGGTAACGTCAGAGTGTAGGTGGAGCTACCACGAGCCAGGAAAGGACTTGGGATGGCGCGAAATAAGCAAACATTACAATAAACAAGAAAATCTAGATACAATAATTTAAAACTGAAAATAGTAAATATAATGCACATAGCAGTCAGGAGGTCTCCGCACGCGTGAAGATCTCCTAGTATTCTAAACATAATATTTAAATTGTATCACGTCTCATGTTCCATACGTTTTATCAACCAAATTCAAGTACCGTCGGCGGGTCTGATGGACTGACGTCGCGGGCCGGATGCGGCCCGCGGGCCGTAGTTTGGTGACCCCTGCTCTAGTCCCTCTCACTTCTCAGACGCGACATTTTGTCGTACTCGAGCTCAGGTTGGAGGTGTTGTGCTCGAGCTCGGGTTGGAGCTTTCACTTCCCAGCCCCGGCATTGTGTCGAGCTTGGGCTCGGGTTGGACGTCGCACTTCTCATTGTGTGGAGCTTGCACTCCGCCACCCCCCCTACCCCACACCCGCACCCCATCTATCTCTCCTCCCTGGCTCCTTCCCCCCTCTTACATATATATAGCCTCGTGTCACAAGCAGCCTCCTTTTTCCCATTTCAGCAATTTGTTTATTGCTGGGGTTGTTTCCACCTGATGACAGGCACTTGTGTTGCGCCCGAAACGTCATGATTTGATTTTTACCTACGTGACTTTACCGAAAGAACCAAAGAGTATAAAGTCACGTAGGTAAAGAAAATACAAAATAAAAGATAAATAAATTAAATCACGACGTTTCGATTGCAACACAAGCAATCATGATCAGGTGTGACAACCACAGCAAGACATTTTACTGAAGTGGGAGAGAAGCCGGAGTCAAGGGGGTTTTATACTGGGCATGGGGGAAGTGGGCGGGGCTGTACATGGGGGGAGTGGGCGGGGCTGTAGGTGCGCGAGGAGGGGGATAGTAGGGATAGACCGATTGCCGCCAAAACGGATGGTTGCACTCGCAATAAAATAGCCAAACTGCTGAGCGCTGAGGATGTAAAGAACTCGGTAAATTAGACTAGTATCCGGTAAATAAGATGGAACTATGAACTGTTAAATTTTACTAACTTCAAATCTAGAAAGTATTTGGCTGCTATAAATTTCCACGTGAGCAGCCACACTTTGTTAAGCTATCATTTGTGATAGCCAGTGCTATAGAGCTCCAGTGGGCTTTACCTGGTAAAATAAAAAAATAGTTTAGTTTATAGCTGTAAAATCTTGACTTAAAGCTTTCGTGACTGCAGGAATTCACATTCTTTGGGTACTACGACGTTTCGATCACAACACATCTTTCCTCCTTATGACGATCGCTTGTGTGATGACGATCGCTTGTTGTGATCGAAACGTAGTTTTTTGTTATTTTCTTTGAACCATCTACGTGACTTTACTGAAAGACCCAAAGAATATTGAGAGCTGTCTTTATATTTGTGGGGGAGCGGGTGGAAACTGAATCTAACTCAGAATCGATTCCTGTAGAGAAAAATATTACATTCGAATCCAAAAATCGTGGATTCGGTCATCTGTATCGAATGTGGAGAAGGTGAAACCGAGGAATCGATTCAGCCTTGATCCTTGCTGCCTCTCAGGCGCGGTAACGTCGTGCGGATGGGGGAGGGGGTACTCGGCGGCCCGCCGTTTCCGTGCAGGCCCCGCCCCCTTACCCTCACCTCGGAAGTGACGTCGGCACTGTACACACACGTGGAGCTAGCGCGCGGTACAGTGCGTGTTGGAGCTCGCGGTTGGGAACGGAGGAGCCGGGGTGTGAATAGGCCTCGTGTGGTTTGATTCTTAACGGAAGGCTCGTCAGCTCAGAGATTCAGCTGGGAACAGGGTTCACCAACTCAGAGGTATATCACCACATCTAGGGTTCATCGCCAGAGAGACACCGGTACGCGGTACTGTATATCAAAACCCTACGAACAACGTACAGAAACATTCATTGAATACATAGAGCCACTGAAGGCCTCATAATAGATACAAGGTATACCGCTATTGACGATAATACAGATTCCATTCCAACAACGCAGTGTTTATGGCCAAGGAGATGCGATAAGAGGCAGGGTGCAAGATCACGGGCCACTGGACACGTGAATGAGGCTGCGTGTTTGTGATTACAGAGCAACGGAATGGCCTCCACAATGAAGACGAAGTCGAGCCACCACAAGTCTGAAAACAGGTTTCGCGTAAGTGCAGCGGTGTTTCAACGGCTAATTTCATCTGGTTAAGTTGTACATTACAAATAAATTAATATGTATTCGATTACTTGCTTAACATTGCCCTATAACGGAAACATAGTGTGCAGTGCAACGCCTCTTATCCGAGAAAACAAATACGTTAATAACACTGTATGTGGGCTTGAGTTGGAAACTGCACTTCAGACAATACGGCCTGAAGAGAGAATAAAACATGTAAACTGTTTTGAGCAGTTTTTAAATAGACATGGATAGTTACCTCAGAGTAGCTGTTGAACAACAAACAATAATTTAAAGAGTATTACTAAATAAACTCGTATTAAAAGTATAGTAAAACTATTCCTGCACATGGTATGATAAAAAAACTTTATTTTTATTCCATGTGATGTGAGGACGCTATTCGTGTATTACCGTGACAATTACTCATCGACGTTGGTGTAAAACTGGCCGAATTTATATAAAATGGTGATACATTTACCCCCTTTTCTACCAAATGCTGGTGGCAGTCGCCTTTCCGTCATCTTGATTTCAATTGGATCAAGCCGGCGAGGCTCCCAATGGGGCTAAACAGTTGGCAAGACAAATGAGACCCAATATCTTCGTTACATATCAACCAGTACATGTTATCATTCGCGTGAAAAGCTATGCCCGTGATATTTAGTGAAAATGAGTCGATCCTGTTTCAAAGTTAATTCTCGCTTTTCTCCGCAGTTCCTGACCTTTGCAGAGCGTTTGGCGAATGTCAACATCGATGTGATCCACAGGATCGACCGCACGGGCAGCCTCTCTGAGGTGAGGCCTCTCATCCGGACAGCAGTGGCATTGTCTCTGTTCCAGTCATCACGTTTCCGCTTCTGAATCAGCTAGTATATGTATTTATACATACATGTAGAAAAGTTTTTTTGTCATTTTATTGATCCCTGGCACAATTTAGTGAACGTTAATACGTAACAGTCTGAAAAGCATCTGATTATAGGCACTATTTATCGCCGTTATCCCTAATAAGGTATAAATGAGTATTTGGATATTCTGGCTGGAAAAATAAAAATGGAGTCCTCACTGAACCATTATTTTCAGATTGTATAACTGTACTGTTTCTGTGATTCAGGAGGTGGAGACATACTTTTACGAAGGACTGCAAAAATGGAAGGATCTAAATGCCACAGAAAATTTTGGTATGCATTACATTAAACAGTAATTTTCGTGTAAGAAGTTTCAAAATTAATTATCACCTTGAAATGATCACAAATATTTTTCTTGAATTATTGTGTGACTATAGCAGGTAAGGTATACCCCATACTCTTTTGCAAAGTAACTTGACTTTTTTAATACCTGCCAATGTTCATGTATAAGTATGCATTGGTTGTATAATGTACGGTTTGTGTTCGCAGGTACATTTTTACGAGAGGTGAATGGCTTGTGCCAGTCATTCCCCCAGCTGGTACACCACCAAAATGCTGTTGTCCAGGCCCTCAAAGCACACCTACAAGTACCCAACAGCCTGGCCTTACAGCCACTGCTGGAGTAAGCCCACGCCGTACTTTTATCCTGTCACTATCTTTACTACCCGGCTTCGCCCGGGACTTGGATTCTTGTCTTGGATTAATACACGGCCTACACAGAGGGTTGGGGGGGAGGGATGCGTGACGTCAGCAGGCACACTTCGTAACGCTGCCGCATGCGGGTGACATGACATGTTATGTCACCGCTCGCCGTGCAAAATATATGCATTATTGTGCCCCCCCCCCCCAAAAAATACAAAAGTCTACTTTTATACTTTTGCATTGTGTACAGTCTGGAAGCGTCCCACATGCCAAATTTCAAGTTTGTTGCATGTCGGGAAGTATGCTAAACATTTTGAACCAACACATTCACAAATTTCCCTTTTATATATATTGATGAGCATTCACCGACTTGGATGTCAGAATTTTGGACAGAATTCGCAGTAAATGGCTCTAGGCCATTGATTGAGAGATTTTTTCAGCATTTTACATGGATTTTTTTGTACATGAGTGACCATGTAAACGAGTGCATTTTTACTTGTTTTCATTCCATTGAAATATTGAAACCACTTTAATATGATTTTTGAAAATATAATCGTGACAGTTGCCAGACAATCAGAATTTCCACTTGCACCTTTGTAGTTGTACAGGTTCCCTGAGCAATGTCTTCAGCGTGATGGTGCAGATTTTGTCTCTAACGGTGCACGCTTGTGTGTTTCTTCAACAGTCTGGTTGTGCAGCTGGCCCGGGACTTGCAGGCAGATTTCTACCCTCATTTTCCCGAGTTTTTTTCTATTGTGACGGGGCTATTGCAAACGCAGGACACTGACCAGCTGGAGTGGGCCTTTTGCTGCCTCGCCTACCTCTACAAGTACCTGTGGAAGCCCCTCATTCGGGACATCCAGAATGTCTACAGGTCTGCCCCTCAATTCTATATGGTCGTCAATAATATTACGGCCTTAAAGGAAATAAATAAAAAAATAATACTTAATGCTTCAGGCAGTGGCCCTTCATATAACATAGGTCAGAGAGAAGTTGTGAAAAATAGTGGGCAACTGTACTGTACACCATTGGTGCCTGCTAAGAATTACAGTTTAAGATTGTTTCCAGATAAGTCTTAGATTGACATGTACTTGCCCTTTCGTAATTATTGGGTAACAGGCAAACTCTTCAAAATGTATTTTGCACGAACTCATTTGTATGGAAAGTAATTCAAATGTTTCTGGCACATTGCTTCATGGGTAACCATGTTGCAGCGTGGAATCGTATTGAAGAGATCCATTGTTTTCTGACTGATTCATTTCTGGGCCTCATTATTTGATTTGACATCAATGAGGCATTCAGGTATAATGCTCTCAATTCCTAAAACTTGTCCGTATTTAATTTATCCTTTGCTCTTATACCATTACATTGGATAGCTGATAATTCTTATACCATTACATTGGAGAGCTGATAATTAGATAGCTGTGGTCGTAAACGGTAATCTATATAGCTTTATTTTCACTTTTTGTGTTTGTGCAGTATGTACAGTACTCTTCTGGCACACAAGAAGGAACACATCAAAAATTTTGCAGCCGAGAGCTTCGCCTTTCTGATGAGAAAGGTAAATGGTGTATTGCTAAATTGTGATTCTCATGGTTTTTTATATGGTGACCTCAGCTCATGGAGGAGGGAGCTGTTTTGTTACATACCCAAGTACATTTTTAGCCCTGAAATAAGCCGATTTTTACTGCACCGAGAGTCTTTCTTTAAACTTTATTATGACATTAGAAATCGCAATGGAATAATATTGAGTTTGGAAAGCCATACAGATAATTACTAAAAAGGGGATAAAGGTATGTATATATTTTCCATGCTGCTTTAGCAGCAATGGTGTTAAAAACACTACCTTTCCACTTGGTCGACAAAATAGGGTGCCATGATTGTGTAATGATTATATGATGAGCGATGCTTTTGCGTTTTTGTCGTAACCGATGCGATAAACAGGTTCCTGACCACAGCGCTCTCTTTGATTGGATGTTTACCGACCTGGAGCAAAACCCGGACAAGCGCGATGGGTTGGGTCGCCTGCTGTTTCAGATGTGCAGGGGGGTCCGCATGCAGTTCCACTCCTGCGCTGGCAGGGTGAGTCGCATCTGGTGTGCTTCCACTGCTAAGGAGGGGGGGGGGTTTGGGTATCACCCTGGCGTGTACGCACGCCTCTCATGTAAAGTGTACGATCATACCGCTGTAGTTCACATAAAACTCGCAACTTATGACTGTTTTATATATTTGACCAAAATATTCCTTGTTGGCGATGCATTCTCGTACATGCTGTTTGAACGTATGAGTATTACACGGCTTTGTATGTGTGTGTGTTGCTCATGAAGGCACATTTACACTACTGCCTACTGCATTCTAGATGGTGCTCTGCGTGGCATGACGTAACCATCACATGATATGAAGCAGCATGCCTGGAAATGGTGTGACTCTCGCTAGCTTGTGATCTCACATCCCAATGATGTTTAAAGTGCCTTCCTTTCCGACACATTTATATTTACGCGATCTAACTCAAAAACCTATTATGGATAATATTGGTCGCGAAAGCCTATGTGTTAAACTGCCCTCCTTAGCTCTCCCACATAGTTCAGTGAGGAAATCATTTGTAGGGACCACGCCCTTTTCTAGGTCCCAACATTCCCAAAATAAAAATTTGATCCTCCTCACATAATCACAGACAAGAAGCACTTAATCTTTTTGAAACTTTTCTTACGTCATGTTTTCTGTTATTTTTTACGTACTGTAAAAACAAAAACCACTTGGAGTCTGAAGACTTTTTCAGGAGGGTTCTGCACTGGGATATTTGGCCAACACCAATGCCATATATGTTTAGCTGTGGGTGGAAATGGAGCAAATTAAGCAGAGAACATACAAACCACACACAGAGAGGTGCCCAGTGTCAGGAATCAAACCCAGGTAATTATTCTTGCTGTGAGGCACAAGATTGTTGGTATTCATAAGGGAACGTATTGGACCACCGTTTGCATGCTTCAGGTGCTACCGATAATGCTGGAGAAGCTGGGACCCCGAACGAAGGTGGGGCCTCCTCTTCCCTGGGCGGATGTGAGCCACTCGCTGTGCCAGATGGTGCAGTGGGTAGGGGACCACATGCTCAAGGAGCACTGCCCGGTGGTTTGGGACTCCCTGCTGGTATGCCTTAACATAATCACTCGTTTATATAAGTTATCTCTCATTGCAAAAGGACACAAGTGCTTTTTTGGATCAGCGTATATTTCGTTATGTAATGGGTGTGATCAGATGTACATGATTATTGAGTGTGACATGTCAGTTGTATTACATAAGCACATTGATTTCATTTGATTCGCTCATCTACATAGGATGCTGTTGCAAAGCTAAGCCTAATGTTGGCTGGAGACGGTGATGCTGAAGGCTGGGAGCAGATGGAGAGGCTGCTGGTGGTCATTCTCACATTGCTCAAGCACGGGCGTGGAAAGAAGGTCACAGAACCGGAGAAGATCAGCCTCGTAAGTTGTAATCCATGTGCACCCCATAATACCACTGGACCTTTAATTTAAATCCAAACTATAAAACAAACTTCTTTTATTTGTGTTTATTTTTGGTTGCCTTTTTACCTAACCCCATAATTTCGGTAAGGCTTAAGTATTAGATATTGCGGTATTGGAATTTCGCAGTACCCCCCCCCCCCCCCACGGATATTCAAGGGTCTCCTTACTTGTTCCAGTACACGCACGAAGTTTGTGTTCATGTGTGTGAGATTAAAGGAGTTGTACAAATGTCAATCAACAGGTGCTGGTGAGGCTGTTGGAGGGATTCCAAGTGCCGCACGAGCGTGCATCCTCGCTGCTCAAGGTGGTGTCCACCCTCCTGCTGGCTGAGCACGCGTTTCTGCCCAGCCACGCCGTGGAGCAACTCCTCCGAGCAGTCAGTCCTTCTCCTTTGCGCGCACTTTTTTTTTCCACTACAGCTTGGCCGTGCGGGTATTTCACGTACCCGTAGTGATTTATGATATAATTACGAATTAATGCGCTTGGATTTCTGTTTTTTTTATAGCTTTGTGTGCGTTCTCTTTCAGGTGTTTGAAAGCAGCTGCAGCCAGGAGACTGTGATTAATTTCTGCCTGGAAATGTTTGACGTGCCAGATTTTGAGCAGGTACGTGTACGCTGCAGCCACGTTTTTAGGACAAGAGATTAGGATGTGGTGCCCTAAGATAAGGATTTTTGGGACAGCATCATTTCTGAGTTTTATATTTTGTATAGTTTGTCTAAACTTGGTTCGAAGCTTTCGTGACTGCAGGAATTGAGCTTTGTTTTTTTTGGGAAAGTCACGTATAAATAAGAAACAATAAAATAACATAATAGCGCACGACGTTTCGGTTGCAACACAAGCAGCCATCATCAGGTACAGAAGAGACAATGGGACATATTAGCATGAGAAGTCTTTATGTTGTCTTGTGTTGTCTGTGTGTTGTCTCTGCTTGTGTATCTGCCTTTGTGTCTGTTCTTGGATTTGTTTCTCTGCTGTCTCTGCCTGTGTGTAGGTCTTGGTGCTTCCGAATGTTTGCTGCCGTGCTCCACTTTGCTCTATGCATACCTCATGCTAAAATGTCCCATTGTCTCTCAGCCTTGCCTTCTCATGCTAATATGTCCCATTGTCTCTCAGTCTTGCCTTCTCTGCCTATTTAAGGCGACTTCACTGTGTGCTTGTACCTGTGCTGGTCCGCTCTACTTGAATGTCTGTGTGTGTGTGCCGTCTATATCTTAAATTTCATACTTAATTTGCAATTTAGCAATCTTTGAAATAACGTAATCAACCAGGCTATGCGTTAATTGTGTTTTGACCGACCGTCTGTGTTGCTTTATATGGTTTCCAAATTCTGCTAAACTCTGTCTGTTTGGTATGCTTCTCTCTCTGTGTCCCCTATTGTGTCGGTGTTAGTTCCCCCTACTTGTTTGTCTGTGTATACATCTGGGGTTGTGTGTTTTCCCTCTCTCGTAAATTTAGCTCCTCTGTACCTGATGATGGCTGCTTGTGTTGCAACCGAAACGTCGTATGCTATTATGTTATTTTATTATTTCTTATTTATACGTGACTACCAAAAAAAAACAAAGATTAATTTCTGCAGTCACGAACGCTTCGAACCAAGTTTAAACCGCCTCTACGGGGAGGTATAAGGTCTGTATCTTTGTGTCTGTCTTTGTGTTGTCTTGTGTTGTCTGTGTGTTATCTCTGCTTGTGTGTCTGCCTTTGTGTCTGTGCTTGGATTTGTTTCTCTGTGCTGTCTCTGCCTGTGTGTAGGTCTTGGTGCTTCCGAATGTTTGCTGCCGTGCTCCACTTTGCTCTATGCATACCTCATGCTAAAATGTCCCATTGTCTCTCAGCCTTGCCTTCTCATGCTAATGTGTCCCATTGTCTCTCAGCCTTGCCTTCTCTGCCTATTTGGGGCGACTTCACTGTGTGCTTGTACCTGTGCTGGTCCGCTCTACTTGAATGTCTGTGTGTGTGTGCCGTCTGTATCTTAAATTTCATACTTAACTTGCAATTTAGCAATCTTTGAAATAGAGTAATCAACCAGGCTATGCGTTGGTTGTGTTTTGACCGACCGTCTGTGTTGCTTTATATGGTTTCCAAATTCTGCTGAACTCTGTCTGTTTGGTGTGCTTCTCTCTCTGTGTCCCCTATTGTGTCGGTGTTGGTTCCCTCTACTTGAGTGTCTGTGTATACATCTGGGGTTGTGTGTTTCCCCTCTCTCTTAAATTTGGCTCTTCTGTACCTGATGATGGCTGCTTGTGTTGCAACCGAAACGTCGTGCGCTATTATGTTATTTTATTGTTTTTTATTTATACGTGACTTTACCGGAAACAAACAAAGATTATAGTTTGTCTGTTTAGCATTGCAGCTGAATTTTTCAATTTTGGAAGGTTATGAGTACAAATCCTGGTTAGGTTCACTTCGGTCCATCGGGCAGCCACCGTAGGTAAAAAGAGGACCCCTTTGAGAAGTCAAGAGTGGTTGTCCCATTGACTTGATAATTGTGTAGTAATGTTTCGATGCTCACGAAGCTGGAATACAAACTATGATTGAACAACATTGTTCTTTTGTATACTTTGAGAACATAATAACTTGTTACATACACTTTAATAAAAATATATCCTTTCCCAAACCTGATTTTAAGTGTACAGCAATCCCTCGCAAACTTCGGGGTTTAGGTTCCGGGCCCTATGGGAAATAGGGGGGGTTAGGGGAACCAGCTGTGGTCAGGCTCAATATCTGAACTAAGCTGCCTGTTTAGTCACTAAACACAAATTGAATACATTACACAATAACATAAGACGAGCATACATTAGATTTACTTTTTTCATACCTTGAATATTGATGATAGACGTCCATGATGATGACGATGATGACAATGACGATATGTCTGAACTTCTTTCGCACCGTACATAGCCAACCGTGCTAATCAGATGCTGGGGAAGGACGACAAACTAAATACAAAAACTTAACACGGTCACAATGAGATAATGGGTGAAAGGATGGTTAGAAGGAGGAGCTCAGCTCATCCTCCCCCTCTTTGGTTCATCAATGACAGATGAGTGGGCAGGCCAGGAGACAGGCACAGAAGCAGGCACAGACGAGGAGGCAGGCACAGTGACGGCCATCAGCAGTTATGGCTGCGCGGCATATAGGACACTTTTTCATTTTTAGAAGCACCACCAGCAACACTAGCAGCGTGGTCTATGTGCTGCGAGAATCGCAACAAAACAGAGGGGACAGTTGAAGAGCTACACAGCACCACGGGTGGCCCACGGGTGGTGCTGTGGCACGGAGGAGAACCGTGACCCAGCAAAATCTGTAAATGGGTGTTACCGACCTGCGGGTCATCAAAACGTCCAGGCCACTTTTGGTATATTGGTAAACAGGTAATAGTAAACCGTGTGTACATGAATTCCATGGTTGACAAGTCCGCGGTTAGCGAGGGATTGCTGTATAACACAGTGACAAAGTAAATTATGGCCTCATTTGTTGTACATAAAGCAACCATGGTGGATACACAAGTCATACTGATTCTGTTCCTTTCTCATTGTGCAGCTCTTTTTGCCTCAACTGCTGCAGTACCTGGAGTGTTCCTTCCTGAAGGGTCAGGAAGACCAATCAAATATGGCTGTGGGCCTCTTGGCCCATCTTGTGCTAAGGAAAGCCCCACCGCCCACTGATGGTTCCATGCCTTTTGAGAAATATCCTCTCCTCTTCTTGGGGAAACAGCGAAGGTGAAGCGATTTGCCTCATCCACACAGCACGATGACATCTTGCTTATGATACATTGTAAATGCATCATGTGGAAACATGAAAACTCCACTGCAGGAAAGTGTATCGATGCATGTTAGATATGTAAATCTTATTCTCCAATTCTGTTATCCTTGGACATTCGCTCCACATTAAGAGTTCTACCTCAGCAACATATTTCCAGTATTTGGTCCACGTTAGTAACAAGTCTTGTGAGTTTGTCATGCATTTATATATCAACGAGTCCATAATCTATCATTAGCCACAATCAAACCACTGCCGCATGAAGAAGGCTGCTCCAAAGCAAGTGGCACTTGGCACAGTTCCACGCTGCAAACATCTATGCAGCACCAGCACACAAACTGATTTAATGGTTCCATTTCCTCGTTGAATTAATTGCATAATAAACAGATGCAATTTGCATTATGTATAGCCCGGTTGTGATTGTTGCCATCAAGGCTCAATTGGTGAGTATCACGACAAGGCAGAACGGTAATTTACTTGAAAGGCCTCGTCCCTTGGATGCTGACAGGAGCGCCCTGAAGAAGGGAAAGAGTGCGGTGGAGGAGCAGGGGACATACTTGAATGTAGCGGAGTACCTGCTGGGGCTGCTGGAGATGCCAGGTGACGGCTGGGAGGAGCGGCTGCCTCTCCTCTGGGCCACTCTCCTTGTGCTTCCACATATTCGGTATCCCAATGAATGCATTCGGTGGCGCATGCAGAAATGTGAACATGTGTGCCCGTGCTCACCATTATGCTGGATGTGGGGTTGTATATGCGATGGAATGAGTCGGTGGTTGTGATTGTTATTGTTTCTGTTTGTTATTTATTGCATAATAAGTGTAACTGATACATACATCGGTTTAAACGTTTGTGTAATTCAACGGGAGTTGTGATGATAATACATGGAAATCCTGCACATGCCAATGTTTTATTGGTTGTTCTTGCTGTAAAAGAATGATAGCTTGGCATTTTATTCTGTGAAATTAACTTGCAGATTCTGCTGGAATGGAGGGGCAGTCTTTATTGTTGCACAGCCTGTTCTTGGCCATCGTCTTCATTAAGTGGTGTGGTGTTTTAATACTGGCATTATGATAACGAGAAAAGGCTCCAGGGAAGGTCATTGAAGTCACCATTTAGTGAGAAGTCTCGTAAGGTATGAGTATATTATATGTAATGTGTGCATTTAACTACCAATGCCCCTTTCTCTCACAGCCCACTTGAGAAGATGTTTGTCAATGACATCTCCGAGCTCATTGATAAAACAGTAGCTGTGGTCAGAAGCCAAGGCGAGCCAATATCAGGTGATATTTGTATAATATTGATTGCCAATAGCCATTCTAACATGTGAATATTATCCCAAGCATTGTTTTTTGTATGTTCTGTGTCTGTTAGTGCATTTTGTTCTGAGGCTCCCTGTGCTGTTAATGCTCTCCAAGAAGACTGATATATTTCTGCCTACTTTATTATATTTGTGAGTTATTTGATTGGATCACTTTGTCGTCATGACAAATCTAGCACTTCGGAAATAAAATTTCCCTCACCTTCATCTTTTTATGATTATTATAATCTGCTAAGGCCAAAGAAATTGTGATTTTTTTTCTGCCGTGTGTCTGCAAGGATTTGCTGTGGCGTTAAATAATGGAGAGGAAAGCTTAGATCGCTGCTGTTGCACAATTTTTCAATACTTTATGGCTTTTAGAAATATGGTCACATCACCTAGATTTATTTGTACAGGGGAAAGGAAAGTTCTTCTCTTTAGTAACGTAGATATCACCTCTGCCGTGTTGAGCCAATCTTCCCGAGCTGTTTGCGCTGCAGGAAATTGAATATTTATCTTTCATTTAACATTGATTAATATTTGCAATATTTTAGATTTTTCATGTGCTAATTTTTTATTTGTGTTTGTTCTGATGGCTTTACCTCATTGCTGTACTTTTGTTCGTTTTGCTTTTGCAATTTTGGTGACCCAGGGTCACCCTTGCAAATGAAACAAAACGAAACTTGAAACGTAAAACTTGATGAGCCCAGATACATTTCGAACATGGGCACCACAATACCTGGTGACGCGGCCTCATGAGATTGCATCATGAGGGACCTGTGTGATCTTGCCCTATGAAAGGCTGCAGAATTTGCCACTAACAATAGAGCAGAGCCCAGTCTTTGTTTTTGTGTTGATGGCCGTTACATCAAACCGATGATGACTGCCGGGCAAACCCAGAAAGATTGAACGTCAATGGGTTTGCGTATGACAACTAAATTTTGGCTGCACAATGGTTTTTGCACTTCGGATGTACATGCACTGATTCTTGGGTGCACATACCAATCAACATTGGGAGTTGGTATTTATACATGTAATGAAAATCGTCATTACATGTTATGTTACGCTGGTTCACTTGGATTTATTGCGCAGTTTAAGAGAATCTCGTGTTTCTGATTTTCTTATTCGTGACCCCATCCCGATAACACTGTCATTTTTACTTTTGTTGTAATGTCGACAGCTGTATTGGGCCAGTATTTGTTTTTAATACTTCTTCCAAATGCCTTGCGCATGTTTAAATTCCATGTTTGTTGTATGCATACCATCACTGCCCTCGTGTTGGTGCTGACAGCTTTTCAAATACACCTTCTGGAGATACGCCGGCTTCTTAGTGTGATATTCACCCACGCTGTGGGGGCATTCAAGTAACCGATTGCTCTCTTACGTTTCTTTCGGGCCGCGTGCAGGGCTTTTGCTGTTTGTGCTGAGGCAGGCTGTCTCGTCGCTGCTCAGCCTGACGGAGGACGTGGATGTGCTTGCTGTCTTGCCTTGCCCACTGGTCATCACGCTGGTGCAGTAAGAAACTCACTCTGTTCACCAGGACAACTCTGCTCTTTGCTTATTGTGGCGTGGTGGTATAATGGTTAGCACGTTTGTATTGAAAATCAGAGGTCACCAGTTGTCCACCCCGCAGAAAGTGTGTAACTCTTTGATTGAGTCTAATTATGAATGAGTGTGTAACTCTATCAATGGGTGTGTAACCATGAATGAGTGTGTAACTCTATAAATGGGTGTGTGACTATAAATGGGTGTGTAACGCTATGAATGTGTGTGTGGCTCTATGAATGGGTGTGTAACTTTGAATGGGTGTTTAACTCCGTGGATCTGCTCTCCAGGCGTTTCCCCAGCGAGCTGTCCGTGCTGCTGCTGGCCGACCTGTGCTACACGAGGCTGGCGCTGACAGGGCAGCACCACCTGCTCTCAGCACAGCATCTGCTGGAGATATTTCCTCCGCTTGAGAAAAATCTCTCCTCCTCCTGTGCAAGGGTACCTTAATCTGTTTCTAGAAATGAAGGAAAAACACGTCTTGTGTAGCTGAATCAATGCAGGGCACGCCTCTAACAGAGCATTGGTTTAAATAAGCAGAGCACTGCTGATGAGATACTGAATATCGCTTGAATTAAACCAATGTTGCTGAAAACGGCCACTCCTCGGAGGCCTTGTGGCTGGTGCGATCTGGGAAAGAGGCGTCATGTCCATTTATTGTGTTGCTCATCGCGAAGGCAAGGGAACAATGGTAATGGGGCTCTTGTGACATACAAATCTAATTTAGATCACATGTCTTCCTTATCCAAAATGTTGCTATAGCCTAGCTTATGGTCAAATACCTCCTTTACACAGAAACTAGCTATTGCCAAAGTACGTGTTTAAATCCTTAAGCATTTATATAAAATATATTAAATTATGTTTACCTTTCAATAATGACATTGTTTTGTGGTAATTTACATATACAATGGATATTTGCAAATGATCTTTGCTGCAATTATATTTGTATTTGTCTCTTCTCATAGGTGCGTCTGCTGACCCTAAGAATACTAAATAATTTTGAAGTAAATCTTCACAAGGTTGATGAGGTAAAATTCCCTACTTCAACATTTAATTATAACATCGGTGGTTAGCGTGGTTGGAATATTTATCCAATGAACTTAGGAGTGATTGACCCAAAAATGCCTTATTTATGGGAAGATGCAAGATGTTTGTATTTAAGATGTTTGTAATTAAACCACAGTCCTGCTTAGGGTGTCCAGTCAAACCCCGCACGACCTGGTGCCCGCCGATTAGAGACTGCACATGGAGAGGGAGTGTGATCTCCTCTTTAGCTTCAAGATAACGAGCAACCCCACACTTCCTTTGGACGTGACCCTCCATCTGCCCTTCCCAGCCAGTCGGCCAGGAGCACTTGTACAGTAGAACCCCTCTTAACGATGGTAATTGGTTCCACGAAACCGGTCGTTAAGCGATTTGGTTATTAAGCGAGTATAGGAAATACACGTTAAAGCCTTAATTCGTTCCGATAGGATCTAAGGGTTACCCTTCACCCAAAAAACGTACTTTGTAATATTTAAACAGTGGATATTACTACATGAAGATACTAACGTTATGAACAAAAAACATTAAAATGAACATTGTTACTTAATGCATTAATAATGACTATACCTACAAAGCCCGTCGTTACCAGGGGAATGGTCGGTATGCGAACACATTGGGCTCTTTGGAGGCCCGTCGTTAAACGATTAGTCGTTAACAGGGGTGGTTGTTAAGAGGGGTTCTACTGTATTCTTATGTAGAACCTACTCTACGCCTCACTCAAATATTCACATCAAGCCTATACATCATCAGCCATTTCATGTTTTGAGATTGGCCCTGCAAAGTAATGACTGAAATGTATATATACACATTGTTAGCTTTTGTAGGAAATAAGACAAATATAGTGCTGCAGAGCACACCGTGAAAGAGTTTGAGAATATAATCACACACTTGTGTTGTTTTTGGGAGAGAATCAAAGCAGTGGCTAGTGTGCCTGCAACACACCAGCCATTCTATATACAACATACACACTTTAAATTTTGATTTAAAGCTTTCGTGACTGCAGTAATTCATATTCTTAGTTTTTTCGGTAAAGTCACGTTGAAGAGAAACAACAAAATAACAAAATATATATAAAACAATAAAAAATTCTCACGACGTTTCGACCATAACTCACACCTCATGATGACCGTTTGAGTTATGGTCGAAACGTCGTGAGAATTTTTTATTGTTTTATATATATTTTGTTATTTTGTTGTTTCTCTTCAACGTGACTTTACCGAAAAAACTAAGAATATAACATACACACTTGTTCAGAATTAACAAATAGTGGCGGTAAGTAGATTTAACTTTTATAACCACTCAATGCATTCGTCAATAACGCTGCCTTCCGGAAAAATATAATAAGGGACCTTTCGGGCAATGGCCCTTCTTCAAAGGACCTGAGAGGCCAGAGAAATGGAGTGAATAGCTCCAGAGAGATGGAGTGAATAGTTCCGTCTCTCCATTCCATGTCTCTGGCCTCCCTATCTATGCTCTGAAGGAGGGCTATTGTCCGAAAGTCACCTATTATATTTTTCCATTTTAAGGCATTATTTGTGTCTGTGCACCACTGCCAAACAGCATCACCAAATAATCTGCATACTTTTACAAAGCGTCCTCTTTTGTCAAGTCTTGTACGGAGGTGAAATCGACGCTGATGTTTGTGTTGCGATGTGGTGGGGGTAGGAGGCGTCGAAGCAGACAAGCGTGTTTGAGATCTGCCTGCGAGCAGAGCTGGTGGAGCCCACGTTGCCGGAATACCGTGAGAAGCTGCTGCATATGCGCAAGCTCCGCTACGACCTGCTGTCAGACTGCATCCCGGAGGGACCCTACCAACAGGTACGGCGGCCAAGCCGTTCTCTCGGCTTAGGCGGTCGTGTATACACACCGGCGCTTCTCACCTGATTGGGGAAGGAGGGGGGATGTGGAAGCCTTTCGGGATGTGAGGGGGGGGGGAAGCAGGCTGTGGCGTGAATCACGTGCAGATATTTGAAATGTGCGCGAAGGATTGCGCAAGCACCATCTTCTGCTGTAAATATCACTGTCAGTGAACGCGTTGATTCGTGTGCAGACCGCACGGCGGCACTTACAGTGGGGCAGGCGGCGGGCATTTTTGTTGGTGTCTGCGTAATTTTCATAAATGTGTACCTTTCTTGCTCAGCAATTTAGTGATGAAAGGCCAATGTGTTTCCTCGCTAAAGTGTGTGAAATGGTTTCACATCTCCCTTTACGACCCTGAGCCACTGGTGTAAAGTTCACATTTCTATGGCAGGGGGACCATTCTACAGAACCAGCACTGTTTACTTCCCTCTTTAACATGGAGCCAATTGAGGGATGGTCACATGCTCTGACCATCTTTCCAAATCATCATCCGGTCTGCTTAACATTGCTCAGGAATTTGTACTTAGATTTTTAAAATAGTTTTTGTGGAAATTGCACTCTTGAGTTACAAACCCTTAAAAAGGTGTGTTTTTGTTTTTAAACTAGCCGCCCCCCCTCCTTTTCTAATATAGTATTATAGAGGATAGTGTATCCCGCACATATGCACGGGATATGTGGCAGGGTGGAGGGTGGGTAGGGGGAGGCGCGGTGTCCGTACGATGCGCGAACAGGCACAGCACAGAGGGATACGGGTGACATCGCCTCACATGTGCACTTAGCCTTGTGCCAGGAATCCAGCCAGGAAAACTTTGTTTAGAATAGTGTGTTTATCATTGCATTTTAGTTCGCGTGAATGAGATTATCACAGACAATTTGCTGAAACGTTTCACTTACTGGTATTCAGTGTGGTATGGTTATTTTATGAGGTTATATGTGTGTTATAGGCAGAGCTGAGGCATGTAAAATATATTAGCAGAGTTATATTTCACGTATTTGACATGTCGCCATGCTGTGTGACGAATGCTTTGTTCTGTTTTCAGGTGGCGTTGCGGTATTTGATTGGGATTCTGTACATTAACTTCAGCATGCTCTGGGATCCAGCTGTGGAACTCATCAGGTAATTACCACTGCACATAATCAAAGATAATGTGTGTTTTTTGTGTTGCAAATATCAGCAGTGAAATAAAATTGGTAAACACGTGAAGAGTTGGTCATATTCTGCAAGTTACATCCACATCAGTGGTGAAATAGAGCTATTGTTCCATTCTTAAAACAGTAAACTGCAAGCCACTTGGCCTAATTGCTACAACCTCTACCGTAGCCCTATCGCTAAAATTGTGTATGCTTCTGTTGGCACAAATAAGACTTTGGTCACAGAAATATAATGTTGTGGCTCTGACATAGTCAAAATCCTCCTCTCTATCCTCGACGGTTAAGTTCTTGAAAACGCTCCCAAGTGCAGAATTCGCCAATGCAGAAACTTTGTTCCTATGGGAAAAATGTGGTTATGTTCCTGGTACGTGTGAACATAGGGGTAAATGGTTCATAACAATGACTATAATAAATAAATAATGCATTATAAGACTGAGGACTGAGCGGGCAGCAGAGAGTATGTGCCTAATCTTCACAGACAGTTTCCAATGTAACAACATTCTGTGCGTGCCTGAGGGTGGTCTGCCACTACGTACATTCACGTAATACGGGAATCCAGCGGGTCGCGAATAGAGAATTACAGTTAAACCTTGGATTGCGAGCATAATTCGTTCCGGAAACGTATTTGTAATCCAAAGCACTCGTATATCAAAGCAATCGTATATCATTATGAGACCTCCTTTGCCAGAAACAAGATATAGGAATAGGTTTTACCCTTTTAACTGGCACAAAAACTGACACCTTTATTCAAGGCATCATGTTTGCAATGACCACAACACAAGCAGTCAAAATGCAAACAAAAAAGACAACTCTGATAATAATATGCACTGTCCTTGAATTTGATTGGTCCACACCCGAGACAGCTTTTCTTAGAGCCTAGTCTCCATTGGTGTTGGACCAGAAGACGCCAAAAGGCGTACAACTCAAAAACAGCGCACTATCAGAGTATTGAGGGCTCGGGGTGAGCATTAACATTATGAGACCTCCTTTGCCAGAAAAAAGATATAGGAATAGGTTTTACCCTTTTAACTGGCACAAAAACTGACACCTTTATTCAAGGCATCATGTTTGCAATGACCACAACACAAGCAGTCAAAATGCAAACAAAAAAGACAACTCTACTCTTTGGTTCTTTCGGGAAAGTCACGTGAATCGTATATCAGTTGTGATCACGTGACGCTTGGCAGACAAAGCGTATACGTAGTACTCGTATTGCAAGACCTCGCTCGTTTATAAAATTAATATTTATTTAAAAAATGTCCTCGTATTGCAAAACACTCGCAGACCAAGTTACTCGCAATCCAAGGTTTTACTGTAGTTTTCATTTAGTAACTCGCGAATATGCAAAACTCGCTAATCCAGAACCAACGCTTAGCGAGGGTTTACTGTATTTAAAAATGGTAATAGAGTATTAGTAGATGTCTATTTTCTTGAGTTACTTTTCTGAATTTTTTTCCAATCTCACCATTTCTATATATTTGTTATTGTTGTGGTGTAAAGAGTGGTTATTTTGTTTGGCAGTTCGCATGCTCGGGAAATGAAAAGCAAGGCATTTTGGGAGGTATTTGAGGAGCAGCTGGAACTTGCAGCCTCTCAGAATGGTACGGCTTGCAAGGGACCAGTGGCATTGCCCAGCACATGCTGCACCACTTATACTCTACATGCACAAATCTATCCACATTCATGGCAAGCAGCCTCTTCCGTGGTCTGTACAATGTACACCCTGGCACACACTGTGCACTGCATACCGTGCTGCTAACATGCACATTGAGCTACTCTTTGGTTCTTTCGGGAAAGTCACGTAGAAAGAAAATCAATTAAATAATAGATTTACGATGTTTAGTTTACGTGACGACGACTGCTTGTGTTGCAATCGAAACGTCGTAATCTATTATTTAATTTAAAAAATTCTACTTTACTGAAAGAACCAAAGCGTAATTCCTGCAGTAACGAAAGCTTCAAATCAAGTTTGCACATTGAACTGTTTTTAAGGTGTCCATATTTCTCCCAACCCTGTCATTGTTCACGCTTAAATTATTTACAGTCCGTGGGATCGTTTTAAAAGCAACATATCTGCCCTTGGTTCCATTCCTGCCACTTCCAAGCTAGCGCGTTCTATCTTATGCACGTGCCGCCTACTTTAGTGCCGTCTATGATCATTTTCATGGTCGTTAAAGTCCAGCCATTTCTTTATATTTACAATAAACATCCACATAACCCCGTATCTTAATGAGTGAATTTTATGGTTTGTTTTTTGAGGTGACGAATTAAGCCATGTGTACAGTGTAAACACGATGTATTTTCGTAATATTTCCTAACAGTTTCTGAATATCATTTTCATGCACTATCTGAACATCTGCTTCAATAAAAGTGTAATGTTATTTGAGTTATGTTTTTTTTAACACATGTTTTTGCAACCAATATTATTGATAACAGATGTTTTTGAGTTAGGCTCTAGAAATTAACTGGCCAAATTTTTCTGTCGTGAAGCCCTCCCCCAACCAGTGGAGCCAAATAAATGATAATTTGTACGTATGTCATCCTAGTTCTTGAGCAATGTTATGCTTTACATATCAATTATTCAATTGATGATGTGAACGGACAAATGCCCCTTCATGTGCTGTGGATTGTGCTGTGAAGAAGGGCCATTGCCTGAAGTGTTGTCTATTCACTGTTTCCTTGTAAAGGCCACTGTTGCTCACAAATGCGTACCACTGTTGTCATTTGCGCTTGTGCACAACGCAGCAATACCAAATAACATTGTCAATTATGTGTTGTGTTTTTTTCCACCCCAAACATCCTCAGAGAGAATATTACGCGAAAGTCTGAACAATGATTATGAAACAGAGGATGTAGCTGTTGGACCAAACGGAGCTTCTGGCAGCATTGAACGTCTGTGCTGGCAGCAGAAGCTGGCGCTCACAGTGTCCCCCGAGCGGCAAGATCATGTGAACTTCCGCCTGCATCTCTGGAAGGCCATGGCTGATTTTCCGGAGAGGGTGGAGCCACATTCTCGAGATCTCTCGCCTTTGCTACTCCGCTTTATCAGGTTGGTGCTACTGTGGGAAGCCATGCGCTAACATCTGTATTTTTTTTAACAGTTGCTGAGCACAGGCCCAAAGGCCCCCAAACACTGTTAAAGTTGTAATGGGTAACGGTGAATATATTTCTTGAATTGATAAAGTTAGGTTGTTAAATGAGCTTGGAAAAGAGAACTGGAGGGGTATGAGATGAAACAGTCTGGTAGACAGATTCCTCAATGTGCGTAGAGGAATCAAGAAGAAAGTTGAATGGAACAGTAGTCATGGTTGGGAGTAATAGTGATAGAAGAGTGATAAGGAAGTGACTGACTGCCAGTGAGCAAGTAACTGGATTTGATTAGTCCTACCTTATAAATCGACCTGAACTCCCAAATACGTGGCCCATTGCTCATGCCATTTGTGACCAGAACGTTCTATGACCTGGTTATATTGGCTATATTCCACGTAGGCGCGAAAGGAGGCAAACTAGTTTTAAGTGATGAAAAATCTCGTGAGTAGGGGTCACAATAAGGCAGGCTGATGGGTGAATTTATTGAGGCCTGCTGTTCAAAAACTGAAGAGTGCCCTTTCTCTCCACTCTTGTGCACCACCTGTTGATGTTTTATGGATTGGGTTACAATTTCTATAGCAAACATATGTACGGGCTGAAATAAATTATTGTGAGTGTACACAGTGATGGTAGCGTTAACTAACAGAGCATTACAGTCGTAATAATCATGGTTAACTATTGAGGCTCTTTGAGCCAGACTAAGGTGGCACCCTTGGAATTTAAAGGAGTTAATTTATCAGCCTAAAGGATGTTCCCTGGTCCAGTAGTAAATCCGAATGCTCATAGAGCCAGCTTTAGACAGACTAAAGATGTTAGGGTTCATTATCAGCTCTCAATACCCAGAGAGCTAACGTTCGGATATGTTATTCTGGTTATGATTCTATGTATTTTTTTGCATTTTTGTTTATTTTTCTGCTCTTTGAACACCCATCTTCATGTTGGTCCAAAATAAAATCGGGGGTCTACTATTTTTTGCCAGCTAAAATGGCAGCATCCTTCTTTAAGTCTTTCCAATGTTGACACCTTCTTTGCCTGATGCATGTAGCTATATATATTTGTTTGTTTCAATGCAAATGTAGTGACATCAGGGATGTCACTGTATGGTGCCGGCCGGGAGGGCCGTGACATGCGATGTACTTGCGTCGCGGATAGCACCGTGTGGGTTGCTGTGTGAGGCAGGCTCTAGCACAGCACGGTGTCCGATGCACCGTCAGCGGGGCTTGGTAAGTGCTGGGATAGCGCGGGCATCACGCATAGCACGTAGTGCGGGCTCCCACAAGGGGGAGCGGGAGACTGTCAGCCCAGAGACAGGGTTGCCCCAGGCCATGGCACTCTGGTTGACCCCATAGACACGTGTCCAGGGAGAGCTCTTGAGAGGGATCGAGAGGGAGCTGGAATGCTCGCGAAGGTGGGCGGGGCTGAGGGCGGAGCCGGCCCCGACCCAGGAGGATATAAGGTGGGTCCCTGAGAGGGACCGTGGTCACTTTGTTCTACAAGCTGGAAGCTCTACGTCCTATGTCCGAAGAGACATCAACACGTGGCCGGGGACCCGAGTGAGGGTCCGACCCTTCGTCGCTTTAACCCCTATGTATAGTGTAGTTAGCTGGGTGGTCATTACCCCCGGCTGTATCTACAGTGAGGGAAAAAAAGTATTTGATCCCCTGCTGATTTTGTACGTTTGCCCAATGACAAAGAAATGATCAGTCTATAATTTTAATGGTAGGTTTATTTGAACGGTGAGACAGAATAACAACAACAAAATCCAGAAAAACGCATGTCAAAAATGTTATGAATTTATTTGCATTTTAATGAGGGAAATAAGTATTTGACCCCCTCTCAATCAGAAAGATTTCTGGCTCCCAGGTGTCTTTTATACAGGTAACGAGCTGAGATTAGGAGCACACTCTTAAAGGGAGTGCTCCTAATCTCAGCTTGTTACCTGTATAAAAGACACCTGTTCACAGAAGCAATCAATCAGATTCCAAACTCTTCACCATGGCCAAGACCAAAGAGCTCTCCAAGGATCTGAGGGACAAAATTGTAGACCTACACAATGCTGGAATGGGCTACAAGACCATTGCCAAGCAGCTTGGTGAGACGGTGACAACAGTTGGTGCGATTATTCGCAAATGGAAGAAACACAAAAGAACTGTCAATCGCCCTCGTGGAGTTGCAATGATCATGATAATTGTGAGGAATCAGCCCAGAACTACACGGGAGGATCTTGTCAATGATCTCAAGGCAGCTGAGACCATAGTCACCAAGAAAACAATTGGTAACACACTACGCCGTGAAGGACTGAAATCCTGCAGCGCCCGCAAGGTCCCCCTGCTCAAGAAAGCACATATACATGCCCGTCTGAAGTTTGTCAATGAACATCTGAATGATTCAGAGGACAACTGGGTGAAAATGTTGTGGTCAGATGAGACCAAAATGGAGCTCTTAGGCATCAACTAAACTCGCCGTGTTTGGATGAGGAGGAATGCTGCCTATGACCCCAAGAACACCATCCCCACGTCAAACATGGAGGTGGAAACATGCTTTGGGGGTGTTTTTCTGCTAAAGAGACAAGACAACTTCACTGCATCAAAGGGACGATGGACGGGACGGGGCCATGTACCGTCAAATCTTGGGTGAGAACCTCCTTCCCTCAGCCAGGGCATTGAAAATGGGTCGTGGATGGGTATTCCAGCATGACAATGACCCAAAACACATGGCCAAGGCAACAAAGGAGTGGCTCACGAAGAAGCACATTAAGGTCCTGGAGTGGCCTAGCCAGTCTCCAAACCTTAATCCCATAAAAAATATGTGGAGGGAGCTGAAGGTTCGAGTTGCCAAACGTCAGCCTCGAAACCTTAATGACTTGGAGAAGATCTGCAAAGAGGAGTGGGACAAAATCCCTCCTGAGATGTGTGCAAACCTGGTGACCAACTACAAGAAACGTCTGACCTCTGTGATTGCCAACAAGGGTTTTGCCACCAAGTACTAAGTCATGTTTTACAGAGGGGTCAAATACTTATTTCCCTCATTAAAATGCAAATCAATTTATAAAATTTTTGACATGCATTTTTCTGGATTGTGTTGTTGTTATTCTGTTTCTCACTGTTCAAATAAACCTACCATTAAAATTATAGACTGATCATTTCTTTGTCAGTGGGCAAATGTACAAAATCAGCAGGGGATCAAATACTGTTTTCCCTCACTGTAGTTAAGGGGCGGTATTACCCCTTTGTATATACGTGTTACAATAAATGTGTTGCCTCTGAAGAATAACGTCTGCGACTCAGTTGGACTCACTACACAAGTGTCCAGGTTCAACATGTGCCGTATGTATCCTAGCTAGGCGCGTCCATCCTCTTCATATTTTCTCAATTGTGGGCCTAATTTTTTTTGTGATGTCATTTTTGCTACGTTATTATGCTTTGGTAGCAGCAAAGGCATTTTTTTGTGTTTTCTAATTTACATTGATGGGACGTAATGTGTGGCGTGCCCACGCAGCCAGGAATACTTCCCAGCAGATCTCCTCGTAGCTCCCACCGAAAATCTGCGCAAGAAGGGCTGTGCGAGTACCCCGACGGAGGAGGAGTCGGCAGAAACATCTGCCGCGTGGAAGGGCGAGAGCGATGATGAGGAGGAGGATGAAAAGGATGAAGAGGCTCAACAAGTGCAGCAGAAGAGGAAGTCTTTCAGAAAAAAGCCAAGGCGTGCGGCTGTCAGGTGACCACGTGTTCTATTCAGTGAGGGAGAACTTGGGTCATCCTGTTTCTTCAGCTCACCATTCGAATAGTTTATCTTGACAATGAGCTTGGTTAGGAATGGATGGGATCTCCTTCGGTGACCTCAGTCGGGCTTTTTTTTAATCATCTGTAGTAGAGTGGCATCGTGTTATTGTGGTCAAAGTACGCTTAGAAGAATACCCTTATATAATTCGACAACCGAGGGTTCTTACTCTCAGCCAGTGGCGTAAATACCAAACGCCTATGATGCGGGATAATTTATACTCAGAACATTCACTGTTGACTTCTCACTGGTGGTGCTTTGTTTATCGACTTCCCCAAGGGAGGAAGTGCTGGGTTGAACCGTAACCATAACTTGCGGCTTGTCATTGAGTCGCATGATCTTCCGCATTTGAAGTTGGAGATCGTGCACGTTCACTCTCACTCGCCTTGGCAGCGGTGTGAAAATAAAGCAAAAATTCAAGTTATGAAAGCTAAAGTTTAACTTAAGGAGTAGAGAGATTCAATGGAATATCTAAACTGTCTAAAATCCGTTTCCAAGTAGTTCATGGACACTGGCATGCAGTGCTCATTAAACAAGTAGAAAATTGTCTTGTCTGGTGTCTCCTAGAGAGCTGGTGGCCCATCTCAAAGTATTTTCCAAGTTCAGCAATCCGAGGGCCCTCTACCTGGAGTCCAAGCTTCGTGATCTTTACTACCAGGTGGGTTTTCTCCTCATCCTCTGTAGAAATCACACGTTACTTTTTAAATCACTCAAGTGAAAATTGATCCTTATAATGATAAAAGTGGCTTCATACTCATGTTCACACGCAAATAAGTAGACCAAATTCCCTCTTTTTGCACGAACTTGCTATCCGCAATTTTGGCTATCCACGAATCGCATCTGGAACTTTACACGACTGCATCGAGAGAGAGAGAAAGAAGATGATGTGAGAAAGTGATGAGAGAGAATGTGATGAGAGATAAAGTGCTACGAGAGAAAATTATAAGATAAAGTGATGAGAGAGAAGGAGATAAGAGAGGAAGTGACGAGATAAAGAGATGAGAGAGATCGAGAAGTTTTCTAAGCTGTAGGCCAACATCATTATCTGTGAAATGTGCAATTCACGATTATCTCCGGAACATCCCTTGCGAATAATGAGGGAATACTGTCTCACCATCCTTTCTAACATGTCTGCTTTAGGTAGTCCTGATGTCCACATGGGACATGGGTTATTATTTATGAAAGCTAAATAGTGCAGATGCACAACTAACTTGTTTACTTTTTGACTTAATTGTGTCTAAAGAGTAATGGCAACAATCATCATATGAAGGCAAGCATCTGGTTAGTTCAGTGCCCATGCTGCTCAGCAAGTTTATATTGTTGTAAATGATTCAATTACTATGGCAGCCTGTTCATTCCTTGGGCGATTATGAAAGACCAAAGTAAAAACTGTAACACTCCTGGCAAGGGCCAAATACTATTGACTTGTTATAGCAACGTATCATTACGTAAACAGAAAAAAAGTTTTCAATCCATGAATATTACCTGCCATGACGTGTAGTGGACAAGAACACTTGGAACAAAAGCTAAAAATGAAGCAGAGACGCATGGAGCGATGCGTGTGTTTCGTAGAGAGATTAATTATTACATCGCAGGACCATGAGGGGTGGTGACGATAAACGTGCGTTCATCTAGCAGTGGATGGATCTTGTCTGATAATGATTACAAGTATTCTAAAAGGTTTTTCCATTCACAGTTGCTGTGCCATCGGGACCAGGATGTTCAGAAGGTGGTTCTCGCGTGCTTGCTGACCTACAAACCCAAGTATCTCTTGCCCTACAGGTATCAAGAATGTGCAGCTTCTGTGTGTGCACAACGCGTGTGTGCGACATTTACCTTTATTTTTTGGTTGGATCAATGATGTCTTGTTTTTATTGCATTTCATTTGCGTGTTCAATCGTTGGGGGGGGGGGGGTGTTATGAAGTCACGTGGCTGAGCGACGGGTGTGCTGTGCAGAGAGAGACTGGAACGGCTCTTGGAGGACCGCTACTTCAAGGACGAGATTGTGCACTTCAGCGTGTCGGAGGAAGCTGGCCTCGTGAAGGCTGACGACCGCGCTGAGCTCATGCCTGTTCTATTGAGGTGATCTCTTCAACCCATGTGCCATGTGGAGCGCTTTTACAATCTGTTTAAAAAAATAAGAGTTGCCATTTTTTTTAAACCAAAATCGCTTCTGGTGACCGCTTACCCAAAACATATAAACATCTGTGTGACCCCCTAAACATGACCGAATGGTAATTCTGATATTTGGTAACGTTCTTCTTCCTGTCTTGTAGAAAGTGGTGTTCGTCAGTTTATTCTTCATCATGTCCTCCGTTGACCTACAAAGAGAGCTAGGCATTTTTATGTGGTCCAAATACCAATTATGGATAGACATGATGTGCAGTAAATAAGTCCTCTAATCTTATATTCGTAAAAAATGTGGAAATGTTTGCACATTAATAATAGGGGTTTTCCCCTTTTTTCTGGCAACAAAACTGAAACCTTTTTACAAGGATTCATGTCTGCATTAACCACAATACCTGCAGTCAAAATGCAAACAAAAACATACTATGATATATGCATTGTCCTTGAAACTGATTGTGGTGTGGACCAATCAGTTTCAAGGACAATGCATATATTATCATAGTATGTTTTTTGTTTGCATTTTGACTGCAGGCATTGTGGTTAATGCAGACATGAATCCTTGTAAAAAGGTTTCAGTTTTGTTGCCAGAAAAAAAGGGGAAAAACCCTATTATTACATTTTGGTACTGGTAATGGAGGTCTAATGATGTTCGCACATTGTTAACTTAGTTTTGATTCTTTGTAACTTGCTACAGTCACACGAATACAATTCTCATTGGCTTGCTCTCAACTTGCCCAGACTAAAGAGTTGGGCAATTCAGAGATGGCTACCCTCGAGCCAGCCTCACGTGGCACGGGCCTCGAGCATGCCATGCAGTGCTTGTATTGCGTGGAGCACAGCGGTTAGCGCGCTACTGTGCATGCGTGCCATGTGGTGTGTGTACCGTGTGGAGTGCAGTGGCTCATGCCACGCTGCGCTACGAACCCAGCAACCCGGGTTCGATTTTTACTCGTGGTAAACACTGGTCATAATTATCTGAATCGGTTCTGAGCCTCACCTAGGTATATTCAGCTCCCAATGTGTACCTGGTGCAGTGTGTAAACATCGCCACTGGGGAGATACAAGCGACCGGGCGTGGTGCTGGTCATCCACCACCTCGTGTGCTGTGCTGGCCTTCATAGGCGCTACTCATGAACAGCACTTGCCCCAAGTCTGTTAAGGCTACACGGGGGATCTTTGTCTTGGTACTGTGCGTGTGCCGCACCTGCAGGATCCTGTACGGGCGCATGATGAGCAAGACGGGGAACCGCACGCAGGGCCGCGCTGGGGCCACCACGCGCATGTCCATCGTGCTGCGCTTCCTGGCCAGCTCGCTGCCCGAGGAGATGCACATGTTTGTGCGCCTCCTCTTGGAGCCTGTCGCCACTTTCATGGAGGGTGAGATCCACTCGCCTGCCGCTCTGCGAACCCCCTTCGTACAGTGGCACCTCGCCAGTTGCATTCTCGTTCATCTCGACGTATGGATCAGCAGATGAAATCAATGACTCGACGCCACCTATTCTGGTGGTCTCTGTTGTACTCTCAACCGGGTTTGCTGCCAGTGTTAAAGTATGTCAGTGTTCAATGTCTCAACTGTGTTTAGTTGTACACATTTGTAATGTAGTACTCAGAGACGATGTCTTGCTTAAGTTATATATATACTTATTACATATTACAGTCCATCCGACTCGATGACATGTTATCAGGTGGACGCAGGTTGACTACATGCAACTGTGTTACTCTTATGTTGCTGCTACACGACGTTCACTATATAGCTGACTGACTATATAGGAGCCGTCGATGTAGTAGCCACGGCGAAGATATACAAGTTCCTTCCCAGCCTTCCAAGACGATAAGGCCGATCCCCCGTGATGAAAGCGACAACAGTCCGTTTTATTAAATCGTTATCTTTTGTTCGTTGAAGAGAAAGTTTAATGGTGTCTGAGACTGGACGTGTGTGGCGTCTGGCACATGTGATGATGATGCCGTTGCCGCTGCCGCTGGTGGACGCAGGCTCGTGCGAGCATGCAGTGACACGTACTCTGCAGGAGCTGGAGCTGGGCTCCGTGATTCCCCTGGGCCGGCAGCACGGCATTCTCAACACGGTCGACACGCTCATGGCCAACGTGGGCCACCTGCTCCATGGCCACCTGTCACAGCTGCTGCAGATCCTTCTGTGCATGGTGGCAGCCTTTTCGCACATTCTGGATCAGCGCGATCAGGTAGGCTGCCCCCCCAGCAAAGGAACAACACGATATTTAATGTGTTGAACCCTCTTGGCAAACTCGTCGTTGATTTTGTATCTACGTATGTATGTTTGAACTTCTTTCGTACCGTACGGAGCCACCCGTGCTAATCGCAGGTATGGGTTGTAATCCAGTAAACACTCAGGGTTAGTAGCATGATTGAGAAGGCCACCAATATGTTCCTTCATGTAAAAGGATAGTTTGTGTTTAAATATTTGGACAGTTTGTGCGTTCACAAATTCTGAACACTGATTATAATTAAACATGGTTGTCGTATATGACTTAAAACTTTGGTGACTGCAGGAATTCATATTCTTTGGTTCTTTCAATAAAGTCACATAGATAGAAAAAATTATAATCATAAAAAGTGAGATTACTGGTAGTCTATAATGTAGACTGTAGCCTGTTTTTTAAGCTGATGAGTGTATTGGCAGTCTATAATGTAGACTAGCAGTGGTTATTAAACTGAACCTGAGTGTGTGTACTGGCAGTCTATAATGTAGACTTATTCTGGTTCTTTCAGTAATAAAAAATAAAATTAATATAAACACAAAAAGCACGACGTTTCGATCGCAACACAAGCGGTCGTCATCAGGAAAAGGGGGGGGGTGGTCTTAAGGCAAACTGTTTATAAAGGTTTAGAGATGTGCGTAGCTCAAGTGTGTCAGCAACATGGGCGGGGCAGCTAATGTTAATACGTTTAGTTTAGTACGTTTTTGTAAATTCGGTCATGCAGAGTGAGACTACAGTTGTGACATGTTTAACACTTTGGAAAAGAGTTTCTTCTAGCGATGCTCTGCAAGGCCACTTTACTCGCCATTGTCATGTGACGGCGTGACCAAATTGGTGGCGCATTTTACCAGGTGGGCGGACTCCTCTGATTTACTCCGAAGCTGCTTGGTTATTGTGAGTGCCCTTGTTGCATTGTGGGCCCTGCGCAGCCCGTATCACTGATGCGTGCCTGCCATTGGCGCTGTGACCCTGGCTGCCTGCAGGTGCAACCACGCTCAGTCGCGCTCGTGAAGCGGCTGCGACGCCTGGGCCAGGATAGCCTCCTGCACTTTTTTGAAGACAACGATGCGTACGCGTTCTCTGCTGGCGAGCTGGAGGCAGTCTTCCAGGCACTCTTCTGGCCCCTGGTAAACGGAGTCTGTGTGTGATAAATGGACATAATAAACGCACGCGTGAATTCAGAAGTATGCAAGCGAGTTGATGCGTTCTGAATCCTTTGAAAAGCAGGTTTATATGTAACTAGCGGTTAGTACCTGGCGTTGCCTGGGCGAAAAAGGCAGACACACACATGGACTTACAAACAGACATGGACCCATACACATAGAAACCCACTGACTTAGACGCACGCAAACACATATGGACTCACACACAGACATCGACTTCAGAGACACATGTAGTTACACACACAAATCGACTCACACGTACATACATAGACTGAACAACAACCGCCATTCGCCACTAAGTGGCAGTGACGTCACCACAACGCTTGTGGCAGGCTATGTGCACCTTGAGGCCACCTGAAATGTCGAACACCTGCTGGCAGGAGGTCACGGGGCAGACCCAGATGGCACAGGTCGACTGAGATGACTGGCAGATGCACCACCTGTGCCCTATACCCTGCTAACTTGCTGTGCTTTAGCCACACGGTGCACCACTCGTTCTTGTGAGCATTGCTCCTCCGCCCTCCGTTGTTGTTGGAGGCCGACTGCCTCCAACTGGCCTGTAGCGTCCTTCACGAGGCTCCACAGATACCGACCTTGACACCGCTGGTACCAGTCATCGACAAGTCCACTCAGCTGCACATCGTCCTGTAGCACATCACTCCATCTCTTCTCTAGCCTGTGCCGCGCCCGTTTAGAGACCTCGATCCGGCGGAACAAAAGGTGTTTAGGCATGCGGTGGCTGGGCATGCAGGCTACATGGCCCAGCCAACGCAGCCTTGCCTGGCGATGCAGGCTACATGGCCCAGCCAACGCAGCCTTGCCTGGCGTAGGAGGTCACCAATGGGACTTTGTCCAGATCTTTCAAGTATTTGTGAGCTCATCACACAATCCAGCCTGGTTAAACCCAGGATGGATCGTAGGCAGGCCAGCCTAAATGTTTGTAACCGATGAAAATGTTGCATTAGGGGGGTCGAAGTTTCGCAAGTTTTGAGAAGGGAGGGAATGACCGTGGCCGAGACGACGTGGAGCTTCGTGCAGAGCGAGAGACCAGGTAGCTTGAACACAGTGTTACACAGCCGATGAAAAGATAATGCCGCTCAACTGATTCAGAGTGAGACCTCTGGTGTTAAACCGGAGCCGGTCATGAGTACACTGGGCAGGTATGGGAAACTCTGCACTCTCCACAACTGGGCCATCACCAATTGTGAGTTATGGGGGTGGATTGTCCGATGGTACAAAATACCCAGGCAGGTGCTTAGTTTTGGTGGGGCTGATGGTAAGGCCCCACCTCTTAGTGGCAAGGTCCAGGTTGAGCAGCAGCGTGTCTAACTCCTCGTCTGAGTGAGCATTAATTACCAGATCATCGGCATACATAACGTGGTTGACCAATAGGGAGCCATCGATTGACCGCACCCGGGCATCGATGAGCTTCCGATTGTATCTGTACCAGATGTGAATTCTTCCGGTAGAGGCATTGAAGGCTTAACGAAGTACGTGGTCCAAATATATGTAAAAGAATGTGGGAGACAGTGGACATCCCTGTTGCACCCCAAGATGTATAGGGAGTGGCTTTGATTCACGGTCACGTAGTTTGATGTGGGGCCGCTCACTATCATGAAGGTCCTTAAGGATCGTGAGCACAGGGTCAGGGACTCGAAATTACGAGGAGCAACGCAGAGCCCAGGCCTAATGATGGTATCATAGGCCCTAAGCAAGTGAATAAAGCACACATATGGACTAACACGCATACATGGACCTACAGGCACGCAACGAAATGGACTAACACTGACTAAGATGGAGGCACGCACACACAGCGACAAACACACATGCACATGGACTGACACACACACACACACATTCATATCAAGGCACACACACACACATTGACTTACACACACACATCGAGTGACACACACACATACATAGACTTACAGACACATTTACCTACGCACACACATATGGACTTATAGACACACACAGGGACTTACACACACACATGGACCCACGCACACACATCGACTGACAGCCACAAATGGACTCACACATACATAGACTCACACACACAGACATGAACTTACACACACACACATATCGACGCACACACACACATGGACTGTCACACATAGACACATTGCCATACACACATCGACTGACACACAGACTCCCACACAAACATACATGGACTGACACATGCACATAGAGGCACACAAACATGGACTGAGACACACACATGGACGTACGCACACACACATACACATGCACGTACAGACACACACACATGGACGCACACATGGACCAAAAAATACACACATAGAAAGAAATGTACTTACACTGACTGACATGGAGCGACGCACACACACACATTGACTCACACACTCACATGGGCGCAGACATGCACATCGACCCACACACACACATGGACTTAGACGCAGGCATTATTTCTGTGAAAGAAGTAACTTAATTAAAAAAGAGTAGTTTTCTACACACACACACCACGCACACACATGGACTTACGCACACACATACATGGACTTACGCACACACACCACGACGGTATGCACTATGACTACAGCAGTGCATACTGACTGTGGCTGTAGCTGCTATGATAACAGCAGTGCATACTGTGGTGGTACATGGTTTAACAACAGCAGTGCATACTGAATGTGCTGGTACCTGGTTTGATTACAGCAGTGCATATTGTGGTGGTACCTGCTTTCCCTGCAGCAGTGCATGCGTATTGTTGTGGTAGCTGGTATGATTACAACAGTGCATACAGTGGTGATACCTGCTTTCCCTGCAGCAGTGCATGTATACTGTGGTGTAAGCTATGATTACAGCAGGGCAAGCGACAGTGGTGGTACCTGCTATGAGTAGAGTAGTACATGTTGACTCTATAGCAGTATATATCGACTGTACAGTAGTGCATGCTTACCGTATAGCAGTATTTATGGACTGTACAGTAGTACATGCTGACTCCATAGCAGTATTCATGGACTGTACAGTAGTACAGGCTGACTCTATAGCAGTAGATATCGACTCTACAGTAGTACATGCTGACTCTATAGCAGTATTTATAGACTCTACAGGAGTACATGCTGACTGTATATCAGTATATTTAGTGACTCTATAGCACAAAGTACTCACGTGACAGAGTGCGCGGTGTGGCCACGAGCTCGACTGAACGCGCATCACTTGGCAGGGTCCGCCCCCCCCCCCCACGCAATTGGCGTCAGTTGGTACGGTCGAGCTCGTGCAGTAAGTAAATAATTAAAATAAGAATGGCACTAAATCGCTAATTAAACTAATTTAAGGTTGACGGCTGGGAAAACGGAATAGCCTATACCAAGCAGGGGGCTCGGGGCGTGCCACCCAGCAATTTTTTTCGGACTTGAACCCCACCATTTGAGAGCCAAATCCCCCGCAAGCGCGCGCACGTGGAGACTTTTATATATGATAATTCTGTGATGGGTCATTTTTATATAAAATTCCAACTTACCTTCGTCGCTTGGCCATTCTTACAGTTGAATGACCCTCACCCACATAATTCAACTTCACTCTGTAAACGCCGCGACCCAGTGCGAAGCGCAAGTGGTGTCGTCACAATTGTACGAGTAGCCACGAAGGGGAAGGTAACACAACTTGGTCAACTTGGCAGCTGACTATGGTGACAAAAATGTAGAATGCTGTTTCACATTGTTCACAAAAACAGAATCGATTTATAAGAAAATTGGCAGATAACTTTTATATGGTGCATTACTTCTGTCTACGTTTTGTGGACTTTCAACGTGACTATATTATCCGAGATTAAAATCCTAGGTGTTTTATTTAAAAAACCCATGTTACTTGTACTGTTAAACGATTATAAAAAAAGCAACAGATATATGGCGTGTCACATTTGGTGCTTCGATACATGGCCCTCCAACACAGCACTGGGTAAAGCAACATATTACATGATCTGGTGCTATTCCCAATTATTAAGCCAGGGATGTTTTGCTCTTGTTTTTTTGGATTAGATTACAATGATATAGCCAAATAATAAAGTATTAATCTTGTGTGCCTTTGTGTGTTCCTTTTAGATTACTCGCCTGTCCACAGAAAGTCAGTACTCCCCTACGCCGCTACTCAAACTTGTACAAATGTGGAGCCAGATTCCAAGGTGAGTCATTGCGCGAGCCTTCAAAGTGTGAGGCTGGATCACTCTGGAACCAATCAAAGCTTTGTCGGACATCAAAATTACTCGATTAAATATAAATAATGAGGGAATTATAAACCTAAAATATGAGTGCACAGTGTTCATTGATAACCTTGAACATCCAGCAGTATTGACAAGAGGGCTGGGAAACTGTCCTAACGGCTGCTTGAAGAGGAAAACTCTACGTTTGCCTCCCATGGACACTAATAATCCTACTCTTTCATGACGCAACTTATTTGGGATGCTGCATTTGTGGTGGCGCACAAGCTCAGTGAACAAAAAATGCAACACATTTGTCAACAACATTACCTTAAGAGAAAACAAATTGATGTTGAGGGTGACATATTTAGTCTGTATTTATTTGCTATGTGCTCTATAGAGTGTATGTTTATACTATGAGACCGAGTACGTGCTATGAAGGGCCATTGCCTGAAATGTCTATTATATATATTTTTTTATTTTAAGGTCACTGGTTGATGAACAGTTAGAGTACTCTGTAATTGTGGTCTTCTCTGCCTCTGACATGGAACAGGTTATCGGTTTAAATCTGTGGTGCTCTCCTGGTCCTCCTCACCTCACCGAGTCCCACTATATACCAATGTATTTCTTAGTTCTGTGCCCACTTCTACGAGATTTGATCGGTTCCAGAGTTGTCTTTTGCAATGTTTGAGTGAAGCCACACACACCAAATACTGCAGTGAGTGTTAAGCCACCATCTAACTCAAACACATACTCTTCCTACTTCTCACTATAGGGCTGCCCAAATTTAGTGTTAATCGTTGTCATTTCATTTCATAAATGTTTGGATACATTTACAATCTGTCACGATAGTTACAACATTTTGAAATTTTTGCACTTTATAGGGTGATTGTAAAGTTCCGGCCCTGGATGGAAAGTAATGTATGATCATCACAAATAATGTTATTCTTTTTAAGTATGCCTTAAAATGCAGGATAATGCATGCTTTTCTGGTTATGCTTTTGAACCTAATTTCTCTTAGTGTATTTGAAATTTTGTAGGCTATCCTGGAAATTTCATCAAAAAAGATTCGGCAATATTTCTTCAGTAACTTTCCATCCACAACTCTCAATCTTTTTTTTCCATAATTCTTAGCTTTATTTTGTACGCTTCTTGATAATTTTCCAAAAAATGAATGGTTAGGTCAGAGGGCCTTGAAACTTTGGCGACCTACCAAGTGTTCAACTGTGCTCGTAACGTCTTCTCAAATGGTGCCTCCTGTCCGTGGACCCTAGCACACTCTCTTCCAATATTCTTCAGATAACCACAACACATTGAGATTTCTTCTGCACTTTCACCATCTTGTAATGAACTAAGACCAGTGTTGCCACCTGAGTAAACAAAACAAAAATACATACTTGAAATGTATTAAACATGTGTATTAATAGAAAGTTCCATAATACCACTGCACCATGTACTGTACTGGATATATTGTCGGATTGTTGCATCACAAGATTTGGAGAAGTGGTGGCAGCTTGTGGAGGCCTTCATCCAGCAGTGGAGTGATTGATGATGGCGGATGATGACGATTGGCATAATAATATATGAATATCTTTCCAAAATAAAGGACGCCAATAGTTGGATTGGATTTGACACTTACACTATCTAACACTTATTGTATATACTACGTTGCCAAAATGTTGGTATAGTCTGCTAACTGTGTGGTGTTTTCCTTGGTGTGTAATTGCAGGTTCATCCCACTCTTAGCCAAGGAGCACCCAGAGCGTCCCGAGTGCAGTGTGCTGCCCAACGTGTATGCACTGCTTAAAGCCAAGAATCTGAGCCCAGCCACGGCCCAGTGCGTACTCGACATTGCCGAGAACCTGCTGACCGTGCCTGACCCAGAGTCCACAGAGACGGACTCAGCGCTGTCTACGCAGGGCTGCGTGCTCCCCGCATCTGCCAGTCTCCCCGGTACGGCATCGCATTATGCTTCTTGGCCACATGTTCAAGTAACTCCACACCTCGACATACGACGAGCAGCAGATTTACAGATAACTACTTCTTCTTTGGTTCTTTCGGTAAAGTCACGTAGAATGAGATCACTGTTACAATTCAGTGGGCTCACATGACATTGACTTCTCCAAGACGGAGGTTCTTTGCAAACCAACTGGCTACCATGAGAGATTCGTTCATGAGGCCATTCACATATACAAGCACAGAGGCAATTTCAACCGAGAAGATGGATTCAGGCTTAGTAACCACTGGAAAGATGTGTTAAATCATTTCTGTTCTTAATTAATTGTAATTTTACGATGACCTTCAGACCGCAGCTCTTTCGCCAGCATTGCCTCTTAATACCTCTCACACCACGGTTAATGGTATGGTTTACAACATGGAGTATACTAGGGCTTCGCAGCTGTCTCTCTCCCCCTCCTCTGTTCCGACCATGGACGAACTCGTCCGTCTGAACGGGGCCCGTAGCTATCCGTGGTACGGAAATTTGAGGGTAAGAATCCACCCATTTTTTCGCCATATAGCATTGTGATATATAACGACTTATGGTTGGTAGCTTAGCTGATTGGAGAATATAGAGTTTATTGATAACATGAAGGTAATTTATATTTTAGTTTTTATTGGTTCACTATATAGTACTGTGAATAGCTCAGATGTGTAGTCATTTCTGTGACCAGTCACCAGCAAATCACCCAGTTATTTCAATGCTAAATTCGCCTAGTTATTTCAATGCTAAATTCTCCTGTTTTGATTTGTACTAAGTGCCTCGGTGAATGTGTATGCTCTGACTTCAACGTAACTATTTCTGTAGCAGTTACAAGCGAATGCCTTAATTTAGCTATTTCAATGCTAAATTCTATGCTAATTCCTTTTAACAATGGGTGCCTCTGCGGATGTGTATGCTTTAACTTTTAACATAGCTATTTCTGTGACCAGTCACAAGCTAATCATTCAGCCTTTTCAATGCTAAATTTTATGCTAATTCCTTCGTCAAGGCTCTTTGTTCCTCTCACACAGCTTAAAAGCCGTGATCTGAACGTGGCTCTCTCACTCCAGCGCTGTCCTACCAGACAGTCTCGCTCCCTTCACCTGATGAAGGCCGCTTGTGTTGTGGCCGAAACGTCGTGAGAATATTATTGTGTTATTTTATTTTATCAATTTATCATTTTATTCTCATTCTACGTGACTTTACCGAAAGAACCAAAGAAGATGAATCATTGCAGTCACGAAAGCTTTAAATCGAAAGATAACTACTTGTTAAATCTGTGTCATAAGACCCTCCACAACCTGGTATAGCTACACAAATGAAATGATCACACTTACATGTATTTAATTTGCCAATTATGGTTGTATTAGCTCAACGGTAAGTTGAATAGTAATTTTAATTGGTGCGTTAAACGCTTGTTCACTTGAAAGTTACATTTGTTTGGCTATGTTGGGTGGTGGAGGGTACGAACAAATTTGGCAAGATCGTTATGTGGCCTAACCCATAAATCAATCATGACTTGTAATATTAGTTGCAACAACCTATTTGGAAAGTTATGCAACTATTCATTTGCCTATGTAAAACTGTTTGTCAGGCCCCATGGTGTCATATGTATACTTTCACTCTTATCAACCCTATCTCTCTGGCCTCTCCAGTTATATTCTACTATTGGAAAGTACCCGGCGTTGCCCGGGAGAAAAAAAAATGTATCTTAAAAACATTACATATACATACACAAGTGCTAAGCTATTGTGAAAGCCCGGCATTCCGTTTGTCTGTCCATTTGTCCGTCAACAAAATTATAAGAGGCTTGAAGAAGTCCTGAATAAAAAAAGTAATTTCGATTTAAAGCTTTCATGACTGCAGGGATTTATCTTCTTGGTTCTTTCGGTAAAGTCACGTAGAATGGAAATAAAATAATAAAAAGAAAACATAAAATGAAATTCTCACGACGTTTCGGCCACAACACAAGTAGCCTTCCTCAGGTGAAGAAACAGAACTGTCGGGAAGACAGCGCTTTAGTGAACACTGCCAAGCTTGGCAGCGTCTTTTAAGCTGGGTGGGAGGAGCAGAGCGCCTTGACGAAGGAATTTACATATCAACAGAAGGATTTAGCATTGAAATAGCTATGTTAATGTGTTGGATTAGCAGGATGTTAAAGTCAGAAATTAGCATGTAACTGGGAGATTAGCACCACGGAAAGCGACGAGCTTTGTTCAGACGGACGAGTCCATCTATGTTCGGAACGAAGGAGGGGGGAGAGAATTTATCATTAAAATAGCTGTGTTAATGTGTTGGATTAGCAGGATGTTAAAGTCAGAAATTAGCATGTAACTGGGAGATTAGCACCACGGAAAGCGACGAGCTTTGTTCAGACGGACGAGTCCATCTATGTTCGGAACGGAGGAGGGGGGAGATGATTTGGCATTAAAATCGCTGTGTTAATGTGTTGGATTAGCAGCTCTCAAGGCTAATGGTTACTCCGACTACACAATCCGCAAAGCCACAAGAAAGATCTCCAAAATCATGAATAAACACAATATCCAGGTCCGATTCAACACAGTACATAAAATCTGTGATCAGGTTCCGTCGGTAAAAGATGTGATTCCAGACATACAGTACCTGGGCGTCTACAAACTAAGTTGCCTCTGTGGTAGCAGCTACATTGGAGAAACCAAATGACATATCTCGGACCGCATCCGTGAACATAAAGCAGACTTGAAACACGGTAGGACGAACACCTCAACCGTGGCAGATCATTGTTATAATTCAGTGGGCTCACATGACATTGACTTCTCCAAGACGGAGGTTCTCTGCAAATCATCCGGCTGCCATGAGAGATTCGTTCATGAGGCCATCCACATATACAAACACAGAGACAATTTAAACCGAGAAGATGGATTCTGGCTTAGCAATCATTGGAAGGATTTTAATAACCATTTCGGGTCTTAATTGATTGATCATGCTTAAGGTGGCTTTCAGACCGCATCCATTATTTTTTCGTCTCCCCCCTCCTCTTTTCCGAACATAGATGGACTCGTCCATCTGAACAAATTGTCAAATCTCTCTCCGTGGTGCTAACGTTAAAAATAACCGCCACTTTTTTCAAATTTTCTTGTTGTGGTTTTTACACCTGATGATGATTGTTTGTGTTGCAGTCGAAACGTCGTGATAATTTTATTGTTTTATATTTGTATTATTTTATTGTTTCCCTTCTACGTGACTTTACCGAAAGAACCAAGAATATAGGTGGATTATTCCTTCTGAACAAAGCTCGTCGCTTTCCGTGGTGCTAACGTTAAAAAGAAAAAAGAAACCGACATGCTAATCCCTCACACTAACATTCTGACTTTAACATCCTGCTAATCCAACACATTAACACAGCTATTTCAATGCTGAATTTTCTCCCCCCTCCTCCGTTCCGAACATAGATGGATTCGTCCGTCTGAACGAAGCTCGTCGCTTTCCGTGGTGCTAATCTCCCAGTTACATGCTAATTTCTGATTTTAACATCCTGCTAATCCAACACATTAACACAACTATTTAATTGCTAAATCCTTCTGTTTTATTTTTATTGTTTTATTTCCATTCTACGTGACTTTACCGAAAGAACCAAGGAAAAAAAGTAATAGAAAGTGGCGGGAAAATAGTTGATTTCAAAGGTTTCCGAAAATTGTCGACCTCCCCCTCAAAAAATATTTTTACCCCCCCCCCCCCCCCCGTAGGCATATATACCTACACACCCTGCATACAACAGAGTGAGTAGTATCTAGTGACTCTAGTAGTATCTGGTTTGACAGTAGTATCTGGCTCTACAGTAGTATCTGTTGACCATACAGTAGTATCTACTGACTCTACAAGATTAGCTTCTGACTCCATAGTAGTATACAGACTCTATTGTAGTATCTGCTGACTTTATAGGAGTAAATACAGGCTCTACAGTAGTATCTACTGACTGTAGCAGTATTTCCTGACCGTAGTGGTATCTCCTGACTGTAGTCGTATCTACTGACTCTATAGTAGTATCCACGGACTATAGTAGTAACTACTAACTCTATAGTAGTATCTACTTTATAGCAGTATATACTTACTTTACAGTAGCCTCTACAGACTCTGCAGTAGTATCTCCCGACTTTACAGTAGTATCTACCGACTCTACAGTCGTATTTACCGACTCTACAGTAGTATTTATTGACTCTATAGTCGTAACTACTGACTATAGTCGTATCTAGTGACTCTACAGTAGTTACTACGGATTGCAGTAGTATCTGCCGACTCTATAATAGTGTATATCGACTCTGTAGCAGTAGCTACTAACTCTACAGTATATACTGACTATAGTAATATCAACGAACTCGAAAGTAGTATCTACCGACTCGATAGCAGTATCTACTATCATTACAGTAGTATGTACTGGCTGTAGTAGTAGCTACTATAACTACAGTAGTATGTACTGGCTTTAGTAGTAGCGACGATAGCTACAGTAGTATGTACTGGCAGTAATAGTAGCTATACTAACTGTATAGCAATGTGTACTGGCTGTAGTAGCCGCTGTACTAACTGTATAGCAGTGTGTACTGGCTGTAGTAGTCGCTATACTAACTCTATAGCAGTCTGTACTGGCTGTAGTAGTAGCTATACTAACTCTATAGCAGTCTGTACTGGCTGTAGTAGTAGCTATACTAACTCTTTAGCAGTGTGTACTGGCTGTAGTAGTAGCTATACTAAATCTATAATAATAATAATCTTTGGTTCTTTCTGTAAAATCACGTAGATAGAAAAATAATAATTAAGAAAATGAATACAATTAATAAAATAAAAAAATAACCATTAATAGACTGCCAGTGCCCTCACCCAACTTAATAGCCATTGCTACAGTCTACATAATAGACTGCTAGTACACTCACCCAGCTTAATGACCATTGCTACAGTCTAAATTATGGACTGCCAATACACTCACCAAACTTAATCACCAGGCTACAGTCTACATTATAGACTGCCAGTACACTCACCGAGCTTAATAACCATTGTTACAGTCTACATTATAGACTGCCAGTACACTCCGAATCAGAACCAGGCAACAGTCTACATTAGTGGTTTTATTTAATATTGTTATTTTATTTTTATTAACGTAAGTTTTTATTATTATTTTTCCATCTACGTGACTTTACCAAATAATATGAATTCCTGCAGTCAGGAAAGTTTTAAGTCAATCTTTAATAGTACTAACTTCACAGATTGTAGTGGTGAGGCCCAGTCCCGTGCAGAGCCCCTGGCCTGGCCGAGATTGCCCAGCCGGCCGAGGTGGCACCTTGGCAGGCTGGGGGCTGGGCCGCCACTATCTAAGCGCTATAATATTAGTATCTACCGATCCTATAGTAGTAAGTGCACACATTGGGGTGTGGGGGGGAGAAAAGGACATGATACTTTGAAGAATTTACCTCGGCGTTGTTTATTTTTTTGCATTTTTAACGTGAAAGATAATTTTTCCCCCCTCCCAACGAACGCGTGTGCGTTGCTAGAGGCAACCCCCGGTCAGCTTTGTCGCGCATGCGCAAATGCGTGCTTTGGCGCTCGCTGAGCGATGTAAGAAAGTAAATAAATACAAATAAATAACACTAAATCGTTCATTTAACTACTTTAAAGGTGACGGATGGGAAAATCGAATCACGCTGGCTCACCACGGGGCTTATCGCGTGGTACCTGGCTACTTTTTAAAATGTAAACCCCACGGTTCGCGAGGCAAATCCTTGGCAAGTTTCGTCCACAGACGGACACACAGAGAGATGACAAAAAATTACATTTATAGTTAAGACTAGCGGGAAGTACCCGGCGTTGCCTGGGCGAAAAAGACAGACACACACATGGACTTACAAACAGACATGGACCCATACACATAGAAACCCACTGACTTACACGCACGCAAACACATATGGACTCACACACACAGAGATCGACTTGAGAGACACATGTAGTTACACACGCAAATGGACTCAAACACACAGAGTTACACACATATCGACTCACACATACATACATAGACTGAACAACAACAACCGCCATTCGCCACCACCTGTGCCCTGTACCCTGCTAACTTGCTGTGCTTTAGCCACACGGTGCACCGCTCGTTCTTGTGAGCATCGCTCCTCCGCCCTCCGTTGTTGTTGGAGGCCGACTGCCTCCAACTGGCCTGTAGCGTCCTTCACGAGGCTCCTCCACAGATACCGACCTTGACACCGCTGGTACCAGTCATCGACAAGTCCACTCAGCTGCACATCGTCCTGCAGCACATCACTCCATCTCTTCTCTAGCCTCGATCCGGCGGAACAAAAGGTGTTTAGGCATGCGGTGGCTGGGCATGCAGGCTACATGGCCCAGCCAACGCAGCCTTGCCTGGCGTAGGAGGTCACCAATGGGACTTTGTCCAGATCTTTCAAGTATTTGTGAGCTCATCACACAATTCAGCCTGGTTGAACCCAGGATGGATCGTAGGCAGGCCAGCCTAAATGTTTGTAACCGGCGAAAATGTTGCATTAGGGGGGTCCAAGTTTCGCAAGTGTACAGAAGGGAGGGAATGACCGTGGGCGAGACGACGTGGAGCTTCGTGCGGAGCGAGAGACCAGGTAGCTTGAACACAGTGTTACACAGCCAATGAAAGATAATGCCGCTCAACTGATTCAGAGTGAGACCTCTGGTGTTAAACCGGAGCCGGTCATGAGTACACTGGGCAGGTATGGGAAACTCTGCACTCTCCACAACTGGACCATCACCAATTGTGAGTTATGGGGGTGGATTGTCCGATGGTACAAAATACCCAGGCAGGTGCTTAGCTTCGGTGGGGCTGATGGTAAGGCCCCACCTCTTAGTGGCAAGCTCCAGGTTGAGCAGCAGCGTGTCCAACTCCTGAGTGAGCATTAATTACCAGATCATCGGCAACATAACGTGGTTGACCAATAGGGAGCCATCAATTGACCGCACCCGGGCATCAATGAGCCTCCCATTGTATTTGTACCAGATGTGGATTCTTCCGGTAGAGGCATTGAAGGCTTAACGAAGTACGTGGTCCAAATATATGTAAAAGAATGTGGGAGACAGTGGACATCCCTGTTGCAGCCCAATATGTACAGGGAGTGGCTCTGATTCACGGTCACGTAGTTTGATGTGGGGCCGCTCACCATCATAAAGGTCCTTAAGGATCATGAGCAGAGGGTCAGGGACTCAAAGTACGAGGAGCATCGCAGAGCCCAGGCCTAATGATGGTATCATAGGCCCTGAGCAAGTGAATAAAGCACACATATAGACTAACACGCATACATGGACCTACAGGCACGCAACGAAATGGACTAACACTGACTAAGATGGAGGCACGCACACACAGCGACGAACACACATGCACATGGACTGACACACACATATCAAGTCACACACACACATTGATTTACACACACACAACGAGTGACACACACATACATAGACTTACAGACACATTGACCTACACACACACATGGACTTACAGACACACACACGGGGACTTAGACACACACATGGACCCACGCACACACATCGACTGACAGCCACACATGGACTCACACATACATAGACTCACACACACAGGCATGAACTTATACACACACACATACATATCGACGCACACACACACATGGACTGTCACTCATAGACACATTGCCATACACACATCGACTGACACACATAGACTCCCACACAAACATACATGGACTGACACACGCACAGAGGCACACAAACATGGACTGAGACACACACATGGACGTACGCACACACATGGACTTACGCACACACACACATGTACGTACAGACACACACACATGGACTCACACGCACACATGGACCAAAAAACACACACATAGAAAGAAATGTACTTACACTGACTGACATGGAGCGGCGCACACACACACATTGACTCACACACACATGGCCGCAGACATGCACATCGACCCACACACACACGGACTTAGACGCAGGCATTATTACTGTGAAAGAAGTAACTTAATTAAAAAAGAGTAGTTTTCTACACACACACACCACGCACACACATTGACTTACGCACACACATACATGGACTTACGCACACACACCACGACGGTATGTACTATGACTACAGCAGTGCATACCGTCTGTGGTGGTACCTGCTTTCACTACAGCAGTGCACACGGCCTGTGGTGGTACCTGCTTGAACTACAGCAGTGCATACCGACTGTGGTGGTTTGTGGTATCACTACAGCAGTGCCTAGTGACTGGTGGAACCTGCTATCACAAAGGCAGTGCATACTGACAGTGGTGGTAGCGGCTATTAGAAAAGCAGTGCATACTAACTGTAGTGGTAGCTGCTATGATAACAGCAGTGCATACTGTGCTGGTACATGGTTTAACAACAGCAGTGCATACTGAATGTGCTGGTACCTGGTATGATTACAGCAGTGCATATTGTGGTGGTCCCTGCTTTCCCTGCAGCAGTGCATGCATACTGTTGTGGTAGCTGGTATGATTACAACAGTGCATACAGTGGTGGTACCTGCTTTCCCTGCAGCAGTGCATGTATACTGTGGTGTAAGCTATGATTACAGCAGGGCAAGCGACAGTGGTGGTACCTGCTATGAGTAGCGTAGTACATGCTGACTCGATAGCAGTATTAATGGACTGTACAGTAGTACATGCTTACTGTATTGCAGTATTTATGGACTGTACAGTAGTACATGCTGACTCCACAGCAGTATTAATGGACTGTACAGTAGTACATGCTGACTGTATAGCAGTAGATATCGACTCTACAGTAGTACATGCTGACTCTATAGCAGTATTAATCGGCGGCACAGTAGTAGATGCTGACTGTATTGCAGTATTTATGGACTGTACAGTAGTACAGGCTGACTCTATAGCAGTATTTATGGACTCTACAGTAGTACATGCTGACTCTATAGCAGTATTTATAGACTGTACAGGAGTACTTGCTGACTGTATATCAGTATATTTAGTGACTCTATAGCACAAAGTTCTCACGTGACAGAGTGCCGTGGTGTGGCCGTGAGCTCGACTGAACGCGCATCACTTGGCAGGGTCCGCCCCCCCCACGCAATTGGCGTCGGTTGGTACGGTTGAGCTCGTGCAGTAAGTAAATAATTAAAAAAGAATGGCACTACATTGCTAATTAAACTAATTTAAAGTTGACGGCTGGGAAAACGGAATAGCCTATACCAAGCAGGGGGCTCGGAGCGTGCCACCCGGCAATTTATTTCGGACTTGAACCCGACCGTTTGAGAGCCAAATCCCCTGCAAGCGCGCGCACGCGGATACTTTTATATATAAGATAACAAAGGGCCATTGACTGTGAAATGTCTCTTATATCTTTAATTTTAAGGATTTTTTTTGTCAAATGTTTGGAGTTTTTTTGTGGTCGTGCACTATTACCAACACAGCATCAACAAATAATGTTAACGTGTTTTTGACCATTTAAGACATTTCAAATATCACAGGACGCCACAGAAAGAGAATTAGAACCGATGATGAGAAGCCGTTGCAATCATCGCTGCCTTTTGTCCCCCATTGCAGATGGGACACGGCTGCAGCTGGGCACACGGCTGCTATTACCACACGTAACGGGCATCCTCCAGTACCTGGCGGGCGTCGTCAAGGACCGTGACAAGATGAACAGCAAAAAATTCCACGATCAAGTTTCCAAGAACCTCAACATTTTGTCTCGGTTTGTACTCCGGATGAATCTTATGCAAAGGTTCACTCGTAAAAGGACCTTTGCAGAGTTTCAACAAGCCATGCTGTTGTCTTACAATTGAATGGCAACCTTGACTGCATGGCATGTTATGGTCGATCAATTTCAAAGTTAATTATTCGACCCTGAGTGCAATTTGACATGTCAAATATTTCTAGTTTTTATTTAATATATAGTTTTAAAATAGTTTTTTCAGTTCTACTTGACCACATATGTAGGTATGACTTTACTATGGGGCACTGCGGTGCCAAGATATTATCTCCTCCTGGTACACTGGAGGTCGTGGGTTCGATCCCGGCCAGACGATGCCTGGTTGTATATTCCTAGTTTGCATGTTCTTCCCGTGGTTGTGTGTATTTTTCTCTGGGCCCTCCAGTTTTTCCCTCCATTTAGAAACGTGCTTTTAGATTATTTGGCTACTGGTGTAAATTCACACATGGCCAGGTCGCCTCTGAAAAAGAGCTCAGTGGGCTCTACATGGTAAAATAAAAAATAGTTTAGTTTATACACATACGATTGTACAGTGTGTTTTTTGCCCTCAAGCTGTCCCAATGCAGACAGAACATCCTGTTTATTATAATGACGTCTGAGTATATACAGTATAAAATATTAAAACATATAGATGCAATTTCAGTACTAATTCCAATTATGCACTCAGTGTCATGATGAGGTGAAGAGGCACTCTTATAGATCTGAATGAGCTCTTTCATTCCGAATAGCATGTTTTACTGTGTTGTCATGAAACAGTGAAAATCATGTTTCCATGATTTATAACAGGCAGTAATCACAGTTGAAGTCTTATTAGTCTTGCTGCACAAGTGTTCCATTCATTGTGTTACGTTTGTCACAGTCTGGTCAACACAGTTTTGGGATGGCTGTTATAATACCATTTTTTATACTTTGGTTCCTTGTTTGGCAAGTATATAACAGTACATTAAATCAGTCCCATTTAACATGACATTTATTGGAATTTCACACATACACATCACTGTAAAGGAGTATTTTTTATGCATTTCTCACAAAGTGATTTATTTGTGGCTGGACCTACTAAAATACAGTCTTCAGCTTCAGAATAAATACATCAAATCAAGCATGTAAGAATACATTTTTTAATCTATGCAATGTTATGTTCAAATCATATTATAATGTTACGTATCACATCATGGAGCAATTACACGCAGACCTTGCTTAGCACTCGAGGTGCGTTCCTGGAGAAGTGAGCACAAATAGAATCGCCACAGTGGCGAAACGTTAATGTTAACTACCTCGCCTGGTATACAGGAGGTCGTGGGTTCAAATCTGACCCTGACGCCTGTATATTTGGAATTTGCATGTTCTCCCCGTGGTCATGTGGATTTTTCTCCAGGTCTTCCGGTTTTTCCCTCCACATTTAGAAACATGCGTTTAGAATATTTGGCTGCTATAATTTTACACATGGTAAGCCACTTCGTTGATCTATCATTTGTGGCCAGGTCACATCTGAAAAAGAGCTATATAGCTCTGTAAGTGGCGGACGCTGCTTGGTTCAGTAGTGTACGTCGCTTTCATTGGCTGAGTGAATGTAAATAAAGATGTTGACTGTTGTGTTTCCTTCGGCCTGCACTCTGCGTTCACGCGTAAGCACTTTTTAGGTTTTGGGATTTTATTCATTTAAAAAAAAGAATTTCTCTAGGACAAAGATTGCGTTCTACGGGGTAGCGCTAAGCAATGTCTGCCTGTAATGTATATTGCACTCGATGTGCAGTTCACATTCATGTTACAAGTCTCCCACTTCATTTTATCTGGCTTGTGTTTTTTCATCAGTTATTCAGGTTCTCTTCTGACATGTTGGTAATTGGAACTGTGGTTTCGCAGAGTGAGCAAGTTCGTGGTGAACGAGGAGCAGAGCTCTCTGCTCATCGGTCTGCTCGTGCCCTACCTCTCCAAAGCCAACCTTGGACAGGTTTCTAGACGCACAAGTCAATATGAAATTATCCAAGACCGCGCGCATCCTAAGCTGTTATACTATGACTTGACTAGGATTACTACTAAGCTGACATTGCTGGCTGTATTCATGTGATTGCAGGACATGGAGGTGGACATCCTGGAGACAATCATGAACCTATTGAAACGCGTTTCTGTTCCTGGGAGTTACCTCAAGCCTCTGGCATGTCTCCTGTCATGCCTCCAAAACAAGCTCTCTCGACAGGCCCTCTCTGCCGTCTTCCAGGTAATCTCATTGCATTCACAAACGACGCTTTGTGATGGTATTGTGTTATGTATTGGATAGTTTTGCGTCAAACTGGGACCCGTATCTTTCGGAGAGGGTCCTTGCATTTTAATAAACATCTTACGTTTTACCAGCATTGGTTCAAGCAAGCCTGCCTCTGCTGACGAGACACTTAAATGTCAAAAGCGATCCAGAGTTTGCTTGCATTAAATCAATACTGCTGTAATGTAGCTCTCAGAGACACCGTCTTGTCTTTCCGTATATTTATTGGAATAAAGTCCACTGACAACTCAACGAGTAACCACGAGTGACTATATACACTTGGTTAGTTAGACGACACTATTCTGGGACAACATAGCTTCTAGTCTCGAGACATCACGAAGACGATAGAGACGACCCGTTCCAAGGCGACGACGACGACAGCGATTCCCCACACCAACAGCCCCCCAGGGTCCGGCTCACGACGGCTCTCATGCCTCGCCCGGTCAGGCCATGCCCCTATTCTCGAATTCTCCTCGCCGCACCTGCTCTGTCAATCTCCGCCCTTATTACACTTCCCCGCCATTGGATCCCGTGCTCCCCTCACGTGACCCTGTCAACGTTTGTCTCATCAATCATCATTAGCAAGTCCATGAGTAACCATGGTCCCGGGGAAGCATATTGTCCCACTATCGCTCCGTACTGTCTTTACACTGATATAAAAACGCAATTCCAGAAGGCCGTGTGGCTGATGGATGTGTTAAAAAATACTTTAACTTTTTTATCTGGAGAGACAGATATGGGAAGTAGGAAATATTGTCTGTTCATTTATTCCATTTACTCTGCTCACTTTTAAATGTGTTGCTTGAGTTATACCTCCTTATTTGTGAGAAGGGCCTACATTCTTGTAAGGACATCAAATCTGAATAATTTGTATGTTGTGATTATTTGGTTGTATTAATTGATGGCGTTTTTTTGCGAATGTGTTGTTTTTCACAGACCCTTGGGGAACTGGACAATACAGTCACATACATCACAGATGTCATTGTAAAGGTATGTGTCATTAGTGTACAAAGACAAAGATCCCCCTTATAGCCTTAACATACTGTTGCCGGCACGATACACGAAGGGGTGGGTGGCAAACACCACGCCTGACCGCTTTTGGCTCCCCAGTGGCGATATCTCTACATACTGCACCAGGTACTCATTTGAGGCTGAGTCGACTTAGGGGAGGCCCAAGGCCAGTTTATATAATCGTCACTGGTGTAAGCCGTGAGCGGGAATCGAACTCGGGTCGTCAGGTTTGTAACACAGGGCGCTAACCGCTGGTGATGTTTACACACCACACTAGGTAACGCTCGTACACTCACTTTCACACACACTCACAAACACTCACTCCCAGCGGGCTGCTGTGGCTCATTCCTTCTCGCAGAGGATCGCTTCGCTGAACAAAATCGTTCTGCAGTTCAGTTTGCAAGTGCGAATTTGCGTTTGCAAGTCGATGTAAACATATATGTCTCATGGAAGCTGGTTCGTAAGTGCAGATCTTCGTAAGTCGTGGACTGCCTTTGTGCATAGTCATTGTACAGGTATGTGAAGAGTGACTGCTACCAAAAACAAACAGTGGCTTAAGGAACAAGGAAAAATGTTAGAAAAAGATTTACCTTTTCTGGCATAAATACAGGTTAAGATATTCAATCACCAACTAGACACCTGTTACGAGGCATTGCATCTGCACAAACAACATATACATGTGGTAAAAAGTGCAAACAAATATGCATTTATCCTTTACGAACTCAGGTTGGAACTGATTGGCCTATACCAGAGACAGCCTCTCAGGCTCCCTGTTGGCATATTTTACCTCAACTGTGTCGCTAATGCAGACTCGATGCCTTGTAATAGTTGTCTTTTTGGCGTTTGGACGTCTTGACACCTCCTGTATTTATGGCTATCTTGATAATGACAAAAGAGGCCAATAAATATAACACAGAAAATTGCTTACTTTCTCATGACATTCTTAGCATCAGACATGAAGCAATTGGCAGGACCCCGGGGTCCCATCACTGCCCCGGGGTGGGAAAAACCGCGTAGCGACACGAGTCTTGCCTTACCGACAACAAAACTAGTGTCAATCGATTGGCCTCGTCGAAAGCTGCTCGGGGCACTAAGTTTCGTAAAAAGTTGAAAAATTACGTAAACACGTTAAATTCACTACGGGGACGGGCTCGCCTTGGCAAAGAAGCTGAGGATTGACGGCTGACCGCAGGGCGTTGTCGCCATGCGTGACTGTGGCGGACGCCCGGGATTGCGTTTGGCCGGTGGGGTGGCGCCCATCGTGTTGATCGCCGCCTGCTGGCGCTTGTTGGCGCGAGTCTGGGCAGGCGGGGCGTTACTGTCGGGATCACGAGTGGGCGGACTGAAAAATAATAATTATTGACCTGATTTTTGCGGAACCCCGGGGACCCGCCAAATGATTCATATGGCTGATAAGGTAAATGTTTCTGTTGAGCTCAGAGCATATTTTTTTAACTGTCACACGCTGTTATAAATTATAAATATCTATGGGGTACTTCCTGGTCAGGGGAAATAAATAAATCAACATAAAAAAATTAACAACTAGAACTCTGTTAGGTGTGGGTGGTGACATAGCCGGAATATCAACTCTGCTATAATCTGTAAAATATGAATAGGTGAGTCAAATATATATGTTCTGGATATTGAAAAAAAACGAATGTTGAACTATGTTTATATTTTGAATATTCAAGTCTGGCACGTGGGATTTTTTTTCCCTCTAGGAACAACTTTAGTGTGACTGTTGTTTCAGTATCAATTTACTTATCTTTTTTGTGTGTGCAGTCATGTACGATATTACACAGTAAGCACCGTCTTGCATTCCCTATCCTTTTCCGTGAAAATAAAATGCTCACTGGGACAAAATGCACTAGCCTCATGACTTTGCGCTTTGGACTAAAGACAGTGGAACTGTAGGGTTCATTAAAACTGTCAATGTGGTTTTATTCGTCAACATGTGTTTGGAGGCACACATTTCCAATCTGTAGCCTGGTTCGAGAGTGGAAATTCCAAATTACAATGTCAAGGATGAATCAATCCATTGGACAGCAACTTTGGACTCCCACAGTTTAAATACGTATTCTGATTCTGAGTTATTTTATTGACCCCTAGAGGGATGAGGAACCATATGGACTCAATTGTTTTTTTAACTTGGTCTCACAAGCCGTGAACTCTGACCATGGCGCCACTTGGCTGGTTATAGTTTGGATGGATGTGTGAAGATTTCCAATCGGTTTGATGATGAGTTTCACTGGTAATTACAACCAGCTTCATCAGGTTATTTTGCCAGAATTCCCTCCAAACACACTGGTGTGGTGAACTAATAACTCATTGGCACATTTTGTTTACATCACAAACCTTACTAATTGGCTTTGTCGGCTGGTGGTGGGTTAACGACACATTCATACTTACGCGATATTAACCCAAAAAAACCTTTTGTACTGAAGGATTGTTACTCCCCAAAGTATTTTCTTCCCTGTATCCATTTTACAGATGTTAAAGTATCATACAGTACCTTAGATAACATCTATGCGTGTACATAAATTATAGTCATTAACAGTGCAATTTATTTTGACTCAAATTGTGCCTATGCGGTAGGTAATTAATACTGTTCAGTGTGTTTGCTTCTTGATTATTTTCTTTGAACCTATCTACGTGACTTTACCGAAAGAGCCAAATAATCTGTTTGATTCGCTTTTTGTATTTGAACTCGGCTGTGCACACTACTGTTTGCCTCTGTTACATGTGTGTGCACGTGTGTGCATTTGTGTGCGTGCTGCAGATGAATGCCTTTGATCGCAGGCATCTCGACGATATCAATTTTGACATCCGCCTCGAGGCATTCCAGGCGGCCACAAAGTACGTGGCTGGCATGGAGAAGGTGGACAGCGACTATCTGCTGCCACTCCTGCACAACTGCTTCTACTCCATACAGGTGCGTCGAGCGTGAACACTCGGCTCGTATTTACGAGCGACTTATATTGCACCATCAGAGCAAGGCGCGTGGGGATGGTGATGTCGTTTGTGTGGGGAGGCTGTCGTCTAGCAGTGGGTTGATAAAGGGCTGTAAATTGTTTAGGTTTTCACCTGAAGTCTTTGTAACTGAGGACTTTGGTCCCATGGCGATTAAAGAGGGGGGAGGGGCTGTGGTGCAGAGAATATTCAGCAGATAATGGAGTTGATGGTAACTGAGCATCACCTGCTGTTGTTCCACAAGGTAGCCAATGTGTGTGTGTGCTACTGTCATTATGTGGTTTCGTGCTTTGGAGGCTGTTGATTTTAAATGTTTATGGCGTTCGGGTGCCACCGTCAAGAGATGTTAACTACCTCGCCTGGTTTACAGGAGGTTGTGGGTTTGATCCTGACCCTGACGTCTGTATATATTGAGTTTGCGTTTTCTCCCTCTGTTCACGTGGATTTTTCTCCGGGTCCTGCGGTTTTTCCCTCCACATTTATAAACGTGCATTTAGAGTACAGTAAATCCTTGGATTGCAAGTAACTTGGTCTGCTAGTGTTTTGCAAGACGAGCAAAAATTTGTAATAAATTTTAACTTGATAAACGAGCCAGGATTTACGAGTACCATGTATACGCTTTGTCTGCCGAGCGTCACGTGATCACAACTGAGCCGATGGTTCTTCTCTCTCTCTCTCGCTGCGGGATTGTGGGTAATCGTCTCCCATGCTCGGTCTCAGTCGGCGTGCCTCACTCGTATAGTCAACATCAGTGCGAGCGTATACTGTTTACTATAGTGTTGTGACCACGTGTGTGTGTGTAAAGCATTTTTTATTTTGCGTCCAAGTGTAGCCACTGTTCTTTAGTAACTGTACACAATAACCCTCCTCTCTCTCGTCTCCCGCACACCAGCCACGATTAAATTTAATTAATAAATTTGATTACTTTATATTAAATTTAAATAAATAAAATTTAAAAAGGTATTTTGTGGAACAAATCATCTGAGTTTCCATTATTTCCTATGGGGAAATTCGCGTGATATACGAGTGCTTTGGAATACAAACACATTTCCAGAACGAATTATGCTTGAAATCCAAGGTTTCACTGTATTTTCCTTGTGATAAGCCACTTTGAGCTATCGTTTGCGATGGCCTGGTCGCTTCTGAAAAAGAGCTATGTAGCTCAGTGGGCCTTACCTAGTAAAATAAAAGATTTTATCGGGTTTTTTTTATAGCTTAAAGAGAAGCAATGTGACCCTTTTTGTTAACACCTGCTCCATGGTTATGCAATCCCTTGCACCCCACTTAAATTTCCCTCTTGTGTACCACCCCCCCTACCTGCATCTCTTTCCCCAGCTGACTGAAATGGCCCTCTCCGACAACGCCAGCTTGTGCCTCGCGACGGTGGTGCAGCGCTTGTCGATCATCTCGCATACGGAGGAGGAATTCCGAGAGGTCATCACCCGCACGCTGCTCGTTGCTGTGCGGCGCGGTCTCAAGTCCCAGACGCAGGTTCGACTCTAGCAGTAGCAACCGCCTCCACACCTCCACGCCTTTCCACAGTGGCAGCCGTTGTTTTTAATATTTTTTCTTATATTTGTCTTAATCGTTTATGCCTAAATATATGTGGAAGAGGGGTAGATAATTTTAATAAGAATCGCTCAGAGATTTTTCTATATCCACAAGTGTTTTTTTTGGGTTAAGTCACGTAAATATAAATGTGTCGTTAAACCCGCCAACACCCGACGCAGCCAGTTAGTATGGTTTGTCACGTAAACAAAACGTGCCAATTAGTTACTAGTTCAGCACACGGGTGTGTTGGAGAGTAAATCCATGTGTACATGTTTGATTGTTGATTAAGAGAGGCTTGCGGAGCCCCAATGTGGTTTCAAACCAGGGCAGTCCTGCAAGGACACCATATTCTCTATCAGTCTGCTCCAGCAGAAGTGTACAGAATTTCAACAGTACCTTAATATCTGCTTTATTGACAATTAAAGGCCTATGAGACCATTTATAGGCCAGGGCTCTGGGTTATGCATACTTACGGAATCCCTCTGCTAACACTCTACTCACAATCATTTGAGACCTTCACAATAGTGGGCAGGCTCTGGTAAAGCCGCGTGGCCCGGGAGTCAGAACCATTCCCTGTTCACCTTGAAGTGTGACAGGGATGTCCTATAACATTTGCTGTTTTTAACATATTTGACCGTGTAGTCTGAGAAGCTTTCCATGGTTGTACCAGAGGAATTTCCATCTGGAACAGATCCAGTGGGAGGCTGATTGATGCCGAGGTGCTGTCAAGACATCACTCCTTGTTGTTCAATCATGCTTTGCGAAGGTGTTGGAGATGCTACTGATGAACCTGGAGTGTGCTATTTAAAGATGGCACCATTCAATTAATCCCACAAAAACAAAGCATCTTCCTGGGTATTTTATGTCATTAAATACTCAATCTCCTCCACTCCTCAACAGTGATGGGGCAGTTGTGCAGAGAGTAGAGAATTTTCCCTACCTGGGCAGTGTCCTTTTGACCAGCTCCGGTTTGGCAGCAGAGGTCTCACTGAACCAGTCGAGAGGCATTATCTTTTCATAAACTGCATAATTCTGTGTCTTAATGGCCACACTTATGTCCTCCCTTCTCTGTGCTTTCGAAACGTGGAGCCCTTCAAAAGAACATCTCCAGTTTTTAACATTCATGCTGGCCTGCCTACGATCCATCCTGGGTTAACCATACTGGACTGTGTGAGGAGCTCACAGATCCTTGAAAGATCTGAACACAGTGCCATCAGCGAGCTCCTCTGGCAGGCGAGATTGTGTTGGCTGGGGCATGTAGCCCGCATGTCCAGCCACCTTATGCCCAAGCAGCTTTGTTTGGCTGGATAGAGGGGGCTAAACGGGCACAGCACAGGTTCGAGAAGAAATGGATTGATATGGTATGAAACGATATGGAGCTAATTGGACTTGCCGATGACGAGTTCTAGCGGTGTCAAGATCAGCCTCTGTAGAGAAGGCTTGTGAAGGACGCAACTGGTCAGTCGCCTTCCAACAACAGCAGAGGGTGATGCTCACAACAACGAGCGGCACAACAGTTAGCTAAAACGTTTTCAGTGGGGAGCACAGGTGGTTTATCTGCCAGTCATCTCAGTCAACCCATGGCACCTGCGTCTGTCCCGTGACCTGTCAGCGAGCCTTCGACACTTCAAAGTACACCTGGCCTGGCATAGGTGCTGTGGTGACGTCACCGTCACTTAATGGCGAATGGTGGGTGATGTTGATTGCTGGTGTGTGAGTGTATGATGTGTGGGGAGCGGTAGTACAATAGTTAGCGCGCTGCGCCACGAACCCGATGACCCGAGTTTGATTCCCACTCATGGCCAACACCAGTGACGGTTATCTGAACCGGTCCTGGGCCTCCTCTTGGTCAAATAAGCCTCAAATGAGTACCTGGTGCGATGAGTAAATATTGTCTCTCAGGAGACAATGGCGTGTGCCGTGCCAGCCTTTATAGGTGCTACACTAACAGCACCTGCTCCAACGGTTAGTTAAAGCTATACGGGGGATTCTAGATTTAAAGCTTTCGTGACTGCAAGGATCCATACTCTTTGGTTCTATTCGGTAAAGTCACGTAAAAAAACAACAAAAAAATTCACGACGTTTCGGCCACAACACAAGTGGCCTTCATCAGGTGAAGGCACCGTGCTGTCATGAGGACAGCGTTGGAGTGAAAAGAACCAAGCCCAGGTTGCGTCGTTTAAGCTGTGTGGGAAGAAGCAAAACGCTTGACAAAGGAATTAGCATAAAAATTAGCACGATATAGGTAAGAGGTGTATGGGCCATGATGGACCAGGAGCGGGTAGGGACCATGACGGACCAGCAGCAGGGAGGGGGGGGGCGAGTAGAGTGAGTGGAGTGAGTGAGTAGAGTGAGTAGAGTGAGTGAGTGAGGTGAGTGAGTGAGTGGAGTTAGTAGAGTGAGTGAGTGGAGTTAGTAGAGTGAGTGAGTGGAGTTAGTAGAGTGAGTGAGTGGAGTTAGTAGAGTGAGTGAGTGGAGTTAGTAGAGTGAGTGAGTGGAGTTAGTAGAGTGAGTGAGTGGAGTTAGTAGAGTGAGTGGAGTGAGTGGGTGGAGTGAGTGAGTGGAGTGAGTAAGTGGAGTGAGTAGAGTGAGTGAAGGGACCAGACTGTCCAGAGGACAGCGCTGGATTGCACAATGTCAAGCTCAGACCGCGACCTGCTAATTCCTTTGTCAAGCGTTTTGCTTCCTCCCACACAGCTTAAAGGACGCGACCTGGGCTTGGCTGTTTTCACTCTAACGCTGTCCTCATGACAGCACAGTCCCTTCACCTGATGAAGGCCACTTGTGTTGTGGCCGAAACGTCGTGAATTTTTTATTTTTTGTTTTTTTTGTTACGTGACTTTACCGAATATAACTAAAGACTATACGGGGGATCTTTGTCTTTGTTGCTGGTGTGTGCATGTGATTGTTGTCGCCTGTGCGTACCTGAAACTCGCAGAATGTGCTGCACGAGTATGTGGGCCTGCTACGCTGCCTGGTGCACATGTTCCCACACCGTGTCGAGTTCCAAGACCTTGTGACACTCACTGATCCGGACCCTGAGGCGGACTTCTTTGAGAACATGCGTCACATCCAGGTCAGGGGAGCACCGTTCGTCCGTGCTGTTTCATGCCATTAACTTTGTTCACCATAGCTCCTTTTGTATATCATTATACGTAGCTAAGTGGTATTAGCTTCATTCATAGAGAATGCTGTTGACTTTTGTTTGACTGCTGTTGCTTTCTCCAGAATTTTTGTATCATTGCAATGCCCACTAAAAGCGGGCACTCTTTTTGGAATAATATGTATTAATTGTGCCTTTTCTTTATGCGCATTTAATTGGTTAATGGTCACGGAAGCTGCCACTCAAATGCAAACTCTAGACTGGTGGGTTCCCAACTTGTGGTTTGTGAACCACTGGTGCTCTGCACGGCCATGTAAAGTGGTCCGTGGACCCATTGCAGATGAATAGAAAATTCCACAAAGCACCATGTAATTTACTACGCACGGTGGTACGCAAACATTTTTTGAGGGTTCACAGCGACCTGTGGTCCAGAAAATGTGGGAACTCACTTCCTCTAGACCAGTGGTTCCTAACCTTTACTTCAGCCTTGCACCCCTTTGGTTCTCAATAGTTTGATGAAATAAAGTAGTTGTACTTACGTGCCCGTGCTTAATTTGTGTTTTCGATTAATTACCTTCTGAAAAAAATCTGGCATCTCTCATACCCCCAAGGTAGGGCATCTCGCACCCCGAGGGGGTGCGTGCACCCCAGGTTAAGAACCACTGCTCTAGATCATGTAATTTAGTAGGGTGCTCTTCTTAAGCTTGAAATGTGTTGAAATGCGTGCTTGCTCGACGATATGTCTGTGTCACACTGTGGCCGCCACCTCCCATGCAGGTGTACCGGCGGGCACGTGCACTGAAGCGCGTGGCGAGGCAGCTGCAGGACGGCTCGCTCCGCATCTGTGCCGCTGCGCTGCAGAGCTTCATAATGCCCTTTGCCACCACGCCACTCGCCAACCCGAAGTTTTCCAAGGTAACTGCGGCGCAGGAACAAAGTCGCAGAGCATGTTGTAATTTTCCATTCGCCGCAATATTCAAATAATGATTGATTCTTGACCCTAGATATTGTGACGTGGTTTTGAATTTGCCAGAAGGGTGAATCGTTACGCTTTCTCCCAAGGATAATTTTTTGGTTAAAGAAAAATACCTGTAAATGGAGGCCTTGTCGAACCCAAAGCCAAGAATGCACAACGATCTGAAGAACATACATGTTTTGTCTGCACTATGAAAATGCATAATGACAATGGTCTTGTCCTTTCCAGAAGTTAACGGTACACCGGGCATGGATGGCCCATATGAATGACTTAACTGAATCTACAAATTACTTACGTTTCTACACGAGGAAGTAGCCGTTACTGAGCGACGCCTCCCGTCCCCATTTCCCCACCTCTGGGTGCCCCCCTCCTGCGTGACGACCCCGTCCTGCATGACGACCCCCAGTCGCCCCCCTCCTGCAGCCCCACCCCTCCTCACCGCATGCTGGCCCCTCCCTCCTGATGTCAAGAACCAGACGTACAGTAAGGGGGAGGGAGCCAATTGGCGAGCGTGGTGGGCGGTGCGTGACCTCCAGCCAATGAAAACGCCGGGGACAAATGATGGCGTGCCACATCACATTTTTGTTGTTGAAGGTGTAATTTGTTAGACACGTTGAACGCAATATGTTGTCCAACGCACATGACAGTTATTTTTTTTTGTATTCGAGCAGCTGTTTTTATTCGGAGCTCTGCCATGCTGACGGTGCGCACAGACTGAGTTGTGCTCTTTTTGTTTCTTAGCAAGAGAATGTGGTGGAGGCCTGTGTGGACGCACTGGGGGCCATCTGCAGGCACCTGCCCTGGAAGCCCTACCTCTACACTCTGCGGCACTACATTCACCTGCTGCAGACTACACAGTTGGAACTTAAACTGGCGATCAGGTAGTGTGTTTGGAGCTGCACACGATACCACAGCGCTGTGTGGTGGGTAATTTCATTGTATTTGCTGGGGACACATGAGGTCGGCTGTGTAATTGGTGAGAATAAAAAAATAAGGCACTGGTTGCCATTATTATAATCACTGCCTTTAAACAGAGAAGTATATAGAGGGCTCACAATTTAGGAATGGCCCTTCATGATGTGGGTGAACTGGAAGACCACTGCAGAGAGGTGTTTCTCTGCCATTGTCTACACTCACGGATGGAAACACATGCTCCCCACAAATCCCCCTTCCCCTCGCGCCCCTCCACGTTACTGCTCTCCAGCTCACACTCGGTTTGGGGGAGCTATGGTGTATTTTTATTGTTGCCTAGGAGATGATAAAATGGGCGAGTTTTAATTTATTTCTAACCAACAAAGATTGTACGCATCATACGTGTGCATTTTTCTCTCTCTGTGTGTGCAGCTTGCTGATAACTGTGTTGGACGCCTTCCACTTTGACCTTGAGACCTTGCAGAGAGAGGCGGAGCAGAGCATTCGGGAATCTCCAGGTAAGGTTCTGTAAGCGGCACAAACGGGAACAGAGACTGTCCAGCAGGTGTTGCTAGTGCATCGTTTGCTGCGCTCGTGTCTCCGGCTCTCTCACTCATCGTGTTTGTACACGAACATAAAAACGATGTATGTCTATGCTGAACTTATTTGGCACCGTAGGTAGCCACGCGTGCTAACCGATTTGTGAGTGGCCACTTCTGTATATCTGTAGTGGTTAAACTTTACACGAACAGCTTTTGTCTTTCTTCAACCACTTCTTTATTTTCATCGTTTAACGCGTTCTCCACACTCCACCGTATCCTGGACACCACGGCTCGCTCGCCGTGCTTCGCCCCTCTCGCTCACCACCTTGGTTCCCAGTATCACATCGCTTGCCCCGCACACACCTCTTCAACTCTATTCCTACGCTCTCTCCACTGCTGGCTATCCTCCTCAGCTCCTCTGCTATACAGCGTCGTCGCACACAACGAAACCCAATCTCACTTCTCTGTCTCCGCACACCTCGTCCCCAGCTCCTCTATTACTACGCTCTCTCCACTGCTAACTGCTCCGTCTTCTTCAGCTCCGCTAACTCTACGCTCACTCCACTGCTAACTGCTTCGTCTTCTTCAGCTCCGCTAACTCTACGCTCACTCCACTGCTAACTGTTCCGTCTTCAGCTCCGCTAACTCTACACTCACTCCACTGCTAACTGCTTCGTCTTCTTCAGCTCCGCTAACTCTACGCTCACTCCACTACTAACTGTTCCGTCTTCTTCAGCTCCGCTAACTCTACACACAGTCCTGGCTTCCAACTCCGGACCCCAACTCTCCTCAGCTCCCACTCCCAATTCTCTTCAGCTCTGACTCCCCAACTCTGTGTCTCCTCCCAATTTATCCCCCTTCACATTATTGCTAATTAATTGGCCCGAGTGCCTCCGCACACAACGCGTCATCCACGAGCTGTCTCCTCTCAGACATCCCGGCGCCTCTCCAGCCCCGGCAACAGTCCCAGCCAATCACCGCCGTTGCTTCTCGTCTACCTTAATTGGCCCAACCGATTACCTCACCTTTCAGCTTCTGTACGTGCCTGTCCTAAGGCGACCCACGCTATTTGCGCCTTCCATAGGCTAACCCCCAAATAACCCCACACTGTCCGTGTGATCAATACAATCGCGCAGTTTCCCCAGCACACCTTCCTACTCCACTACATATCTATGGAAGTCATACTTATTTTTATATTTTTTATTTTAATATTTCACGTGGAAAATCCCTTGATGGAACATCTTCTTGGCAAAGTTGTTGATTCGCACATATAGAGCAAACAATGACATGTGTACAAACATTGTAAATTACATTCCTCTTCAAGGAAGTAGCTGTGTTTTGCACATCAGCTTCCACGTGAAATATTTTTCGTTGAGCCGAGAGCCAATCCCGTGTTGTCATCTCGCAGCGGCCGCTGTGGAGGCAGCGATGGAAGTAGAGGATGTAGACGATGCGACGCTGCTCGGTGAGGAGGCTGCATGTGGAGAAGGCGAGGCTGCTGAGCCCATGGAGGAAGGCAGCACCCAGGCCCTGGGTCTGGGTGGTGAGGTGGCTGGTGATGCTGCTGCCCCTGCTGCCTCTGCTGTCCGCTCGCACTGCCTGAATGGGCAGCAGCTTCAAGAGCAGGTGCAGCAGACCATCACCGCCAACGTGTTACCCAAGCTGCTCGCCTGCCTCGCCACCAGAGTGAGTCAAGGTGGCCACACTGGATCTGTCCTTGGAACCGGACGCTGTACAGCACAGGAACAGCAATCATGTATGAGGGCACGTGGCCAATGTCCAATACAGTATTTATGCCACATTTATTGTTGTTGTTTATAGACATTATTTTAGATATATGAGTATTTTAAGTGTTACGTTGTATTTATGCTCTTCGTTCAAAATGCATTCTGTTACGTGGTCAAGTCATTGTTCAAAAAAAGATGCTGTGATAATATATTTGTGGAAAGATTACACCAAGAATGTAAGTAATGCATTTGTTAAATTATTCCATTTGAAGGCCAAGTTTGCCTCCATGCATATTTGCATACCAACTGTTGTGTTATATAGGTTACGTATGGTATGGTATACTGATTATCTTCTCGTTGTGCGTGACATGGAATATCATGTAGCCGTGTGGTTGATGCTGTATGCTAAAAGACTTGTTTTGTATAATTTGTGCTGTGTAAGGTCTGTGCAGTATATCTCATAAACATGCGTTTGTACACCAGGCGGGCTGGATGTGAGCCACGTTCTGCAATAATCCGCGTACCGATTCCCACTGCTGGGGGTCTTTCGTTGTGTGAGTGGCGTTGGGCCGTGTTTTAGCGCATGGTGTCCCCGCTGTGTCCCCCGCTGTGTAGAGCAAGGCAGAAATGGACCACAAGGCAGTGCGCACGCGAGGAGTGGACGAGGAGCAGGTGGCTCGCATCCCGCTCGCGCTCGCCGTGGTCAAGCTGCTGCAAGCCTTGCCAAGCAAAGTCTTGGAGGCAAACTTGCCCAGGTGGGGCAGCCCAACCTGGCTTTCTATGAAATTTATGACATGTGTGTAAATGGTAGCCCGCATTCATACAATTATAAGGGAGACACTTAGAATATTATTTTCCCAATTCCATGGAATTGCAGGGCTGGGAGGCTTTTAATGTCTTGGGTTTCCTGTTTCTCTCAACTATGCAGAATGTATGTTTTCTCTGTATATATATAAATACAGGGCTCTGTATAGGATGAAGTTGTGGCGCAGTGGTTAGTGCACTGCGCTATAAACAGCGATCTGATTTTCATTCCTAGCCACAAGCTAACATCAGGGGAGAGAAATGTTTTAATCAGTCTTGGGCTTCCCTTCACAAACTGACAGTGACCATTGTGGTGAAGTATGGTCAAACAACTCCCTGACCAACGTGGTGTGCGGGAGCCCTTCAACAGTGGATTGAGAATGGGTCATAAATTATCATATGTGCTTTTTTTTGTATCACATCTATCAAATCGACCGTTTTTAAATTACAGCATGACTTCTCGTAGCATTTTGCCACCAGATATCAGGTGCCAATGACAGCTGTGTAGGTTGGAATGTTACCCAAATAATGAGGATGTAAAGTAAATATTAAATTTCCCTAAAATATTTAGTGCAAACTTTTTTTTTTGCAATATGGTTCACGTAATGACTGAATGTGAGAAGCTTGATGAATCTTTTGATCCTAATTCACAAATTACAGACATTACTCTTGTACAAGGCTACCAGGTGGAGTTGTCCTCTGTAGTTCTGTTATGCTGGCAGTGCTATTAGTTACAGACACAACTTTTGGATTGTTCATGCATTTGATCCTTTCATGAATGGTATCCATTTAGTCTCAGAAAAATAAGGGTACCTAAATAATTGACAAAACGACTCCTGGAGAGATGTTTGTTTACCCTATGGCCAGAAAAGCCTCCCTTGAATATTGTTAATATGTCCACTGTTCGTTAACAACCCTTTGCAATGTCTTGCGCGCTAACCTCTTTTTACGCCCACATATTTGCAGTCGTGCGTGTAGTTACTGCATCTTGCATTTTGGCCACTTCGCTAAGAACGACGGTTGTGGGGGGGGGGGGGGGGGGGCGGGGGACACACTCGCACGGAGACCGCGAGGGCATTTTGGGCACGTTTTGAGGCGGTGTCTTTTTGGTTGCAATGCCATTTCGTGTGAACGCCCGAGAATGCGGCATGACAAACGAAATGTTACCGCCTCAAAACGGGGCTGCCCTGTACCGAATAGGTGAAGGGAAAGTGTAATTTTAGAACAAAAATAGTCACTCTTAATTCATTCGGAAAGCATTCAAATTCATCCCAAAGGGCCGCTGCTGCTGTTGTCTGCCATCCGAGTCGCCATTTATGGTTCAATGGGCTTTAATCGGGTAATTTGAACTTCTGATTCTGAAGTGGGACATGCATATTGGAAGGAACTTAGAACAAATAATTAAGGAATGGAAACAAACTGAAAAGGGCGCAAATAGATGGAGAGACGTGTACTTGAAATTACATGCATGGATTAAAGGACATGCAATTTGAAGACAAACTATGAAGAAAAGCAAGTGGGCTTCAGGTTGACTCGGCACTAGGAGGGGGATGATTGCTGAGAGTTGAGAACAATGCCGGAGAGGCAGCCAAAGGAGGAAGTGCGCCGAGAAGATGGCAGCGCTGGCATCGGCTCGTGGTGTGCAAGGCCCTGGGTGGGTTATTACATTGCAGGATCATGAGAGATGGCGACGGTATGCGTAAGCTAAACACCTGTTCTAGCAACAACATATGCTGGTATAAGAGGGTTATGTCTGAGTTAAGGATAGAACTCAACTTTGTTTAAATATCCATAATATAAATAACATTTGCCCTCTGCCAATAAAAACGCAGGCTGTTGCTTATTGTCTACTTCCAGGACTCTTATAGAGCCATTGCTCAAAGGTGCCTTGAAACCCAGGGGGAGGCATGTTTGCATACATTGATTTTGCAGATAAAGGAATTTTTGGCCAGGAGAAACGTGTTTAAGTTTGTACTTGTTGAACCTTGAGAATGTGAGTGAGACTGTGGTTGTTTTGGTGTGCGGTGGCCACAGTGTGGTGCTCAAGGTTTGCTTCATGCTGAGGAACCGGCTGCAGGAGGTGCGAGATGTGGCTCGTGGGGTCCTCATCAAGATCGCGGATGCCTTGGGCCCTTCCCATCTGCCCTATGTTCTGCAGGAGTTGAAGTCCACGCTCACAAGGGGATTCCAGGTTGCCCTTTATTTCTCCAACAACCCATAACACTACACTGCACTACATCCCACAGACTGTAGCCCACCTCTTGCTTGGCTTTCAGCGCACGTTGCACACCGTGCATGTGTAGCCCATCCGATACTGCTTTACCGGCCACCTGCAGTGTTGGCCAGGTTGCAAAGTAGAGAGTGAGGCAGTTACGTATGATAACGTGGCTAATTATATTTTTATTATATTTTACAGCCTCACCAGTTTATGAATAACTCCACCAGTCAGTTTGAACTCCATTTTCCAGATCCTCTTTGTAGCCACCGCGCATCCAGATTATTTGCTTTTAAGGGGGCCAGATGCAACGCAGGTCATCCATCACACTTATCCCCTGGGCATTTCTGGCGGTAGTAGAGCAGTAGCAGACCGACTATACATGAAGGCCTTCCATAGCACATCCTTGTTAAACACAGCACCCCTGCGAGCATCATGTTACACATTCTGCATATGGATAAAATTATTACACCCCTTCGCATCACAGGCTGGATGCTGTACATGACGTGCATCCAAACAGGCTCTAGTTAGGTAAATTTGAAGATTTCGGGCCCTATGGGCCCTCATCTCTTAGGTCCTACGGAGGGCTTGGGGGGCCTTTGGGCTTCAATTGTAACCTGTAAAGGCTAAGCTAAGGTACTTTTATATGGGTTGGGGGAGAGAGAGAGAAATGGGCTCACCACCCGGCCAGCGGAGAGACTGTGAGCGGGAGCATGGACTTTTTTTTAAGGGGAAATGGGAAGGCAAGGGAAGAGGAACAAAAGTAAGGGGAAAAAGGGTGACCTTTAACTTTTGAAAAAAAGATTTCATAGTAGAAACATCACAGTTCAAATGTGTAGTCATGTTGGATGATGGGTCATAAATTAAGTTTGTTGTAGTCAATCGATCAATGGTGGTCTTATACTGTATACGTGTCGTAAATATGTGTCGCATTAAGTCCGGTGTACAAAACCGGATGTAATGTTTCCCAAATTTTAAATCAACATTTGTACTGACGTTTAAAAAAAAAAACTACACTTAATTCAATAATAATGTTTCACAAATGTTATGTGATCAAAAATTTTGGAGAGAGTAAAACAACTCACACTTGCTCCATTATAGCATTGATGAATACTCAATCAAAACCATGACTGGATAAGAGCAAGTTGGAGTACTTTTGGAAAGCTGGAATTCAAAAGTGCTGGGAGCACGCTTTAAGTGGCTTTTGCTGTGCATAAGTGCACATTAAAATGTATTGCTTGTTATTCAGTTTGCATGGTTTGCAAGTGATGTTTTCATGTCATTTGTTGTATTTGCTTTGTGCGGTGCACGGTGCTTGGAGGAGGAATCCTCCTCCAAGCACGTGCTTGGAGGAGGAATCCTCCAAGCACGTGCATAAGTGCACATTAAAATGTATTGCTTGTTATTCAGTTTGCATGGTTTGCAAGTGATGTTTTCATGTCATTTGTTGTATTTGCTTGTGCGTGCACGTGCTTGGAGGAGGAATCCATTCGTACACTGTGGGAGGTTCTCCATGCCCATCTGTAATTTATGACCATTCACTGGGAGGAATTATTGTCTGAACCTTTTGTTAATTCAGGCAAAAATTCACATTAAAATGGTTATCAACCTTGTTGGTGTTGTGGCTCCCCAATCAGGACCACTGCCCCCCCACCACCACCTACCCCATTCACACAACTAGCATTACTACGGTCCCAATACAGAGATTACATGTTAATACCTCGATGCGATTTGTCCTATTGCGTATTAGTGTGTCTTGTCACCACAACGTAGCACTGACGTTCCTCTCATTCACGGTCTGCGCCCCTCATAAAGGGTTGGGTTAGTGCACCCCACAGGTTGCCAACCACTGATATGTAGTTTATGTATGTATGTTAAACTTCTGTGTAATCAGAATAGGGAGACGTGGTGCTGCTGTGTTTGTGCAATAAGCATTAACCACCAGTATTCCTCTCAATAATCAGTGCTGCTCACACACGGCCTCTGTGTTTCTTTGTTGCAGCTGCACGTAATGTCGTTCACAGCACACTATCTCCTGAAGAGCCTTACGGCCAACATGCAGCCGGGACAGCTGGATCCTTGCGTGAACATCTTCGTTCAGGTAACGTGCGCAGTTCCCTCCACAGCTGACACTTTGTCTCCGGTGACTCTGAAGTACTGACTAGAAGTGACGTGTAACTCTGTGGCAAGGACTCTGTAAACTTTTGACCCGGTCTAACAAAGTCATCCGTTTTGTTTTCTTGATCTTGAGACACGTTTATATTGAAAAGCATCTGGCTGGTTCGGGAGTGTGTTTAGGATTGTTTGCAAGTTGAAATCCAAGCCAAAGGTCAGCTTGGCCCACAACAGTGGTTGTCTCATGGGGAGACGATGTGAAATTTCCACCACTCCCTTTTAAGGCCATGATCCAGTCAGGGAAATCTCAGGCAATTGTTGCCGGCAATCGTCACCACCAATGGTTGCCGCAGCATTTCCAACTGTACTCATCTCATTGCCCAAAATCGGAACAATTCCCGATCAAGCTGCTGCCCTCCCTAATCGTCAACTGGAACAACAACGTCCAATGAGATCTGAGACGGAGCACACGTGGCTGCCTGATGACGTCACACTTTATTCACCTGGCAGCCACCAAACTTTCCATGAGTGGGATCTGGATGGGTGAAAGAGAAAGCCTTCTGATTGGTTTATATTATAGTAATGTATTACTGAGTGACTGGCTGACTGGTAAAAATGGACTGCATAAAGGACTGACTGAATGACCAGTTGACTGTCACCTTAATTAGTGGCTTGTTTGAGGTCTATCCCATTCCTAATCAACTAGTGACTAGTTCTAGGTCCATTCCATCCCTAATCAAAAGGTTAATTTACAGTGTAGACCAATCATTGTTCAGCATACACATGTTTCATCAAGGCTTGCTTTGATTGGTATGAGAGAATTCTGTCACTATTTCATTGACCACCCAAGTTGCCATAGTGGCTGACGGTTAAGGCATTGCCAGGGATTATTGCCAACAACGATTGCCCAAGTGGATCATGGCCTTTAGGGCCACAAAATGAGATTAAGCAGGAATGAACACACGTTTATAGTTCACTTTAGGAGCAAACAGGTTACTGCTGCATTTATCAGTGATTTTCACAAGTCCACTCTGGCTTTTCGTAAGAACCACAACTGTCTTACACTTTCAAACACACTAAAACTAACACTTATAGTACAATTACAACACTACACGGGTAACTGTTATAGGAACCTTAAATATGTAATTAATGCAACTCTTGTTTCTCCATATGGGCTGATGTTTATATCGATCAACAACTACAATGTTATATTGGGGTGTCTGAGCCAGATAATTGCATCCGTTGCAAGTGCAACAATAACATTTTAACACTTCCATAATCCCAATGAGGTGGATTTTGGCAGAGATTGATGGTGTTATCGTTATCACTCGTCATAATCATCATCACTGCGTCACTGGTCAGTTTCCCGCATTTTCTATTGATCAATAACATCAGTTGGCCTGTATTTACAGCACTTACAGGAATGTTATATATTACACTGAAGCAACTTTCGTGGCCAGGCATGGCTGCTCTGGCTTCTCACATAAAGTGATGTTGAATCTGCGTTTGTTTAGTTTTCTCCACGTGTGTGATCAATTTGTTTGTGAGGGTACATTTATTCCAGCTACGTGGCTGTCCATTGTAGTGAGCGCCTCACAATCGGAAGCTTGCAAGTTTTTAAATTATGCTTGGGGATTGCCTCAGCCCATCATCCCTCCTGGTTAAATAAAATGACCACCACTTTGTGGGAGATCAACAGTGGTTGTCCTATTCATAGTCACACTCCTACCAAAGGAATGAGGAATTTCGATTTCTGCTTAAAGGGTGTAAACAGCAATTGAGCACCGCTTTAGTGCTCATTTGAGCACGAGATCACTCTGACTTCTTGTTGTACATTGGCGGATGTGTATGCGTGTCTGTCCATGTCTGTACATGGTTACCCCATCCTGACAGGTGTGTAACGACGAGCTGTTTGGCGAAGTTGCTGAGGAGAAGGAGGTGCAGGGCATCGTGCGGAAGAGCATGGAGGCTCGTAGCTGCAAGAGCTACGACACCTATGAGCTGCTGGGACAGTTTGTGAGCTGCAGCCATGTTGCCGCCCTTATCCACCCACTCAAGCAGGTGAGCACGACACGCTTGGTTCTGTTGCCACACCACCTATTCTGCTCACTCAGGCAATGTCAAACCAATATCTGCATGCTACATTAAACTACTTCTTCTTGGTTCTTTCGGTGAAGTCACGTATAATGGAAATAAAATATTAAAAATAAAACATAATAAAATGAAATTCTCACGACGCTTCGGCCACAACACAAGTAGCCTTCCTCAGGTGAAGGAACAGAATTGTCGGGGCGACAGCGCTTCAATGAACTCTTCTAAGCTTCGCAGCGTCTTCTTTGGTTCTTTCGGTAAAGTCACGTAGGATGAGAATAAAATAATAAAATAACACAATAAAATTCTCACGACGTTTCGGCCACAACGCAAGCGGGCGTCTTCAGGTGAAAGGAACAGACCTGTCGGGACGACAGAGCTTCAATGAACGATGTTAAGATTCGTAGCGACTTTTAAGTTGGTTGGGAGAAGTGAGGCACCTTGACAAAGGGGGTTTACATATCAAATAGCTGAGGTTTTAGCTTGTGACTGGTCACAGAAATGGCTATGTTAAAGTCAAAACCTACACATCCACAGAGGCAACTAGTAATTTAGCATTGAAATAGCTAAGGGATTAGCTTGTGCAAATAGCTGAGGGATTAGCTTGTGACTGATCACAGAAATGGTTATGTTAAAGTCAAAACCTACACATCCACAGAGGCAACTAGTAATTTAGCATTGAAATAGCTAAGGATTAGCTTGTGACTGGTCACAGAAATAGATGTTTAAGTAAAGGCCTACACATCCACAGAGCTTCAATGAACGCTGTTAAGATTCGTAGCGACTTTAAGCTGGTTAGGAGAAGTGAGGCACCTTGACAAAGGGGGTTTACATATCAAATAGCTGAGGGATTAGCTTGTGACTGGTCATGGAAATGGCTATGTGAAGTCAAACCTACACATCCACAGAGGCAACTAGTAATTTAGCATTGAAATCGCTAAGGGATTAGCTTGTGATCTGGTCACAGAAATAGATGTTAAAGTAAAGGCCTACACATCCACAGAGCTTCAATGAACGCTGTTAAGATTCGTAGCGACTTTAAGCTGGTTGGGAGAAGTGAGGCCCTTGACAAAGGGGGTTTGCATATCAAATAGCTGAGGATTAGCTTGTGACTGGTCACGGAAATGGCTATGTTAAGTCAAAACCTACACATCCACAGAGGCAATTAGTAATTTAGCATTGAGATAGCTAAGGGATTAGCTTGTGACTGGTCACAAAAATAGATGTTAAAGTCAAAGCCTAACACATCCACAGAGGCACCTCGTACATGGGACGCCAAGGGGGCTGCAACAACTCAACTGTCATACAGTAAAACCGATGTGAAAAACCTAATTCTAAATTACATCAATGTAATAAATGTACTCAATATATTCTTCAATAAGCTGAGCTATTAACATTAACTCGGTATACACTACATTATATAATGAATACCATATAGTAAACCAATAAAAACTAAAATATAAGCTACCTCAATGTTATATCACAATGTTATATGGTAAAAAACAGGTGGATTCTTATCTTCCACTTCAGCACCACGGACAGCTACGAGCCCCGTTCAGACGGACGAGTCCATCCATGGTCGGAGCGGAGGAGGAAGGAGGGGAGAAACAGCTGCGAGGCGCTGTTATACTCCATATTATAAACCATACCATTAACCGTGGTGTGAGTGGTATTAAGAGTCAGTGCCAGCGAAAGAGCTGCGGTCTGAAGGTTCTCGTATAGGTGGATGGCCTCATGAACGAATCTCTCATGGTAGCCGGTTGGTTTGCAAAGAACCTCTGTCTTGAAGAAGTCAATGTCATGTGAGCCCACTGAATTATAACAGTGATCTGCCACGGCAGAGGAGTTCGTTCTACCGTGTTTCAAGTCTGCTTTATGTTCGCGGATGCGGTCCGAGATATGTCGTTTGGTTTCTCCAATGTAGCGACTACCACAGAGGCACTTTAGTTTATAAACGCCCGGGTACTGTATGTCTGGAACAGCATCTTTTACAGATGGAACCAGATCACGGATTTTATGTACTGTGTTGAATCGGACCTGGATCTTGTGTTTATTCAGGATTTTGGAGGTCTTTTTAGTGACCCCTGCAATGTAGGGTAAGGTGATGGTATTGAGTGGCTCCACAAGAGGATCTTTCTTCCTGACTGGAGTGATGGCTTTGCGGATTGTGTAGTCGGAGTATAACCATTCGCTCTGAGAGCCTGGTGTACGTGCTTGAGTTCACTGGTAATGTGTTCCTGGTTGGAAATGCATTGGGCTCTATGGTATAGAGTCTTGATGAGGGAGTTCTTCTGGGATGGATGGTGGTGGGAGTCCGGTTTAAAGTAAGCATCTGTATGGGTAGCATTCCTGCAGACAGTGTGGCTCATTGAACCATCAGGTCTCCTTTTAATTAAGACATCCAAAAAGGGTTGTTTGCCATCTTTTTCGACCTCTATGGTAAATCTGATGGCTGGGTGAATGGAATTGATGTGGTCGCGGAATTGGTCTAGAGCAGGCTGGCCATGTGGCCAGATGACAAAAGTGTCATCCACGTACCTCTTCCATAAGGTCGGGCGTAGAGTGGCATTCTGGATGGCGTCAGTTTCGAATTTTTCCATGAATACATTGGCTACAACCGGAGATAGGGGGGAGCCCATTGGGGTGCCCTCAGTTTGTAGAAAGTTCCATTCCAGGTGAAGTATGTTTTGGTTAAGCAAGATCCAGGTCCGATTCAACACAGTACATAAAAATCCGTGATCTGGTTCCATCTGTAAAAGATGCTGTTCCAGACATACAGTACCCGGGCGTTTATAAACTAAAGTGCCTCTGTGGCAGTAGCTACATTGGAGAAACCAAACGACATATCTCGGACCGCATCCGCGATCATAAAGCAGACTTGAAACATGGTAAAACGAACTCCTCTGCCGTGGCAGATCACTTATAATTCAGTGGGCTCACATGACATTGACTTCTTCAAGACAGAGGTTCTTTGCAAACCAACCGGCTACCATGAGAGATTCGTTCATGAGGCCATCCCCATATACAAACACAGAGACAATTTCAACCGAGAAGATGGATTCTGGCTTAGTAACCATTGGAAAGATGTTTTAAACCATTTCGGTTCTTAATTGTATTTCACGAGGACCTTTAGACCGCAGCTCTTTCGCTGGCACTGACTCTTAATACCTCTCACACCACGGTTAATGGTATGGTTTATAACATGGAGTATAACAGCGCCTCGCAGCTGTTTCTCCCCTCCTTCCTCCTCCGCTCCGACCATGGATGGACTCGTCCGTCTGAACGGGGCTCGTAGCTGTCCATGGTGCTGAAGTGGAAGGTAAGAATCCACCTGTTTTCACCATATAACATTGTGATATAACATTGAGGTAGCTTATATTTTAGTTTTTATTGGCTTACTATATGTTATTCATTATATAGTGTAGTGTATACCCAGTTAATGTTAATAGCTCAGCTTATTGAAGAATATATTGAGTACATTTATTATATTGATGTAATTTATAATTAGGTTTTTCACATCGGTTTACTGTATGACAGTTGAGTTGTTGCAGCTCCCTTTGGCGTCCATGTACGAGGTGCCTCTGTGAATGTGTAGGCTTTGACTTTAACATCTATTTTTGTGACCAGTCACAAGCTAATTTCTTAGTTATCTCAATGCTAAATTACTAGTTGCCTCTGGATATGTAGGTTTTGAATTTAACATAGCCATTTCCGTGACCAGTCACAAGCTAATCCCTCAGCTATTTGATATGTAAACCCCCTTTGTCAAGGTGCCTCACTTCTCCCAACCAGCTTAATGTCGCTACGAATCTTAACAGCGTTCATTGAAGCTCTGTGGATGTGTAGGCCTTTACTTTAATATCTATTTCTGTGACCAGTCACAAGCTAATCCTTAGCTATTTCAATGCTGAATTACTAGTTGCCCCTGTGGATGTGTAGGTTTTGACTTTAACATAGCCATTTCTGTGACCAGTCACAAGCTAAAACCTCAGCTATTTGATATGTAAACCCCCTTTGTCAAGGTGCCTCACTTCTCCCAACCAGCTTAAAAGTCGCTATGAATCTTAACATCGTTCATTGAAGCTCTGTCGTCCCGACAGGTCTGTTCCTTTCACCTGAAGACGGCCTCTTGCATTGTGGCCGAAACGTCGTGAGAATTTTATTGTGTTATTTTATTATTTTATTCTCATTCTACGTGACTTTACCGAAAGAACCAAAGAAGATGAATCCTTGCAGTCACGAAAGCTTTAAATCGAAATTCCGCAGCGTCTTTTAAGCTGGGTGGGAGGAGCAGAGCGCCTTTACAAAGGAGTTTACACATCAACAGAAGAATTTTTAGCATTTAAATAGCTGTGTTAAAGTGTTGGATTAGCAGGGTGTTAAGTCAGAAATTATCATGTAACTGGGAGATTAGCATGATGTTAATGTGAGGGATTAGCATGTAACTGGTCACAGAAGTAGCTATGTTAAAGTCAGAGTTTACATATCAACAGAGGCATTTAGTATATTGACGCTAAAGAACTGCAACTACCCAACTATCATACAATAAGCCGATGTGAAAGAACTAAGTATAAACTACATCAATATAATAAATGTTCTCAATTTATTCTTCAATAAGTTGAGCTATTAACATAAAGTAACTGGGTATACACTACACTCTATAATGAATACCATATAGTAAACTGATAAAAACTAAAATATAAACTACATGAATGTTATCAATAAACTCAATATACTCTCCAATCAGCTGAGCTACTAACAATAAGACATTATACATTACAATTCTATGTCGAAAAAAAGGTGGCAGTTTTTTCTTTTCAACGTTAGCACCACAACAAAATTCAGGAACTACTCAACGATGGCAGCTATACAAAAATCAGAAGAGACCCCACCAACAGCCTCGTTAATAAAACCAACAAAATAATTTCTGCTTCAACAGCATTAATTGATCAAACCAAACAGTTCTCGTTGAAACCTTCTGCGGCCAGGCCACCAAGATTATATGGCCTCCCAAAGATACATAAAGAAGATACACCTCTTCATCCCATCGTCTCTACTATCCTCTCCCCCACCTACAAACTGGCTCGTTTTCTGTCTGAAATCCTGCGGCCTTTTACTGGAAAAACCACCTCTGCGGTACTAAACTCTACTCACCTAGTATCGACAATCAAGTGTATTTCCCTGTCCCAGACGAACTGCTTGTCAGTTTTGATGTTGTTTCCTTATTCACAAAGTTCCTATACCTGACACCATCGCAATCATTGAAGACTTGGTTCATCAAGGACTGCATACGGATGTACCCCCCCCTGGTGAGCAGCATCTTTTACAGATGGAACCAGATCACGGATTTTTATGTACTGTGTTGAATCGGACCTGGATCTTGCTTAACTAACACATACTTCAACTGGAATGGAACTTTCTACAAATAAACTGAGGGCACCCCAATGAGCTCCCCCCATCTCCGGTTGTAGCCAACGTTTTCATGGAGAAATTTGAGACTGACACCATCCAGACTGCCACTCTACGCCCGACCTTATGGAAGAGGTACGTGGATGACACTTTTGTCATCTGGCCACATGGCCGGCCTACTCTAAACCAATTCCTCGACCACATCAATTCCATACACCCAGCCATCAGATTTACCATGGAAGTCGAAAAAGATGGCAAGCCACCCTTTTTGGATGTCCTAATTAAAAGGAGACCTGATGGTTCAATGAGCCACTCTGTCTACAGGAAAGCTACCCATACGGATGCTTACTTAAAGCCGGATTCCCACCACCATCCATCCCAGAAGAATTCCCTCATCAAGACTATATACCATAGAGCCCAATGCATTTCCGACCAGGAACACATTGCCAGTGAACTCAAGCACTTAAACCAAGCTCGCAAGGCTAATGGTTACTCCGACTACACAATCCGCAAAGCCACCACTCCAGTCATGAAGAAGGATCCTCTTGAGGAGCCATTCAAAACCATCACCTTACCCTACATTGTGGGGGTCGCAAAAAAGATCTCCAAAATCCTGAATAAACACAAGATCCAGGTCCGATTCAAAACAGTACATAAAATCCGTGATCTGGTTCCATCTGTAAAAGATGTGGTTCCAGACATATACAGTACCCGGGCGTCTACAAACTAAGTTGCCTCTGTGGTAGCAGCTACATTGGAGAAACAAACGACATATCTCGGACCGCATCCGTGAACATAAAGCAGACTTGAAATACGGTAGGACGAACACCTCAGCCGTGGCAGATCACTGTTATATAATGCAGTGGGCTCACATGACATGACTTCTCCAAGACGGAGGTTCTCTGCAAGCCATCCGGCTACCATGAGAGATTCGTTCATGAGGCCATCCACATATACAAACACAGACAATTTCAACTGAGAAGATGGATTCTGGCTTAGTAACCATTGTAAAGACGTTATAAACCATTTCGGTTCTTGATTGATTGTATTTTACGGTGACTTTCAGACCGCAGTCCATTCGCTGGCACTGCCACTTAATACCTTTCACACGACGGTCAATGGTATGGTTTATAGCATGTTGTATAAGAATTAATAGTATAACAGTATAATGTTTAACATAATTCATAAGGCAATATATAGTATCGTAATTGTATAGTGAATATACAGCAGTGTGGTATACAGTAGGGTTGGTAGAATAATACATAGTGTAATATTACAAGTCTAATATTTTATAGTCTAAAGTATAGGGTAGTGTGTAGTAACGCATTGTATAATTCAAGGGTGGGGTTTGTCTATGGCAGTGGATATTATGGTGTATAGTCGTGTAATGTAGAAATAAGTTTAGTTGGAGACGTCAATATAATGCATAATGTTAGAGCTTACATTGGGCTGTGTATATGATATTATACAATGTAGTTTAGATTGGAAGGTATAACATTACAATGTATAGTAGTCTAGTTTATAACATAGTTGTAACACAACACAGGACAGAGCAGCGCATCGTGGCTGTTTCTCCCCCCTCCTCCGTTCCGAGCATAGATGGACTCGTCCGTCTGAACAAAGCTCGTCGCTTTCCGTGGTGCGAACGTTGAAAAGAAAAAAACGCCACCTTTTTTTCGACATAGAATTGTAATGTAGAACGTCTTATTGTTAGTAGCTCAGCTGATTTGAGAGTTTATTGAGTTTATTGATAACATTGATGTAGTTTATGTAAACTCTGACCTCATCATAGCTACTTCCGTGACCAGTTACATGCTAATCCCTCACATTAACATCATGCTAATCTCCCAGTTACATGCTAATTTCTCACTCTAACACCCTGCTAATCCAACACTTTAACACAGCTATTTCAATGCTAAATTCTTCTGTTATGTAAACTCCTTTGTCAAGGCGCTCTGCTCCTCCCACCCAGCTTAAAAGACGCTGCGAAGCTTCGCAGTGTTCATTGAAGCACTGTCGTTCCTTCTGTTCCTTCACCTGAGGAAGGCTACTTGTGTTGTGGCCGAAACGTCTTGAGAATTTTATCTTATTATGTTTTATTTTTATTATTTTATTTCCATTCCACGTGACTTTACCGAAAGAACCAAGAAGATGAATCCCTGCAGTCACGAAAGCTTTAAATCGAAAATTAAACTACTTGTTTCAATAGATGAACTGCCTGGAGGGAAAATGTATATATGTCACCTATTACATATACACGGTAAGGCCTCGACATCCGTGAGGCTTAGGTTCTCGAAAATCGGCGCAGAAGTAGACGTTGTGAATGTAGCTAAGGTGATTATATATGGTAAAAAGTAGGTTAGGTTCTAGTGTCGACTGAACATACAGGAGAAAATTCAAATGTTTCATAACATTAATTCTGTACTGTACACAAATAACTTCTGTATACTTAATTAAATTGAAATAATAACATACATAAATTATACTGTCAATTTGGAAGTTTTATTTACCTTGGATGACGATGGTGGTGTGATGCTGATAACTACCTCGGCCACACTTTCCCCGATTGCCTATTTATTTCTTTATCCGACTGTTGACTCGTGTACCAGGTAATGGCGGCCAAAAGCAGACAACGCACCAATCACCCTGAGCGCAAGTCCGCCCAAAAACTACACTTTTTGATCTAAACTCCTCACTTTTTTCGGCCTGTTTTGCTCTCTTACTTTCTCCCCTCACTTGATGGTTCGATGCCATGATCGACAAAAAAAACACGACAAATCAGGCAAATGTAGCACGAAAGGCATAGGCACTTGAAGAGTAAAATCTTCACGTGGCCCACAATCCACTGCTATGCTACGAAAGTACAGTACCCCCTCCCCCATGATGCGATGTTGTCAAATCGCGAATTGTTGAAGGACAAAATGTGCAATGTTTAAATTGGTATACAAATCTAAAATCGCGAATAATTGAATTTCGTAAAAAGAAAAATCCGAAGGAAGAAGTTTGGACTGTGCGTATTTGTTTGCTTTTAAGGCGGTGTTATAGTGATGAATGTGTTGTTTGTGCTTGTGCACCACTCCACGCAGTATGACCAAGTAATTTGTTTCAATAGATGGCTAAATGTGTGACTTGAAATTTTTAAGAGGTCCTTACATGAATTAAATAATTTGCTGGTTGATTATTTTAAAGTAGCCAGATGGCTTTGTGACAAGATTACTAGATTTCACTCGGAATTGGAAAGTAGTGATAATTAAACTCCAGTTAGGGGTTAACTCTGTTTGCAAAATGTTACTGGGTCATTCCATCCATTCATTCATTCTACTCATATCCAGAGTATGCACATATCCACGTGGATTAGGTTGGGTTTGTGTGGTGTTCAGCAATGTAACCCAACGCTGGCGGCAACAGGTGTTGGAGGGCACGATGAGCCACAAAGTGGCTCACAAGGTGCAGGAGTGCTTGCGCCGCCTGGTTCTGGGTCTGCTCGAGAACTGCCAGCTCACGGGAGACACCTATCTCCTGCTGAGTCACGCCATGATCACGGACAGTCTGCCCATCCTCATCAAGAAAGCCAGGTTTGTGCAGTGTCCGCTAAAAAAAAACTTGCTTGGCCTTGTTGTTTAACTTCCCTTTGTTGGCTTGCTTACCTAAACAAAGCAGTCACCAACTCAGTCAATAAAATAGATTTTACTTACCAACAGATTCACTGTGTTCGCATTCCTGGCAAGAAAGTGTCGACTCCACAGTCAGGATATTTTTTTTCATTTCACCAGCTTTAATTACATTCACCCCTCATTACGTGGTAACTCTCAATGTACGGAATTTCGCTAAAATGCAACTCGCACATTAAGGAACAAATACAATGTACGCTATATGAAATTCGCATTTATGGGATTTTTAATCCCTAAATTTTTCTTTTTTTTACATTTTGGAGAAAAATCGAGCAATGTCCCCATTGTCCTTGTGCACATTTTGTGGTGCATAAAAATATTTTCTGCTTTAAGTGTCATTTATTACCACGTCTTGGGGCTCAAATATTTTCAATAAGAATGCATCTCCAATTACCTAATGGAAGTCAATGGCAAAATAGTGTGCGAAATACGGAATTTTGCTTTACAGATTATTTTTCAGGAACGTATCTGTTCCCTATATCGAGGGGTGCCTGTATTCACTGTTGCTGTTTTTTTTATTGACATGTAGACCAAAGCTTCCAGTGTTATATGGCAAATGTTGGTTTAAAGCCTTCAAACATGAGTTCACCGCAAATAGGTAAATTCCTGTTGCTATATCGCTCTCGTTACTGGAGTTTTGGGCATTAATGTGGAACCTCAAGAAGCCTTTAAGGTGCATTCAGCTGGCTCTGAACCTCGAGCAATATTGAACCATGGGTGAATGGCTTAGCAGTAGAATAAGTGCTTTGCAATCTTAAGGTTGTGAGTTCAAATGCTTGTTGGGGGTCGACTCAGCCCATCAGAACTGAGGTGTCAAAAAGATGAGGACTACTTGGTGGGAAATTCAACAGTGCTTGTCCCGTGAATCGATTCTTTTCCACCACAGCATTGTGGAGTTTCCAGGAGATGAACTACATTCCTGTAAACCCCATATTAGTGCCTACCTTATTACAGATCAATTCAGACCTTATTGGACACCCTGTGCCCTAAAAATCTCAACGTTCATCCTACAAAGTCCACTCACAAGGGATAAACGCAAACAAATAGACAATGTTTTGTTTTCCCGTATTGAAACGGCTGTACGCCGTATGGACCTGAACTAAATTTCCCTGTACAAGAATACGGGTAAACCGTATGGGTTGACAGGTATGGAACTACAACGTGAATGAGCAGGAAATCACTTTGAATTTGAGAATATTGAAGCTGCGCTATCGCATGAATTGGTATGTGTGCAAGTGTGTTTATGTATGCAGTGACTATTCATGTCCATATGCTCATCTATGTATGTAATATGAACATGAAACGAGAATGCAGATGAAACTATAATAATACTAGTGGGAAGTACCCGGCGTTGCCCGGGCAAAAAAGACACACACACATCGACTTACACACACATCGACTCAGACACACACAGATCGACGCGCACACACACAGATCGACGCACACACACACATCGACTTACACACATCGACTCACACACACACATCGACCCACACACACATCGACTCACACACACATCGACTCACACACACATTGACTCACACACACATTGACTCACACACACATCGACTCACACACACATTGACTCACGCACATTGACTCACACACACATTGACTCACACACACATCGACGCGCACACACACATCGGCTTACACACACATCGACTCAGACACACACACACATCGACGCGCACATACACATCGACGCACACATTATTACTTTTATATTTACTAAGTTTTTAAATTATAGTTTTCTATCTAAGTGACTTTAGTGAAAGAACCAAGGAAGAGGGGAAATGCACACGTGTATAATAAGTAATTAAGAGTGACAATGGTGTTCCGCCATTTTTGTGCAAACATTTGCCGCTAGCAAAAGCAGTAAATAAATTAAAGTCAACGAATAATAAATCAACTTATCCTACCTGTAACTGAGCAGATGCGCACCAATTAAGCCTAATTGACATAATGTCACTGCTCCAACCCCTGTACTGAGGGGGCAAGTGTAAATATGTTAGAATGAAGACGTAATTGCATTTCGTATATTTATTTGTTTGCCCCTGTAAGTGATATTACGTGGCTGCTTATGCCTCAAGAGTACAGAAAAGGCGATTATTCCCCTCAAACTTGTTTTTTGTGAGCAGGACAGTGACATTTAGAATTGTACCTATTTTCAAAGAGAACTTGTGCATAAGTGTCATTCCCTCACATAATGACGTGGTCGCAAAAGCAAAGTTTGTGAAGAATAATAGCCATTTTGTATATAACAATTTCAAAGTAGCACTTAGTACTCAGGGTTAAAAATCGTGTTACGTAGATGAACTAATCCCTTGTCATGAAATATTGAATAACAGGAATAGTAATGAGTAAACAGTTATGGTAATAAATGTTTGAAGGGAGCTGTAAATCTGTGTTACCTTGCACAGTGTAAACATGAATGAGAATTCCCCCTGTCCTCCACCTAACACGTGTGCCTTGGTAGGAGCGCGCAGGCGCAGATGCGTGCTTTGCGCGTGCCCGGAGGCGCAAGGTAATAAATAAATAATAATAAACAGCACTAAATCGCTAATTAAAGTACTTTAAAGGTGACGGACACGAATTCGGAATAGCACTGGCTCACCACGGGGCTTATGCTGTGCTACCTGGGTACTTTTTTTAAACGTAAACCCCACTGTTCGCGAACCAAATCCCTCGCAAGTGTCGGCCACACACAGACAGACAAAAAATGCCTTTCATAGATTAGAAGATTATCTACCAGACATTGCAACGTCACAATATACGTGCCGCTGACTTTCTGGCACAGATACAACATTCATACAGCTGTGCAGTCCGTAGTAGTGGCTCCCTGTAGAAAACAATATCAATAAACGCCAGCTTATGAAATGTACGTGATACGTTCATCTTCGTACGGTTACAGCACTTCGTGTGCCAAAGGACCATGTTGAAGTTCGTGTTAATGACGTGGCGTGTTTGTGTGTGCGCGTGCGATTGCTGTATGCGGAGTGCAGTAAGGACCGCGTAGCAGCGCTCTCGGCCCCGAACTCGCGGCCCCCCAGCTGCCTGCTGCTGCCTCCGACCCCAACGCGCGGCGGGGAAAAGGCGGCGGTCAACGCACGCACCAACGTGCACATCCTGGTGGAGTTTGGCCTGCAGGTCTGTCGGCATGCTTCGCGTCTCACTGCGCGCCAGCGCCACCGCGCGGTTGTCAGACCTGCGCCCGCCCGTGAGCGCGTGTACCGGTGGAGGTCTGGCAGCCGCACAATAGAGCAGGCATGCCGATATGACATTCTCATGTTGCAACTGAATCCTCCACCATCCGAGTAATTATGTATGGCCAGAGCATGTTTGACTAATCTGATTGTAATAACAGCTTTCAGACAATAAAGTGTCTTTCAAAGAAGACCAATTTTATTTTGGCATCCTATACTATAAATAGGCCTCTATTCAACTCATCCTGCCATTGCTTTGAACAACTTGCAGTAATGAAACTGAACTGGAGCAAACTTCACAAAGGTGTCGCATTCCCTCGACCTTGTGTTCAGTCCGACTGCATTGGTGACGCAACCTGGTGGATTGCGCGTTCACCACTTTTTGCAGAGGCTCACAGTTCACAGCCAGCGGCTGCCCTGGTTCATACCGAAGGTGTAAGAACTCTCGTACAACGCGCCATTGCTTCACAGTGGACATGAACGATCCCGTGACGTCATTAAAAAGAGTGGGCCGTTGTGTGCTGGCATCAGGGTCCCGATTTGAAGATTTCCCGCAAACGACTCAAATGGGATTACACACAGCAGCAATCATCGCCCCCCTACTGGTAGAATAATACCCCAGGTCACTCTTGTAAATCAGTCTATCCTCTCACCTGGTTAAACAAAATAAACCTGAACTTGAACCATAATAAGTACCAACAAAAGGCATACTTTAAATAAATAGGAAGTACAGGTATACCTCGATTTACGAACATTCGGTTTACGAAGTTTTGCGTGAACGCAATTGACAAATTATGGATGCATTTAGATTGATGAAATTTAATTTCCGCATTCTCTAAATTTTGCTACGGCCATGAAGTAAAACAAAGAAGCCACCTGGGGGGTTGCGTTGTTTACGCCTCCACATCACCTCTGCAGTGATTACAATCTGCAGTATTTTGGTGCATTCCCTAAAAGGTTAATTATATATATTTTTAAATAAATTATAATTCAGTGATTTTATTATTCATGTTGTGAGCTCGTTTCTCGATATTTCCATCGTTGCCTTAAGTGCGTGCTTCGCTGAAGTAATTTGTTTTTGTTAATTTTCAGGTTTTGCATCTGACACTGAAGAGGTCAAAGGTGAAAATTACTGAGAAGAAAGTCTTGGAAATGGTGGACCCGTTTGTTTTGCTGCTGTGCGACTGTTTGGACTCCAAACACGTCAAGGTGCCCGTGCCTTCCCACAAAGTAGAGCTGCCACTTGCAGCACTCGCGGACTCGCTCCTGTCGTTTGCTCACCGGCGGCTAGTCGCCTCCCTATAGCTCTTCTATCACTACGACCAAAATTACTGCAGCTATTAACTTCTCTCATTGATTCCTTCAGCCATGTCAAGGAATTCAGCCTAAAAGATTGTTTCACCTCAACCATACCTTGTTCAGCCACCACGCTACATATCCCAACAACTCGCTCACCCATTCACTCGCCCCACTGCAGGTCACAACACATACCCACTCACCATGCACTCACCTACTCACTCCATTTGCAGGTCACAATGCAAATCGTTTAGCTTCTTTCCTTGCACTGCTCCACTTTGAAATCTCCCATTCTATATTTGTTACTGGCGTCTAGATATGTTGGGGCCTTTGCCCAGAAACTGTTTAAAAATGTTAAAAATGTGATTTCATCCTGTAATGTTTGCCGCCCACCCCCAGTGCTCTATTTCTGTCTCTACTCAGGGTATAACAATGAGTCAAATATATAAATCATATATCTATTTATGATGATACATGCTTTAAATGATCTGTGAATGCTTATGATTTCAATATGCTGTATACAGTCACTAGAGATGCTGTAATGCACGGTAATTAATTATTGAATCGAATCGTGACCACAAATTACTGCCCCTTCACCATTCCACCTGACCATCGTTTTTGCCCCTTCATCCGTTCTTCTTGACCCATCCCTCAAAACTTCCCTTTTTGGTCTTTTTTTTTCTCCACCCCTCTGCCACACTGCCCGCCCCCCCCTGTGTCTCCTCTGGCAGGTGGTGGCGAGCGCCCTGCGGTGTCTGGCCTGGTCGCTGCGCTGCCCCCTCCCTTCCCTGGGGAGGCTCGCCGACCGCCTCACCAAGCAGCTTTTCCTCCTGCTCAAAAACTATGCGTGTGCCGGCGCTGCCAAGGGGGACAATTTCGAGATGATCCTTTCCTGCTTCAAGGTCAGGCGCTGCGCTGCACCTCGCTGCTGTGCGTCGAGTGAACAAACGAGCCTATGATCCTCTGCATAAAAGTAACAGGTGTAGCCCTGCAATTGCTGGCTGATGTCACCACTGCAGACGGAAAGGCCTCTACTAGAAGGGGATTCTATAGAGAGCTTCTTGAGTGTATTTTAGCTGATGTTTTCATGCTGGCCAGATGTCTCAGAAGAGGTTGTATTAGTTACCCACGGTTGACCCCAGCACACATGACCTTCCAATTGGCTAACTGAGATTTACCCATTTATTGAATCACGGTATGTGTGTGGAGAATTAAGACACGTGTCCATTGCTTCAGCTGCTGCGCCGAGTGATACCTATTTAATGGCTCTTTGTTACGAGACTGTCCACACAGTTCGCTTCACTGTGCGAATTGGTGAGGTGCTGTGAAGCGTGAAGTGGGCAACAGTTCACGTGTACCAAGTGGGGTTATTATTTAAACTCGATTTGGTGCTTTTGTGACTGCAGGAATTAATCTTTGTTTTTTTCGGTAAAGTCACGTAGAAATAAGAAAAAATAAAATTACATAATATACGATGTTTCGATTGCAACACAAGTAATCATCATCAGGTAGAGGAAACACATAACCGCAGATATATATACAGACCTTAAGTAGAGGGAATTAACACAGATATACCAGGGGATACAGAGAGACGGAGCATCACACTAAATAAAACAGGGTTTAGCAAAATTTGGAAACCATATAAAGCAACACAGACGGTCGGTCAAAACACAATTAACGCATGGTCTGGTTGATTACACTATTTCAAAGATTGCTAAATTGTTAGTTAAGTGTGAAATTTAATAGAGTGATAGAAATTTAGCTCTTCTCTACCTAATGATGATTGCTTGTGTTGCAATCGAAACGTCGTACGCTATTATGTAGTTTTATTATTTATTATTCTACGTGACTTTACCGAAAAAACCAAAGAGTAATATATAATCTATTATTTGGGTCTTTCGGTAAAGCCATGTGGCATTACCAAAAGACCCAAAGAATATGAATTCCTGCAGTCACGAAAGCTTTAAGTCAAGATCGAATATATAATCTGTTTACCAATGGCTATAAACGCTCATGTGGGCAGTAGACTGAGCACAATGCTGAACTGCATAATAAGCATAGATGGGCAATGGGTTACTGAGCATCCTGTTTCGGTACTTACCATGTTACGATCCACGATCCCATCTCTAGTAGTTGTACCTACTACTACGCGTAGGTTGTGTACTACGTTACAATCCACCATCCCATCTCTTTGCTTCAATTTAAGTACTTTCGATTTACGTTCTGGTTTTCAGGAACACATCCTGGGCATAACCCGGGGTATGGCCTGTACATGAAAATAAAACTAAATTATAAAGTAAGGCACTTTCTGTTTTATAATTATCATGGACTTATGCAAAGGTGAAGTGTTTTTATTACCAAGTCCATAACACAGGTTAGTTTGGGTTTTATTTGTCTTCCTTTTAGCATTACCATAGAGAGCAATCATTGATGCTAGACACCCTTAATCGAACAATCTACACGTTTAGACGTGCTAGCATTTAGATCCTTTTAAATCAGACGGAAAGTAACATTGGAAGGGGTCATTGTGGGTTTGCGTGCCTCAGGTGATGACGGTGCTCGTGCGCCACATGGAGAAGAGCCAGCTCACGGAGAAGCAGCTGCAGGTGCTGCTGGGGTATGCGGAAGAGGACATCCATGATTCATCTCGCCAGGCCACAGCCTTCGGACTCCTTAAGGTAATCTATTACAGGTGTTTTTTGGGATAGATTGTGTAAATATGAATGTCGTTAAACCCGCCACCATCCGACACAGCCAATTAGTAAGTTTTGTCACGTAAACAAAACGTGCCAATTCGTTACTAGTTCAGCACACCGGTTGTGTGTTGGAGAGTAAACCCACAACATTTACAATTCGAGTATCGTGACATTTCGCCAGTAATTAAAACTAGCATCATCAGGCGACAGTCAGTGCTGTGAAGAAACCGTCCTGTTTCGGTTTTAAATAGGGTGGTAAATGTGATGTCGTCATTTGTGAGCCAATCAGGTGTGAAGACCAGAGGGGGGAGGGTTAATGTTTGCATACAAATTACAATGGATGACCATTACCGGTTGGGTTATTTATAAGGTTATCAAAATACATAATGTGCATGCACAACGTACATCAATTATGCATGCACATTATGTATGTTGGGTGCAAGAAATCGCAATACCTGTTTTTGGCTGCTCACAGTTAATCACCAACGACGTATGGACAGGTTTTGTGAGTTGAGATTATTTAGAAATTCAATGCCCAGAAACTGTTTAGAAGGGGACGAGTGCCGGCGAGTAGCCTATGTGGTGAGCAGGGATGCAATTCAATGTGACTGATATTTGCAATGGGCTAGGATGTCAAATCTTAACCAACTAGGACTGAATGCTTCGGATCTCTTAAACAGTTTGAATACCAGGCATGTAATGATAGACCAATTCAGCAATTCACATCGATTATTTCGCTCATGATGCATGCATCAAATTGTGCAGGAATCTATTGCTTAAAGTTGTAGAGCATTAGTAAAACTTCGCCTCACAAGATTTTGCATTTGGCTGCATCAGGTTGACCAATTAAAAATCAATTTTAAATTGCAAAAAAATTCTAAATACAATCGATATTGTACATGCTACATACTCTAGAATGTAATATACTAGCTTTACTACCCGGCTTCGCCCGACACTTGGATTCTTGTCTTGGATTAATACACGGCCTACGCGGAGCGTGGGGGGGGGAATGCGTGACGTTAGCAGGCACACTGCATACCGCTGCCGCATGCAGGTGACATGACAGATGTGATGTCACCTCTCACTTGCTGTGCAATATATTACATGCACTAGCTTTACTACCCAGTGCGCAAAGAATGCCTTAGAGCTGCAACACATTTGTATGGCACTTTACTCGCGGAGGGTTGGGGGGGGGGTGCGTGACGTGAGCAGGCACACTGCGCGACGCTTCCGCATGCGCGGGTCACATGACAGATTTGACGTCACAGCTCACTTGCCATGCAATATATATGCATTATTGAGCTCCCCCCCCCCCAAAAAAGTGTATTTTTAGAATTTTTGCATGGTGTACAGTCTGGAAAGTACCCACATGGCAAATTTCCAGTTTGTTTGCATGTCAGGAAGTACGCTAAACATTTTGAACAGACACACATATTTACAACTTTGCCTTTTATATATATGGAGATTATTGCACCCCCCGCCCAAAATACAAAAGTCTCTTTTTAGACTTTTAGCGTTGTGTACAGTCTGGAAGCTACCCACATGGCAAATTTCAAGTTTGTAGCATGTTTGGAAGTATGCTAAACGATTTAGGCCGCTCGGATAGGGTATGACGTTAGAGCTGAAAATTGTCGCGTTCCCTTAGAATTTCCGGACAACATTAGCTGTGCAAATGTCATCACTTCACAGCTCAGCGTTCCAGAGTTTTTCTGCTTCACACAAACAGATGTATTTTCTGCTTTATATTTAAGAGCGAGCTGAAAATAGTCGCGTTTACTTAAAACATCGAGACAGCTATGCCGCGCATTCCCACAAGGTGTAGTGGGAAATGGACCAAGGATATCAAGAGCAACCACCTCATTTATGCGGGAGACCTGAATGGATTGCAACAGTGGACAACAGGGTTCAGACGAGGGTTTCCGCCGCGCGCACTGCACACACCCTTTCAACAAATTAGCAAAATCTTCTGCCATGCCAGACCAGAAAAAATCGAGCTTAAGTGTGCCTAGTGTCTTATGCAACAGTCGCTCGTGCACTGCCCAGATAAAACTACCCCGTAGGGCAGTGGGCACGATAATGTCGTAATGGCACAACCCTCAGTCCCAATGCATGAGCAATCCGCCTCTGAGGATGACAGAGGCTACACCCCGTCGATCCCCATCCCCCTCCGCCTCCTTGACACGGCGTCGCAACTTAAGCAGGGAAGCATCCTCAACCTGGAGGCGCCCCCACTCCACATGGTCCAAGCCAATAATGGTGTCACGCGCCACGGGACCATCGGCTTTCCTAGAGGTGTCAATCTCGGCCGACGCCACAAGTGCAGGGGGCGAGTCCTCAGCAGGCGCCTGACAACGCCACGAGCCCGAAAAACATGCGCACCCGTCGCTCGTTGGTAATCGCGACAGGGCATCTGCGTTTGTGTGTCGGGTACTTTTGCGATATGAAACAGTAAAGGAATAGTCCTGGAGGACTTCCAACCAACGTGAAAGTTGGCCAGACGGCTGCTCAGTACGCAGTGCGTACTGTAGCGCTGCATGGTCAGAACGCACTTCAAAGCATCTGCCATAAAGATAGGGGCGATACTGTTGCACAAAAAAAAACAATAGCCAAAAGTTCCCGACGTGTGACATGGCACCGTTGTTCGGCCGGAAACAGCACTGCTGCCATATGCGAAAACTCTCGACGCCACTAACAACTTGAGACAGAACAGTGCCAATTCCGGTGTTACGAGCATCTGTATCAAGGATGAACGGCAAGGCAAAGTCGGGGTAGCGGAGGGGAAAGGCGTTCACCATGCCGTCTTGGAGCGCAACAAATGTGGCCTCCTCCCCCCAATGGAACTGACCCTTTGCCATTATTGTGTGGAGAGGTTTGGCGATAGTGGAGAACCCGGCGACAAAACGGCGGTAATAGGACGCAAATCCTATGAAACTCCGCACCTCCCCCACCGACGTGGGGGTCGGCCAAGTACGAACACACGCGGTTTTGTCCGGGTCCGTCGCTATCCTTTATTTACTGACTATGTGGCCAAAATATCGAACAGATTTTTGGAGCAGGTGACACTTCTGCTGTTTAAATTTGAGGTTCGCCGCACGCATTTTAAGAAAGACAGCATGTAACCGTTCGAGATGTTCTTTAAACGTACGGCTAAAAACGATAACATCGTCAAGATATATCAGGCACGAGTCCCACTGGAGGCCAGCTAGAACCAGTTCCATCAATCGCTGGAACGTAGCTGGCGCGGAATGAAGACCCATCGGAAGCCGATTAAATTCAAATAAGCCCTGTGATGTATTCAAGACTGTTTTGGGCTGAGAGCCTTCATCTAGTGACAACTGCCTAAATCAGGATAGGTCACAAGTAAACAAATAATGTGCTCCTGCTAGAGCATCCAGGGAATCGTCCATTCGAGGAAGAGGGTACGCATCAGTCACAGAGATCTCATTAAGCTTATGGAAGTCAACACATAAGCGCAAACTACCATCCTGCTTTTTAACAAGAACAATCGGGGCTCCCCACAGGCTGGTGGACGGCGAGATATTGGTGGCCAATATTTCATCAACCGGGTAAGGGTTCTGCCGGATGGGAGCGGCGTCGCCCGTATCGATGTGGTGACTCAAAAGCGTAGTGTGGCCGATGTCAATTTTCCCTTGCTAAACACATCTGAGAATTCACGCAAGAGCGCCCTCAGCTCCCCCCTCTGGGACTCGAACAATTCCGCATTTTCGGAACAAAGCGTATCCATCCACTTCTCATCAGAATCCTTTTGCGGCCGCATATTCAACACGACCTCCACACTGCCAACAATGCTTCCTTCGTGAAGCGTGGACAACGCATGAGCTAGTACGGTGCCCTCCTGAATGACAGACGTGTCCAATCCTGCATTAAGGACCTGAATGAACGGTTCCTGATCATTGGACACCAGAGTCTGGGCCCCTACTAACGTCAACCCACGAATGGCTTTATTTGAGGAACCCAAGAAGATTCCTCCCGCAGTCGCTTCTTGGTCTAGCGTCTTGCGCAATTGTAAAGGAACCAACATTTGCGCGCCAGGGGGAATCTTTACGGTCTTACTCGCAAGTGCTTGCACGGTAGTGTTGGCCGTGCACAATTGCGTGGGAGAAGGCAAAAAGGCTTTTCGACGGCCCGATGGTAACTCAAGGCACCCTTTATTGATCAACATTTTCAGGGTCATCTTCCCTAAAAATCAGTCCCGAGCAAGCAAGGAATAGCAATGGACCTCGATACAAGAACTGGTCCCGTCAATTTGATATCTCCAATGCACGCCTCCGCTGTTATTTTCCCAATGATGCCCAATGAGCCACCGTTTGCGGCAAAGCACGGAGCCCCGACGGAGCACTGGGTACGACTTTTAGGGGGCGAGATGTTAAAAATAAACTCGGAAATGATAGTCGCTGACGCACCAGTATCGACGAGCATTCTGATTTCAACCCCCTCTATCAATCTGATAACGGAGGATGAACCTGCGGTCGCGGCAGCCACTCTATGAGCCAACTCCGACCACTGACACGGTCGGAGGGGCCAGTCAGCCCGAGCAAATTGCGAACCCTCACGCACCGATGCACAATGGGAATGAAAACCGACTAAACGCGATGAGTGAGGTGGATTCAGGGGCCGAGTCTGTGATGTGTCGCGACTCGCCTTCGGGTGTAGTGGAATGGAGGACGGTCGGGCGGACGACGGCGGTGGTCCGGGGAGGCGTCGTCGTGGCACGCGACAGCCCAACGAGACATGTCCCAACAGGCCGCACTTGTTTGTAGCACATGACAAGCCCGCTCCCAGGGTGTGGAGAGGTCTTTCGCCGTCAAAGTTGTTAATATCGTCGCACCATGCCAACCCCTCGCCAGCCGCCGCCTTTGGTCGATGCACTGGCTTGGACGGGCTCCACTTCTTCGGGCGTATCGTGTGCCGACAACTCCTTATGTTGTTGCAAGAGCAGGTGTGCCTGGATGCATCTTGCAACCTTGAGAGAAGACAACTCGTCTTCGTCGATGGCCGGCAGTACGATGTGGGGGTCCTTTGCCAACGTCAACAATCTCTCGAGGACCAGCGAGTCGACTCCATCGTGGTCCATTTTCGGGAAGGCAGCCTTTCGTAGCACCAATAGTGCGCTACGGAAGGCGTCTCGGCCTCCCTCCTCCCCGCGCAGCGAACTTGTGCCACACATTTGACGGCGGTTCATAGATTGACGCCATTTGAGCAAATGCTTGATGTCGCGTGGCCCTCTCTGACGGCGGGCAGCGCTCTCAGCGCCTCTGCCTCCGTCCACCCCGCCAAGTCACTTTGTCATGAATCTGCGCTTGAAGGCCACCCAGTCGCCTCTGGCGGCGGAAAATTGTTTAACAAAGGGCAGTCTTCGCCTGAGAGATGGAATGTCAAAAGGCGAACTCGACGCAGTCACAGATTTGGTGAGCTCTTAACTCCGCTCCGCGAGCAACATGGCGGCCACTTGCGCTGGCTGCACCACAAAGGTTTCCCGTTGGCGGGAAACAGCAACGGGATGTTCGATCCCGCGCAGCTCCGGTGTTCTCTCTTCCACCGCTGGCTCTTCGCGGTCGAGCTCCGCGACGATCGACGCCACGGCTTCGAGGAGTTCAGCGAGGCGGGAGCGGGCTCTGCGGTACTCCTTCCCCGACGGCGATGAGCTGTCGCTTGGATGGGCAACGCGATGCTCTGCCGACGGCGCCTCACTCCCTTTCTCCGGGGTCGCCAGCCCCGGGGCTGTTTGAGGAATTTCGTCTTCGTCGTCCGACGTCCTGGTATATTGTCTGCGTCACGTAAACATAACCTAACTCGGCTATGTTACTAATAAAATAACGTTTGGCCACTTCTGACACCAGTTGTAGGTTCAACTGAGTTGCAGACGTACTCTTGGAGGCAGCACATTTATTTAACACCAACACACAGGGTAACTGCCCTTTAACAGAATAACAACCTATGGTGGTGACCACCAGGCTAACTACACTAATTACAACGTAACTAGCTACTACGGACTGGACCACAGCTTGGGTCCAGGTCCACTTATTGGAGACTCGGTAGAACGTAGAATGTAGACGAAGGTTTCTTCAGGATGAACAACAACGCCAGTCCCTCTGGGGGACCCGGCTTATATTCTCTGCGGCGTGGCTGGCTCCGCCCTTGGCCATGACCATCTTCCAGAATCCTCGAGCAGGATCTGGACCCTGCCCACGTGACCACCCCTAGGCCCCACTTAGGGCCCCTTTGTAGACTTAACCGGTCATGTGTCCTCTTGGGTCAACCAGAGTGCCATGGCCGATAATGACCTCATTTCTTCAGCCGGCACATCCACACCCTATTATGTAGGGCTGGCACTGCACGCCAAGCATGGTGCTATCCAGCGCTTTCAATCAGCGCTGACCGAGCCCCTCTAGGGCCGGTACTACACCCACACCATAGTGGTATCCGCGATGTCAATACACCGCATGCCGTGCCTCCCTAGGGCACTACACAGTGGCATCCCGCGATGTCACTACACAAGTGAAGTAGTGACAATGAAGCAAACCGTAGAAATGTACTATATTTATGAGCTGTAATTCAGTAGGGTGTGCAAATGTACGCACTTCCTGTATATTATAACGTTTTAAGTTGTGGTCTGCAGGGCCGTGGCACTCATGAACCATTGTGATCTCTTCATATAGCATCTGAAACTGTTCCTCACGCAGTGCTGCGCTGTCGCAACTGGTCCGTGAACGTGTGGGGAGACAATTTAAGACTTGTCAGGGTATAATGGCAGCACAGCATGTGTATACATTTACATCTGTACTGGGATTGTTATTACCCTCTTCGCGCATGTGGGTTATCTTCGGGCACTCTGGTTTTCTCCGTCGTGTTTGTCAACCCCCTTCCCGTGTTGTGTCGAGGAGGTGCCTTTCGCTGGCTTGCCAGGAGGAGGCGGTACAACAAATATGGAACACTTATTCTGTCTGTATGGGATAGTGTTGCCCCCCCTTGCACATGTGAGTTTTCTCCGGATGCTCTGGTTTCTTAGCACCTACAAGTAAACACTCATCATTCATTGACTGATGACACCGTAATATATAGAGGACCGCAGAGCTTGGAGGAAATGGGTGCTGGTGGACCCTCTGTGACTCCGCTGCCTTTCCCACTCGTCTGTGGTTCCTTGGGCCTCTTGAGCCGTTCTCTCGCTTGGAGAGCGAGAAGATACTGCTGTGAGACACGTTAAAAGTCGAAATCATTGTTCTGGCTCCCTTCCCGCTTGTCTGATTTCCCACATTGCTGAATCATTATACCCTATTTCTTTCTCTCCGAGAGAGAATTAAAACTGTGCAAGTCACAACTTGAAAAATATTTTTGGTTTTTAGACAATGGCATTAGTCGCGACACAGTGCCCGAGGAGGGAGTTGCCGTAAATGCAAGTGTTTTCGTGCGTTCCCCCGTGTTCCCTTTTGCACACAGGCCATTGTCCAGCGACGGCTCATGGTTCCGGAAATGCACGAAGTGATGACGAAAGTTGCGGAGCTGGCCATCACGGACCAGGCGGAGGCGGTGCGCGTACAGTGCCGGCAGGTGGGGCGCACAGTAATACAGGCACATTTTAAAATGTGATTTGTAAATGAATCCTTAACATGAATTGAGAGTTCAATTTTAATGTAAATGTTTTAATTAAGGGACTGTGCATTGTCTTGGTATGGTCTGGAACTGTTTTTGCTATTGTTTTCCTGCCTTTCCGAAGCTTTCCGAATAGATTATGCAATTTGAACTTATATATGGTTGCGTGATGTTTTCTTCCTCGCCTGGTATGCAGGAGGGTTGGGGTTTTGATCCGGACGCCTGTATATTTGAAATTTGCATGTTCTCCCCTTGGTCATGTGGATTTTTTCTCCGGGTCCTCCGGTTTTTCCATCCACATTTAGAAACATGCGTTTAGACTATAAATGTCCAAATGATAAGCCACTTTGTTGCATTATCATTTGTGGCCATGTTGCTTTTGAAACATAAGTTCATACCTCAGTGGGCTTTCCCTAGTAGGATGGGGATGGTTTAGTTGTATTTGTATGTGTTTGGGTGATTTGTTTACCTTTCTTGTACTTTACACTCGTATCGTGTTTTGTACTGTTGTTGGAACGTTCTTACCCTGTGCCCCTACTGGACATTTGTGAAAAAGAGCTTTATAGCTCATCAGATTCCTCCAGTATAAACAAATATTTTGATTCTGACAGAAACACGACCCCATTGTGCGCACGGTGGTGGTGGTTCCCTGCAAAGGCGGCTACCGTGCAGTGAACGCATTCCGCTCACGCAGTAGCATTACCCATGCTTCGATTAACTTTTGTATGATTTGTGCAGGGTCACCTTTTGCTTGCAGTTCCATGTTTAATGGATATTTTTTTTTATTCATCTAGTGACGTATTTTTTTTAACTGCATTAATTTTAAGCCAAAACATCCCGGTTGACTTGCGTAGAGAGGTTACATTATTTGCGTTCAGCTGTTTAATGGTTTTGAATGTTTTTGTCACACGTCTTGTAGGTGTACCTGACATTCATAATGGATTACCCCTTGGGGAAGAAGCTTGGTGAACACCTGGAGTTCATCGTTTCACAGCTCACGTATGTTTTTGTTGATCACCAATTTTAATACAAAGTGGATGAGCCATCCCTTATTACGAGTTTTTATTTTATTTCTGAAGACAATATAAATTTTGTGGTAATGTGCAAAGTTGAAATGATTTTTTTTCAGATAGTGTTGTCCACACACAGTTATTTCAGTTAAGAACCAAAGGGTATAATCTGGCTTCTTTTAATGGCACTTAAGTGTTCAATATGTATCACTAGTTGAGTTGTTTTTTTAGCACGGTTGGCAGCGTATGGTGCGAAAGAAGTTTGACATACATACAACATTATTTTAAATAGTACCAGAAAGATACTTGCTTTGCACCTGAATTTAGACATGCAGGAATACAGTTATGTTTAAAGCGGCCCAATTCCACTTTCGTGTGTACACTATAAAATTAAATTTCACAAAGGAAATTAACATTTGGTAGAAGCAGTATATGATATAAAATTCCAAATTTCATTTAACACCAATAGTGTTTATTAAAACTTTTGTTATTTGTTTGTAATAGTAATGACCAGATTTGCATGATGACAACTTACCAAAGCACATCCCCGTTATTGGCGATGTTGCAATCAACAAAAAATTAAGAACATAAACATTTTTAGCACACAACTTCGGTACAAAACTTGAGTTTGTGTTGTATTGCCGTCTGCATGTCTACTGTGAGGGTTCGTGCAGAGGTTCGACTGTGCCCTTTACAACTATTTCATGCTCTGCGTTTCAGGTACGAACACGAGTCGGGCCGCGACTCTGCCCTGGAGATGCTCGTCAGCATCTTCCAGAGTTTCCCGCAGGAACTGCTGCTTGAGTCGAGTAGTCTGTTCTTCCTGCCACTCGCCCTGATGCTGGTGAACGACGCCTCGGCACGCTGCCGCAAGATGGCGGCCTTGGCTGCCCGCACGCTGCTCGCCAAGATCAGTGCAGAGAAGCGCGACTCACTTTTCTCTCTTGCAACCTCCTGGTTTAAAAGAAAGAAGGTTAGTATATGAGGTGTGACGATGCATTGGTCTGTATTATTGCAGTTGCCTTCCACAACTTAATCTAATTTCTGCCCTTGAAGCAGCTTGTGACGTGTTCCTTGCATCATTACTGCCGTCCTGTTCAACTTTATTTCTTTCACGACTCCTTTATACTTGCTTGACATGTAATTGGATTTAGCATTACTCTTTGGTTCTTTCTGTAAAGTCACGTAGAAAGAAAATAAATTAAATGATAGAGTACGACGTTTCGATTGCAACACAAGCAACCGTCATCAGGTATAACTAAATTTGAGAGAGACAAAGCACAGACACGGAGACACACAGACAGACACAGAAGCAGAGAGACAACACAGCTTTCCTTTGCAACTTTTCAACAACAACTTACATTTTGTAATCCAGCCATGAGGCAACAAGCGTCTGAGAGCGTAGAAGTACCCAGGACGAGAACGGGGTGGGAATGGGAAGGCACCGAGTGAGAGAAAAGAACCAATTGCGTGGGTCTGAAAGCGTGAGGTCACAAAGGAAACGTTTCGAGGAGAGACGTGTAAGCAAATAGGGGACCAGGCAGAGTTTCTTGGGGGTTAGGGTTCCAGTGGGGTGGGGGTGTTGTGGCTAACAAAGAAAAGCCATCCCTTAGCGGCGTAGTAGATCCTTGGGATCAAGGAGGGGGGGAGGCCACAGTCAGTGAAGGGAGTGGGCTGGGCGTGATTGGGTGAAGGTCAGAGAGATAGGGAGAAGAGGAGGGGCTAGGCCGTGGATTGGTTGGAAGGTGAGGATAAGGATCTTGTAGTTCAACATTCAGCTTGCTCTGTCATGAGACCTTTTTTGCCAGTCTTAAAGTATGAAGAAAATACAATTTTAAGATTCTACGTGAATTTTTTCTTTAAGATTTGATCCTACTCATCCATACATTTCTGTTAAATTTACACTCCGATTTATTCCAAAAGGTAGTGGATTTTATCTCACTATCATCCATAAAATACATTTGTGATAGCTTGCAAAAGTCAGAACATGAGGTTTGTACAATGTATGAATCTATAGTATGCGGACTCAGTATATATGAAAAATAAGAATAGGTTTTACCGTTTCTGGAAATTAAACAGGTGTTAAGATGTACATCATTAGACCTTTGCCAGTACCAAAATATAATAATAAGGTTTTTCCCCTTTTTTCTCGCAACAAAACTGAAACCTTTTTACAAGGATTCATGTCTGCATTAACCACAATACCTGCAAGGACAATGCATATATTATTAAAGTATGTTTTTTGTTTGCATTTTGACTGCAGGTATTGTGGTTAATGCAGACATAAATCCTCGTAAAAAAGTTTCAATTTTGTTGCCAGAAAAAAGGGGAAAAACCCTATTATTAGGTGTTAAGATGTTCAAACACCAAATAGATATCTTTTGCAAGGAATAAAATCTGCATTAACCACACACATGCAAACCAACATGCTCTGAAAGAACCAAGAATATGAATCACTGCAGTCACGAAAGCTTTAAATCAAATTTAATGTGTTGTCTTTGAAACTGATTGGCTTACACCAGAGACAGCCTTCTTATGGCCTAGTCTCACCAGTGTCAGACCAGAGAACGCCAAAAGGTGAACAGTACAAAGGCAATGCCACTATGAGAGCATTTACTACTTGGGATGAGCAGCTATATCATGGAATACCTTTTTATGCCAAGAATAGGTCAGAACAATATTTTCTTGTTTTTTCATATTCAGCTTGCTGTTGCTTATACATTTTGGAATTATTTAGTAAACGGGTTTTTTTTTTATGGTAGCTTCTGTCATGTTATTGTTTATCTATTTCCATGTGGCCAACCTTTTAAGCAGTCGCTCGATTTGTTTAATGTAGTTATGCATTCTGTATTCAGCGGTGGCTATGCATGCCTATGTTGGTGGATCGCATAAACGTTGTGAAACTCCTTTGTCATGGACATCGAAGTGCCCCCATACATATACCCTGGCTCGCTAGGAGAAGGAAATACAACAAATTGACTCATAACCATCTGTTTCCATCTGTACAGGGATAGAGTGTTGCACTTTTGCATGCTGTGTATTTCTCGAGGTGCTCCGGTTTCCGCCAACTGGTATAAATGCTGACAAATTGGCTTAAAAATCTTGAAATAAAAACCCAATGCAGGACCATCCTGAAAAAGAGTTGTGCCATTCAGTGTGACTCCTGCATAAATAAGTGTCCACTGGTGTATAGTGTTAAACGCGTTCACGTCTACACAGGTGCCCATGCGGCAACTGGCAGCGCACGCGTGTGGGCTGTTTGTGGAGGTGGAGGGCGCAGAATTTGACCGTCGTCTGACATCGCTGCTGCCCTGCATAGCGCAAGACCTGCAGCCCAGCAATCACGAGAATGTAAGCATTTACTTTTCTTCCTGTGGGTACCTGAGAAAAAGGTGTGTTCTAACAACTAATTTAAATCTGTAAACCCCTTCCTTCAGCTTTTGTCCCATTATTTCATGTAATTCATGTGTGTTGCGTTTCTACTCTTTTCATTCGAACTGTCGACCTTTTCATTCGAACCATCGATTTTAGTTTCCTTCGAACACCCCTACTCATTTCTGCAGTTGAATCGAATTAGAAAAGTGCCTGTGTAGATTTAAATATCTCTTCAACATATGCATTTTGTGGCCATAATACAAGTGATATTTTGTCGTATATGTATTTGCTTGGATGGTATCAGTAGCAACTTCTGCGTGTTTTTGTTCAGGTGGAAAAGAAGACGCAGGAAAATGCTGCCGACCACCTGCTCTTTGCCCTTCTGACGCTTCTGTCCAAGATCCTAAAGGGTTGCCCTGCGGTCACCTCGGCAACGCACAGGAAAAATATGAACACCATCTGGGGTGAGAGCGGTCGGTCCTAGACCTTGTCGAACATGACTCTACGCCAGGGTTTGTGGCGAGAAGCGGCTTTGTTACTCATGATATCAAATTTACACTCAAATGATTATTGTTATAAGGATCAATCTAAAGCCACTGTGTCTTGTGTTAAATTATGTTTTAACAGAAGTCAGTGTCACGGAGATTGTGGCTGGGTTCAGGTATTTGAAAGACAGATGGCTTTATAGCATTGGTATGCTTGGTATAGTTAGCCTTACAATGGCATGGTGCATCTATTATCTTCTTGTATTCAAAACATACTGAACCAAAGTAAGTCGACATGCTTCTGTTTATGACATATGATACCATCACCACCAGTTTCACTTCAGAGCTCTCCACTTTCCCTGGACCCGGTGAGCTTTGTCACGATCCAGAAGGGTGTTGCCGTGGCCCTTCGATGTTTGAACGAACTCAGTGCTTTTATTTTCTCTTGAGCCCAGTTTTGGGTGCCTTGACACAAGGGACATTAATTCTAGATTTGAGGCTTTCGTGACTGCAAAGATTCATACTCTTTGTTTTTTTCGGTAAAGTAATATAGGTAAATATGCAAGACGTGTTGCGAGGTTGCCATGTTGCAGATTCTGCGATGTGTGGTACCTTGCAGAGCGCAGTAGCTGTATTGCGTGCACGTAGTTTTCTGCAGTCCGCGTGGTTATGCATTGATGTCCACGCCCATTGCGGTTTCACACCGGGGGTGCTGCTGCCGTTTCACACAATTGGAAAATGAGAACAGTGTCGTGGCAATTCTCACGGTTTCTAGCAAGAAAAGCTGTTGCAAGATGTAAAATAAAGTACGCCTTTTGGCGTCCTCTGGTGTAACACCGTTGGAGACGAGGCTCAAAAGAAAGCTGTCTCTGGTGTGGACCAATCAGTTTCAAAGACAATGCATATATTATCAGAGTTTTTTTTTGCATTCTGACCACAAGCATTGTGGTTAATGCAGACATAATTTCATGTAAAAGGTTTCAGTTTGGTGTTTTAACATCTAAACACCTGTTTTGTTGCCAGAAAAAAGGGGAAACCCTATTATCTTGTAAAATACCGTTGGTAAAGGGGGACAGCCCTGCAATGTCTTTATTACACCACTGATTGCAGGAGCGCTTCTACGAGTGAGCTCTAGAGTGCCTCTCGAGAGCACTTTGGCCTACTCTTCCACAAAAAAGTCAAGTTAAGAAATATCAATGTCACGTTTTAAAGTGTAGCAGCAAAGTATGATGCATTTATGGTCAGCATATTTATCTGATTTTTAAACATAAGCAGCCATATAAATTTCAATATATTCTGTCATCAGAATCAGAAGGGGTTTTATTCGCCATGAAAGTTCGCACAGACAAGGAATTTACTTTGGCAGAAAGGTGCATACATTCAACATATAGGAATCTTAAATCTTAATATAAAGTAGCTGTAAGATACAATCTAAAAATACAAATAGGGTAACAGTCTAAAGATGGCAAGGTGTCATTTTGTAGATAAAATGTTAGTGTAAGCCCTTGGCCTTGTTGAAGAGGCCAGCAGCCGATGGGAAGAAACTGTTTTTTTGTCGTGAGGTTTTGGTCCTGATGGACCGCAGCCTCCTTATTTATTTATTTATTCTTTATTTTGGTATAGCCCTGTGAGCCATTCAGTTCTTGAATCGGGTGCAACCACAACAAACAAAAAACGAACAAGAAAACATCTTAAATTGACTATGTGACTGTGCAAACAGAAAATCCATGAAAAAACAGCCAAAATATTCCTGAAAAAAAAAGTACCATACACCAACGCTGTATGCAAAAGATCCCAGTGGGATGCAAGTCAAATAACAACAAAGACCACAAAAAAACTTAGATTAAGGCCATCAGTCTAACTCCGTACTACAATAAAACACACGTCCAAACCAAAAACTTTTGGAAATCACCAAAAAATAAAGACATACTTGCAACGTGACAGCTAGGGGTGTACAACTCCTCTAGAGCAGTTTTGAGAGACGATCTCATTGGTAGTGATTCAAGTTGCAGTTTATTGGCAATAGCATTCCAGACCCTGGGGGCATCAATAGCAAAGGCCCTCCTCCAGTTTTTGTACGGAAATAGGGAATGTGAAGCTCGTAAATGAGCGAAGACCTGAGGTCAAATTTGTTGTTTGAAACAGAGAGGAGATCCAGCAGGTAGTGTGCGGATTTTTTTGTAAGTACATCGTGAATAAATAAGATCTGGTGCACAAGCCGTTGAACATTAAGATATGTTAAGTTTGACCCAATGTAGAGATCACAGTGGTGAGTCCTATATGGGCAGTTCAATGCAAATCTTAAGGCCGAGTGATGGATGGAATCAAGCTTCTTCAGTACAGTACTTCGGGCTGATTTATACACGATGTCACAGTAGTCAAGTAGAGGCAGTATGGTAGCTTTTATCAATTCCAAACGGAACAGTGGGGGGAAGCAGTGCTTGTGTCGATACAGAAAACCAATTTTTATTTTTGTCTTTTTACCAATATAATCAATGTCATCTTCAAAATTCAGTTTTGAATCCAGGATGACCCCAAGATACTTATAGATCTTGACTTGCTCTATTTGATAATTATTTAAGGAATGTAATTGGGGAAAAATAACTTCCTGCTTTAGTCCCGGTGAGAAGCATAGGACCTTGGTTTTGGAGGTATTCAGGACTAGTTTAAGAGCAACTAGCTGATGTTGTAGTTTGTTGAAATCACCCTGGAGCTTAGCAATCACATCATCCGGACAGCGGCCAGCAGTAATCAGTATCGTGTCATCTGCAAAAAGATTTACCCTGGAATGATCCAGGTCAGTGCCCAAGTCATTGACATAAAGAGAGAACAAGAGGGGGCCGAGGATGGAACCCTGTGGAAGCCCTTTTGTTAACTTAAAACTGTTTGACCTCCAACCATCTGTGAATACAGTTTGGGTGCGAGAAAAGAGGTAATTTTTTAACCATTGTACTGTGTTTTCGGAAAAACCAAGGCAACTTAGTTTACTAAGCAGGGTGTTGTGGTCTACTGCATCAAAAGCTTTGGACAGGTCAAGAAAAAGACAGGCACAGTACTGCTTATTATGAAGGCTACTGTAAATTTGATTCAGAGAGTCTAATGCAGCAGATGTGGTGCTGTATTATTTTCGGAGCCCAGATTGTTTTAGATGTAATAGATTGTTGGTGGACAGGAAACTGCTAATTTGGTAGTTCAATAATTTTTCAAAAATTTTCATCATCGGGGACAAAATTGAGATAGGTCGGTAGTTATTTGGATCATCTTTAGGGGGCCTCCTTTGTGAAGTGGACGGACATAGGAATGTTTCCATTCTAGAGGAACTGATGCTTCTTTGATGGACAGATTGAAAATATGGGCTATAGGTTTGTATATTAAATGACCAACAGTTAGTAGAGCAAAGACGGGAATACTATCTGCTCCGGTAGAGGAGGACCCTTTGAGGTAGGACAGTTGTTTCAGAACATTACTTTCGTGGATTGGCTGGAAACTAAATTCGTTTAATGTTTGAACAGGGGTGTAGGAATTTGCATGAGCAGGGGTGACTCCCAATACATTATCAAAAAGATTACCAGCTTCAGAAAAATGAAGGTTAAAATTGTCAACTATTTTTTTGGGATCTGAAAAATATTCCCCATTTCGGTTAAGCTCAATGGGCAGATTATCCGTTTTGGATGCCTTTTCGATACATTTGATTATTTTCCAAAAAATCCTTGCATTTCCACGTGATTCCAGGAGAGTGGAGGAAAAGTAGGCATTTTTTGCATGCCGTATCTTTTTTGACGCATCTATTCCTTAAAATCCTGTATTCTAGCCAGTCATTGACCAAATTACTTTTCTGAGCACATGCCCTTGCCTTGTCCCTAGTTTTCATGAGCTTTGTAATCAAAGGATCAAACCATGGTGGGCGATTGCCTTTAGTTTTAAATCTAACCAACGGAGCATGTTTGTTAAGAATTTGGAGAAACGTGTACCTGAAGGTCTCCCAAGCCGTAGTCAGGTTGGGGGATATCACAGATCTTGTCAATATCCGAGTGAAGCATATCATTAGTAAATGCCCGAGTGCTGAAGTGTCTCATAGAGTGCTTCTCAACCAATTTAGGGGGAGCTTTGGGTCTGGCTGATGATCCCACCCCAAAAATGAAGGAGTGATCACTAAGGTTATTACCCAGAACACTAGTCAGTGCGAAATTGTGAGAGGCATTTGTCAATAGGACGTCAAGCAGAGATGACTGTCCCAGATTTTGTTAGGTTGGGTCTTGTGGGGACATTTATTAATTGAAGCAGGTTAAATTCATCTGCAAAATTTGTGGCCACGGCCGGCGGGTTTAGCCAATTCCAATTTGGATCACCCACTAAAACTATTTCACCTTGAGGGAGGCCCCCAAAATGCTCTCTCAGTGCAGATGCAGCTGCAACATCCTTCCCACTAGGCGGTCTATAGCAGCACACTACCAATATCTGTTGATTATTTGGGAGAGTTATTCTGAGAGCCAGACCTTCAAAGCAACATTTTTTAAACAAGGAGTGAGCTGGTGAACATGCAATAGTATTACGAACATGGATGGCAATTCCACCTCCTTTAGATCCTCGGTCAAGCCGAAAAAGGTTGTACTTGTCAATCGTAATCTGCAAGTCATTGACGGCAGGAGTGAGAAATGTTTCTGTTAGGCAAAAAATGTCCGGGTCAAGATTTGGCACTTCTAGTTTTAGTTGACTTAATTTAATCACAAGCCCTCTGATGTTGACATGTAGAACACCAACACCTTTTCTGCCAGAAAAATCTACAGAAGTATACGAGTTCTTTACATTTCGGCCAGGATGAAGCTCAATACCATCCAGAAATAAGAAAAGTAGAATTAATAGTTTGCACAAGTATTTTCTGTGAAAGGATGAAGAGCGGCGAACCTTGGACGAATGGCAGCAGCTCGCAGATGGTGTTATTTTTAAGAGCAGAATGAAGTTTGGAAGGAGTGCTGGTGAAGTAATGGGACAAAGATAGGGTTTAAAATGATACAATGATGGAGTGTAGAAGTGTCTTTGAGCTGTTTCATTTGCAGGTGTAGTGGCAATTCGAGCAACAAGTATGGACGCAAAGTAACGAGGGTAGCCGTTTGTAGAGTTGATTGTGGCATTAGATATGGCGGGGAGGGACAGCAGTATGATACACCGCAGGAGAATTGCCATCTTTAAAATATCCGGGGTAAACACAGATTAACACACAATCAGAAAAGAAAAAATATATATACTTCTGCCGGAGGGGAGTAGCTGGAGCAGAGAGTGTCCAGGGTGGGAGGAATCGGCCACAATCTTTCTCGCTCGCCTCATTGGCCTCGAGGTGTGCAGGTCCTCGAGGGTTGGTAGATTGCAGGCAATCACCTTCTCAGCAGTGTGGATGATACGCTTTAGTCTGCTCTTGTCCTTGGCAGTGGCAGCAGCGTACCAGACGGTTATGGAGGAGGTGAGGATGGATTCAATGATTGCTGTATAGAAATGCACCATCATTGTCTTTGGCAGGTTGAATTTCTTCAGCTGCCGTAGGAAGTACATCCTCTGTTGAGCTCTCTTGGTGAGGGAGCTGATGTTCAGTTCCCACTTGAGGTCCCGGGAGAGAATAGTGCCCAGGAAGCGGAAGGACGTGACAGTTTTGACTGGGGAGTCGCACAGGGTGATGGGGGTGAGTGGGACTAGTCTTCCTGAAGTCCACAACCATCTCAACTTCTTTAGAGCATTTAGCTCTAGGTTGTTCTGGCTACACCAGGTCACCAGGTTGTCAGCTTCCCACCTATAGTCAGACTCATCCCCACCAGAGATCAGCCCAATGAGGGTGGTGTTGTCTGCGTACATCTTCTCTTATATATAAAAGTCTCCGCGTGCGCGCGCTTGCGGGGGATTTGGCTCTCAAACGGTCGGGTTCAAGTCCGAAATAAATTGCCGGGTGATACGCCCCGAGCCCCCTGCTTGGTATAGGCTATTCCGTTTACCCAGCCGTCAACTTTAAATTAGTTTAATTAGCGATTTAGTGGCATTATTTTAATTATTTACTTACTGCACGAGCTTGACCGTACCAACTGACGCCAATTGCGTGGGGGGGCGGACCCTGCCAAGTGATGCGTGTTCAGTCGAGCTCACGGCCACACCACGGCACTCTGTCACGTGAGTACTTTGTGCTATAGAGTCACTAAATATACTGATATACAGTCAGCATGTACTCCTGTACAGTCTATAAATACTGCTATAGAGTCAGCATGTACTACTGTAGAGTCCATAAATACTGCTATAGAGTCAGCCTGTACTACTGTACAGTCCATAAATACTGCTATACAGTCAGTATCTACTACTGTACAGTCGATATCTACTGCTATACAGTCAGCATGTACTACTGTACAGTCCATTAATACTGCTATGGAGTCAGCATGTACTACTGTATAGTCCATAAATACTGCTATACAGTAAGCATGTACTACTGTACAGTCGATATATACTGCTATAGAGTCAGCATGTACTACGCTACTCATAGCAGGTACCACCACTGTCGCTTGCCCTGCTGTAATCATAGCTTACACCACAGTATACATGCACTGCTGCAGGGAAAGCAGGTACCACCACTGTATGCACTGTTGTAATCATACCAGCTACCACAACAGTATGCATGCACTGCTGCAGGGAAAGCACAGTCGGTATGCACTGCTGTAGTCATAGTGCATACCGTCGTGGTGTGTGTGCGTAAGTCCATGTATGTGTGTGCGTAAGTCAATGTGTGTGCGTAAGTCAATGTGTGTGCGTGGTATGTGTGTGTATAAAAAAAAACTACTCTTTAATTAAGTTACTTCTTTCACAGTAATAATGCCTGCGTCTAAGTCCATGTGTGTGTGTGGGTGGACGTGCATGTCTGCGGCCATGTGTGTGTGTGAGTCAATGTGTGTGTGTGCGCGTCGCTCCGTGTCAGTGTAAGTACATTTCTTTCTATGTGTGTTTTTTGGTCCGTGTGTGTGAGTCCATGTGTGTGTATCTGTACGTGTGTGTGTGCGTATGTCCATGTGTGTGCGTACGTCCATGTGTGTGCGTACGTCCATGTGTGCATCTCAGTCCATGTTTGTGTGCCTCTCAGTCCATGTGTCAGTCCATGTATGTTTGTGTGGGAGTCTGTGTGTCAGTCGATGTGTGTATGGCAATGTGTCTATGTGTGACAGTCCATGTGTGTGTGTGCGTCTATGTATGTGTGTGTGTGTATAAGTTAATGTCTGTGTGTGTGAGTCTATGTTTGTGTGAGTCCATGTGTGTGCGTGGGTCCATGTGTGTGCGTGGGTCCATGTGTGTGTCTAAGTCCCTGTGTGTGTGTCTGTAAGTCCATATGTGTGTGTAGGTCAATGTGTCTCTAAGTCTATGTGTGTGTCACTCGATGTGTGTGTGTAAGTCAATGTGTGTGTGTGACTTGATATGTGTGTGTGTGTCAGTCCATGTGCATGTGTGTTCGTCGCTGTGTGTGCGTGGCTCCATGTTAGTCAGTGTTAGTCCATTTCATTGCGTGCCTGTAGGTCCATGTGTGCGTGTTAGTCCATATGTGTGCTTTATTCACTTGCTCAGGGCCTATGATACCATCATTAGGCCTGGGCTCTGGGTTGCTCCTCGTACTTTTCGAGTCCCTGACCCTCTGCTCACGATCCTTAAGGACCTTCATAATGGTGAGCGGCCCCACATCAAACTACGTGACCGTGAATCAGAGCCACTCCCTGTACATCTTGGGGTGCGACAGGGATGTCCACTGCCTCCCACATTCTTTTACATATATTTGGACCACGTACTTCGTTAAGCCTTCAATGCCTCTACCGGAAGAATTCACATCTGGTACAGATACAATGGGAGGCTCATTGATGCCCGGGTGCGGTCAATTGATGGCTCCCTATTGGTCAACCACGTTATGTATGCCGATGATCTGGTAATTAATGCTCACTCAGAAGAGGAGTTGGACACGCTGCTGCTCAACCTGGAGCTTGCCACTAAGAGGTGGGGCCTTACCATCAGCCCCACCAAAACTAAACACCTGCCTGGGTATTTTGTACCGTCGGACAATCCACCCCCATAACTCACAATTGGTGATGGGCCAGTTGTGGAGAGTGCAGAGTTTCCCATACCTGCCCAGTGTACTCATGACCGGCTCCAGTTTAACACCAGAGGTCTCACCCTGAATCAGTTGAGCGGCATTATCTTTTCATCGGCTGTGTAACACTGTGTTGAAGCTACCTGGTCTCTCGCTCCGCACGAAGCTCCACGTCGTCTCGCCCACGGTCATTCCCTCCCTTCTGTACACTTGCGAAACTTGGACCCCCCTAATGCAACATTTTCGCTGGTTACAAACATTTAGGCTGGCCTGCCTACGATCCATCCTGGGTTTAACCAGGCTGAATTGTGTGATGAGCTCACAAATACTTGAAAGATCCCATTGGTGACCTCCTACGCCAGGCAAGGCTGCGTTGGCTGGGCCATGTAGCCTGCATGGCCAGCCACCGCATGCCTAAACACCTTTTGTTCCGCCGGATCGAGGCTAGAGAAGAGATGGAGTGATGTGCTACAGGACGATGTGCAGCTGAGTGGACTTGTCGATGACTGGTACCAGCAGTGTCAAGGTCGGTATCTGTGGAGGAGCCTCGTGAAGGACGCTACAGGCCAGTTGGAGGCAGTCGGCCTCCAACAACAATGGAGGGCGGAAGAGTGACGCTCACAAGAACGAGCGGTGCACCGTGTGGCTAAAGCACAGCAAGTTAGCAGGGTACAGGGCACAGGTGGTGCATCTGCCAGTCATCTCAATCGACCTGTGCCATCTGGGTCTGCCCCGTGACCTCCTGCCAGCAGGTGTTCGACACTTCACGTGGCCTCAAGGTGCACATAGCCTGCCACAAGCGTTGTGGTGACATCACTGCCACTTACTGGCGAATGGCGGTTGTTGTTGTTGTTCAGTCTATGTATGTATGTGTGAGTCGATATGTGTGTGTAACTCTGTGTGTTTGAGTCCATTTGTGTGTGTAACTACATGTGTCTCTCAAGTCGATGTCTATGTGTGTGAGTCCATATGTGTTTGCGTGCGTGTAAGTCAGTGGGTTTCTATGTGTATGGGTCCATGTCTGTTTGTAAGTCCATGTGTGTGTCTGCCTTTTTCACCCGGGCAACGCCGGGTACTAACCGCTAGTTATCAATAATAATTCAGAAAAACACTGACATGTTTACAATAATAATGTCTAGTTTTATATATCAGATTCATGCAATTGCATTTCGAAATCTGAGGAACCACAGGCGAGCGAGAAGAGCTTGGGCAACTGTTGTCGGTGCCAACCGTTGCCCAAGCTCTGCAGACCTCAATACAGAAGATGTTTTCAGTTAATTAATGAGTGTTCATACATGTCAGAGACAATGGGTACACAGAGAAAAAACCCTTGCAGAAGGCACACATGATGTCAGTCTGCAATTTTGCGGTATCACCTTCTTGCAAGCCAGGTTTTTATGGCACCTGGACGCCCAGAGCGATCTATCCGTCTATGTTAGGGTTGAGCACATCCTCAGTTAAGTACAGTGCAGCCCAAGTATGTCGCTGGTGAACAAGCAAAAATCCATGATCCCGGGTGCAGTTATGAAAAAAGTGCAAGCCACCCGACAGAATGTTTGTCATTGATGAATCAAAAGTAAGGCACAGTAACCTGGGTTTTTTGTTATGTGTCTGGCGATTGTGGACCTGCAGCGAGCGTGCAGGCTCACCTGCAGCAGCCGCACTCCTGGGTTCGCCTGGCCGCGTGCCAGCTCTTTGGACTGCTCTTTGCTGCGTGGAAACCCGAAGAACTCGTCGCACAAGCTAAACAACTGGAGACGGCATCGGCATCCAAAAAGGACTACATTGTTCATGATTTGAACACCAAGGTATAACCCTGCTTTCTTAAAAGTTGCAAATATTCGGCTCGTCTTCATGGGGTGGAGTTTTGTTATTCGTGATGTTTTTTTTTTATTGAAACCATATTTGCAATGAATGTCAGTTTCCATTTTCTAAAATCTGTGACAAATAATTTATTTGCTGCAGAATCTGTTTATTTAATATTTGGATGCAACATTTACACTCTCCAAGATGGCTCAGGACTCAGCTGGCAGGACAACAAGCCATTTCTTGAAGCTATCTGTGCAGAGATCTGGGTGTTATCCGTGTGTGCGCATGTGAGTTGTGGCCGGGTACGCCAGCTGCTTCCCATTGCAGAGACCCACGCTGACTGGAGTCTTGTAACTCTGAGCTTTTTCTGGGAAAATATCTGACAAAACTATTGTAGATTTGCGGCACAGCAACAATATCACTCAAAGCATTAAAGTCCGTTGGGCACTTGAACACTCGGCATAGATCAGACCAACACCGCCATTGGAAAGTGCATGGCTGAAGAACGTTGTAGCCTCTGATGCACTCCCACATTCCTCTGATGACCAAAGGCATTCTTCTGACTGCTAGAGTGTTGGTCTTTTTTGGAAACTCCCTTGATGGAGGCGTTTTGCTGGAGGACTTTATTAGGCTTAACCTTTGTGACAGTGCATAACTTGTGGAGTGTAGCTGTCTGGTAGGACCTACCCCAATCTTATGCGCCTACTCTTTGGGTGTGATGCCTGTATTGTTCTGTGCTGGTAACTTTGCTTTCATACTGAATCATAATACTCTTTGGTTCTTTCGGTAATGTCACGTAGGTAGAAAAATCAAATAAAAGTAATATATCACGACGTTTCAATCGCAACACAAGCGATCATCATCATGCGAAATAGAACCCAGCAGTAGAACTGCAGAACTAGGAAGAACACAGCGAGAGAGCTGCTACAAAGGGTTATATATGTTTAAAGGGGGGTAGTGCAAGCTGGAATGGAGTCCCATCCCCACATGCAAGTACATCAGTTGTGTTAATGGGGGAGATTAGGGATAGATTATGGAGAGAGAGTAGCATGAGAGTACTGTCTCCGCACATACACATAGCAGTAGTGTTAATGGGAGATTAGCACTATGTTAATGAGAGATTAGGGAGAGAGATTGGGGAGATTAACAAGATCCAAAAAACAATTGCTTGCTTTAGATACTTAGGCCATGTTTTCCAGGCTGTCTGATTTGTATTTTAATCTGCATTAATGAGATAAAGACTTTGAAGTTATGGACACAAGTGCATTACCATAGCACACTGATGTCACTGTGATGTCAGGCGTACATTTGAATGAGACCATGTTTCTGTTGTGGTGTTTTGCGCTTTACTGCAACTAAAGTATTTTTAGTATTTATGAAGCGTCAAACTTTCATTGTACATGCTGGAACGCACAGCCAGCGAGGTGAATATGTGCGTGAGAACATGCGTCTTACCTCTAGATTTGAAGCTTTCGTGACAGCAAGGATTCATACTCTTTGGTTTTATTCGATCAAGTCACGTAGATAAAATAAAACAAAAGAAAAGAAAATAATTAAATCACGACGTTTCGGAGGCAACACAAGCTTCCATCTTCAGGTGGAATAGTCACAGCAAAGATCTGTGTAGAGTACACAGCTCTGAGACGATCGGGTTTATATGTAGGTTAAGGGGGGGGGGGGGGGGGGAGGAGTCAGAAAGGGGGCGTTAGTGGGTGTGAGGGCTGAGTCTAAAGTGGAAGGCTGTGGTGGACTACCAACAACTGCGGAGGTTAAGGTGGGGGGGAGGAGTCAGAAAGGGGGGTAGGTGGGTGGGAGGGCTGAGACAAAAGTGGAAGGCAGTGGTGGACTGCCAACACATGTGGAGGTAAAGGGGGTGGAGGGAGGAGTTAGAACGGGGGTGTGGGTGGGTGTGAGAGCTGAGTCAAGTCGCCTTATTGTTAAGCAGCCGGGGGGTTTGAGTGGAAGGCTGTGGTGGACTGCCACCACATGCGGAGGAAACATCTAAAGTTTGGTATACCACCACTGAGAATTGCTGTACAATTAAAAGGCAGCTAACGTTGGACATGATTTAAAACATATTTCCAATGGTTGCTCAATTTGAAACCATCCTCTCGGTTGAAGTTGTGTCTGTATATCTAGATGGCCTCGTGGACAAATCTCTGATAATAACCGATAGGTTTGGAGAGTACCTTGGTATCGGAGAAAACAATATCATGATCATCCACAGCGTTGTAACAGTGATCAGCCACAGCAGAAGAATTCGTTCTACATATAAACCCGATCGTCTCAGAGCTGTGTACTCTCCACAGATCTTTTGCTGTGACTATTCCACCTGAAGACGGAAGCTTGTGTTGCCTCCGAAACGTCGTGATTTAATTATTTTCTTTTATTTTGTTTTATCTACGTGACTTGACCGACTAAAACCAAAGAATATGCGTCTTACCTGTTGAGCAGTTGCCCACTCTGGAAGCCAATCTAAGGAATTGTCTCTGATACGATTGGGAGGGAGTCATGCCCATTTCACAAGTGTCCACCAGTGCCGCCTTGAAGATGACGTTTCATGTTAATGTGGTTCTTGGTCATGATTCTCAGCTCATGCACCGTGTCTGTTCACAGGTGAAGGAGCTTGTCAAAGCATTTTGCTTCCAACTCCAGTCCAAGTTCCTGAGTCCAGACCTTGGAGAGCAGGTAACTGGCAGTCTTTGCACTGTACCATTCTCTGACATCACCCAAGTACCGAAATCCCATTTAAAATCATTCATGTAATAATCCCACATGAACAAAAGCAATAGAAGGTTTGTTGCATAACACTATATATGTTTCGATTTTAAGCTTTCGTGACTACAGGGATTCATCTTCTTGGTTTTTTCGGTAAAGTCAAGTAGAATGGAAATAAAATAATAAAAATAAAACATAATATAAAATTCTCACGACGTTTTGGCCACAACACAAGTAGCCTTCTTCAGGTGAAGGAACAGAACTGTCGAGACGACAGCGCTTCAATGAACACTGCTAAGCTTCGCAGCGTCTTTTAAGCTGGGTGGGAGGAGCAGAGCGCCTTGACAAAGGAGTTTACATATCAACAGAAGAATTTAGCTTTGAAATAGCTGTGTTAAAGTGTTGGATTAGCAGGGTGTTAAAGTCAGAAATTAGCATGTAACTGGGAGATTAGCATGATGTTAATGTGAGGGATTAGCATGTAACTGGTCACGGAAGTAGCTATGTTAAAGTCAGAGTTTACATATCAACAGAGGCATTTAGTATATTGACGCTAAAGAACTGCAACTACCCAACTATTATACAATAAGCCGATGTGAAAGAACTAAGTATATACTACAGCAATATAATAAATGTACTCAATTTATTCTTCAAAAAGTTGAGCTATTAACATAAAGTAACTGGGTATACACTGCACTATATAATGAATACCATATAGTAAACTGATACAATATATATAAACTACATCAATGTTATCAATGAACTCAATATACTCTCCAATCAGCTGAGCTACTAACAATTAGACGTTATACATTACAATTCTGTGTCGAAAAAAAGGTGGCTTTTTTTTTCTTTTCAACGTTAGCACCACGGAAAGCGACGAGCTTTGTTCAGACGGCCGAGTCCATCTATGCTCGGAATGGAGGAGGGGGGAGAAACAGCCACGATGCGCTTCTCTGTCCTGTGTTGCGTTACAACTATGTTATAAACTAGACTACTATACATTACAATGTTATACCTTCCAATCAAAACTACATTGTATAATATCGTATACACAGCCCAATGTAAGCTCTAACATTATGCATTATATTGATATGTCTCCAACTAAACTTTTTTCTACATTACACGACTATACACTGTAATATACACTGCCATAGACAAACCCCACCCTTGGATTATACAATGCGTTACTATACACTACCCTATACTTTAGACTATAAATTATTAGACTTGTAATATTATACTATGTATTATTCTACCAACCCTACTGTATACCACACTGCTGTATATTCACTATACAATTACGATACTATATATTGCCTTATGAATTATGTTAAACATTATACTGTTATACTATTAATTCTTATACAACATGCTATAAACCATACCATTGACCGTCTTGTGAAAGGTATTATTAAGAGGCAGTGTCAGCGAATAGACTGTGGTCTGAAAACCACCGTAAAATACAATCAATCAAGAACCAAAATGGTTTATAACGTCTTTCCAATGGTTACTAAGCCAGAATCCATCTTGTTGGTTGAAATTGTCTCTGTGTTTGTATATGTGGATGGCCTTATTAACGAATCTCTCATGGTATTCATTATATAGTGTAGTGTATACCCAGTTACTCTATGTTAATAGCTCAACTTATTGAAGAATATATTGAGTACGTTTATTATATTGATGTAGTTTATACTTAGTTCTTTCACATCGGCTTATTGTATGATAGTTGGGTAGTTGCAGTTCTTTAGCGTCAATATACTAAATGCCTCTTGATATGTAAACTCTGACTTTAACATAGCTACTTCCGTGACCAGTTACATGCAAATCCCTCACATTAACATCATGCTAATCTCCCAGTTACATGCTAATTTCTGACTTTAACACCCTGCTAATCCAACATTTTAACACAGCTATTTCAATGCTAAATTTTTCTGTTGATATGTAAACTCCTTTGTCAAGGCGCACTGCTCCTCCCACCCAGCATAAAAGATGCTGCGAAGCTTAGCAGTGTTTATTGAAGCGCCGTCGTCCCGACAGTTCTGTTCCTTCACCTGATGAAGGCTACTTGTGTTGTGGCCGAAACGTCATGAGAATTTTATTTTATTACGTTTTATTTGTATTATTTTATTTCCATTCTACGTGACTTTAACGAAAGAACCAAGAAGACTATATATGTTGCGAAATATACAGCTCTTGGTCAATCTTTTGCTGATTGAGGGCCTCCCTTACACATTCTTGGTTGTGGGGGTTGTTTGACCATACTTCACCGTGCTAGCGCGTGCGCATTTGTTCATTGGGAGTGCTCGGGAACTCTTCAGATCTCACTTGCTAAGATTGTTAGCAATGGCCGGCAATCAAACTGAGGTCAACAGGTTCATAGCGTGGTGTGCTAATCACTGAGCCACCACTCCTACCCACTATAAGGTAGAACAAACTCTTTTGAGTTCATAGCAAGTCAGCAAAATTAACTTTCCTTGATCAGACCAAGCAGCAAAGCAGTAATTAATATTTCAGTTTAACACGTAGGCTTTTTCGCAACCAATATTATTCATAATAGAGTTTTTTTTGGGGGTAAGATCGCATAAATATACATATGTTAATTGTTTTTTTACCCTTTTATCTGGCAACAAAACTGACACCTTTTTTACAAGGAGTCATGTTTGCATTGACCACAATAACTGCGGTCGAAATGCAAACAAAAAACATAACTCTGATAAGCAATTAATACGTCCCCAAACACTTTCACTTTAAATGTTCCTTCCTGTTCTCCAAATGTCCGTCACTTCCCACTCCCTTGCCTTTTACCTGTCTGCTCATCAGCCTGCTTTGTAAGAATGTATGCACTCTCAGCTGTGCGGCCGACAGGTTTTGTAATAACTTGTGTTTTTGATATGTAGAGACAATTTTACGAAGGATACATGTCTGCTTATCTATTTTGCTTTCTAAGAGGCTGATCTGTTTTGACACACAGTCCCAAGTAAGATGCAGCGTATTAATGTATGTGAAGTCCTGGACTTACGAACGACTTCCATTCTTGAGGCCCGTTCGTAAGTCGTGAACGATTCGTAAGTCAGAACACAATAGTGTACTGTATTTTAAATGTCCATGCGGGGGCAGTGTTATACAGTATGTTGAGGTTCAACAAAAAAGTGAAGAACTGTTAAACTCGTAAATTATATATATATTGTACATTTGCATATAATACTGGAATAGAGATTGTATAGTAAATAAAACATAAATTAAAGTAACATAAAAACGTATTTTCACTTGCCTTGAGTCCTGACGCTGGCTTGCTTGTCGGAAGTGGAGCATTTTTTGATTTAAAGCTTTCGTGACTGCAGGGATTCATCTTCTTGGTTCTTTTGGTAAAGTCACGTAGAATGGAAATAAAATAATAAAAATAAAACATAATAAAATAAAATTCTCACGACGTTTCGGCCACAACACAAAGTAGCCTTCCTCCGTTGTCGTTGGAGGGCGACTGCCTCCAACTGCCTGTCACGAGCCTCCCCCACAGAGGCCGATCTTGACACCTTTGGTACTAGTCATCGGCAAGTACACTCAGCTCCACATTCTCCTATACCACATCACTCCATCGGTTCTCTAGCCCGTGCCGTGCCCATTTAGCCCCCTCGATCCGGCCGAACAAAAGATGTTTAGGCATGCGGTGTCTGGGTATGCGTGCTACATGACCCAACCAACGCAGCCTTTCCTGCCAGAGGAGCTCACCGATGGGACTTTGTCCAGATCTTTCAAGGATATGTGAGCTCCTCACACAATCCAGCCTAGTTAAACCCAAGATGGATCGTAGGCAGGCCAGCCAAAATGTTTCTAACCGGCGAAGATATTCCATTAGGGGGGTCTGCATTTCGCAAGCGTAGAGAAAGGAGGGAATGACTGTGGCCGAGAAGACCTGAAGCTTCGTGCGGAGAGACAGACCAGGTAGCTTCCACACAGCGTTACGCAACTGATGAAAAGATAATGCTGCTCGACTGATTCGCAGTGAGACCTCAGTTGTCAAACCAGAGCCAGTCATGAGCACACTGCGCAGGTATAGGAAACAATCCACTCTGTTCACAACTGCCCTTTCACCAATTGGGAGTTGTGGGGGTGGACTGTCCGATGGTACAAAATACCCAGGCAGGTGCTTAGTTTTGGTGGGGCTGATCGTAAGTCCACACCTCTTAGTGGCAAGCTCCAGGTTCAGCAGCAGCACCTCCAACTCTTCCTCTGAGTGAGTAGCAATTAACAGATCATCGGCATACATAACATGGTTTAGCAATAGGGCCCGCTCACCATCATCAAGGTTCTTAATGATCATGAGCAGCGGGTCAGGGACTCTGAAAGCACGAAGAACAAACCAGAGCCCAGGCCTACTGATGGTATCATAGGCCTTGACCAGGTCAATAAAGCAGAGATGGAGGTCTTGTTGGAATTCCCTATACCTCTGCTGTAGCAGACGGACAGAAAATATGACATCTGTGTAGGACCGCCCTTTCCTGAAACCACATTCGGGGCTCTGCAAGCATCTCCTTAGCGTGACTGGCAAGGCGATGTTGAGTAATCCTTGCCAGGACCTTTCCTGGCACACTGAGGAGTGAGATGCCCCTGTAGTTGTTACAGTCTGTGCGGTCCCCCTTCTTAAAGAGGGGACCGACCAGGGCATCCTTCCAATCCTGCGGAACCCATCCAGTGTTCTAGACTGTTGTTATGATGTCATGTAGGGCAGTCTGTGCACAAACGCCACCCTCCCTCAGCAATTTGCTTGGGAGATCATCTTTGTCCGGTGCCTTTCCTGGTCTCATGCTCTGGATCGCTTTCAGTACTTCCTCAACAGATGGCACCTCAGCCAGCCACTCACAGGGGGTGACTTTTCCAATATTTGAGGCACCGCAGCCTCAGCAGGGTCATCCCCACTTTGTCCCACGATGTTTTCTAGGCTGAGGGATTTCCTTTCCCCCAGGACCTCACGGAAATGCTCAGCAAATCTGCAAACCTGTTCCTGGGGGTCGGAGATTGGATCACTGTTCTTTCTCCTAATTATGGTAATAGGTGTGGCGCTGCAGGTTACTTTTTTGATGGAAAGAGTGATTTGTGATCGCGGGCCATTGGGGCAAACTCCATCTCCTCAGCAACCTGCAACCACCAACCATCCTTGCAGTGCCTCACGGCTCTCCGAACCTCCCAGCGAAGGCTGTGGCAAGTCTCCTCATTCTCTGACGTGGGATGCTGTAGACGATGAGAGGTGGGCCTGTCGCTTTTTCTCAGCCAGCCTGAACACCTCTGTCAGCCAGGGTCTCTGAGGAGGTCTGGACTGTGTACCCAAAGCAACCATTGCAGCTGCATGCGCCACAGTCCTAAACCTCGCCCATTTCCCCTCGACATCAGGAGGAGTGGGGGACGATGCCAACCCCAGCCGCAAGCGATGATGAAATTATCTCTTGCAACTTTCATCAGCTAGCTGAGACAATGCCACGATGGGTTTGAATGGGGTCCTGGGTGTACACCTACCACCGGAGTGGAAGAATGGCAGGCGCATCTTACAGATGGCAAGTCGATGGTCAGTGGGCAGATCAGCTCCATGGTAGGTCCTAGTGTCAAGGACATGGGCCCACATCTGCTGTTCCGTCACTATGTAGTCCAGCAGATGTTCTTGCTTGGCCCCGGCATGCAACCATGATGTTGTGTGGATGCACCCATGCCGGAACAGCATGTTGGTAGTTACAAGCCCATGGGCTGCACAAATATAGCAGCCTCCTACCGTTGTTATTGAGCTGATCTGGCCTATGTCTTCCAATCACTCCAGACCAGGTGCCAGCATCATGACCAACTCAGACATTGAAGTCACCCAACAAGATGACTCTATCCCGAGGGGCCACTTTAGCTAGCACCTGTGACAGGAGGTCATAGAAGGCATCTGACTCATCGGCCTTGCCTGCACCCCTTCACGGATGTTCATATTCGGTGGAAGCATAAGTAACCACGACCACCACTCCTCGCCTCTGGTTGATGGGAAGACAAGCCCAAAGTAGCCTAGGGTTTACAGCTTCCCACAGCTCACCGCCACGCTCCCACGCCCCCTTCATTCTTTTGTTCAGAAGAAGAGCCACTCCCTGTTGTTTGGCAGTCTCCTGCCCCGAGAAGAGGACTGTCCACCCCTCATGGTGGCAGGAGCCAGAGCCGGTCCACTGGACCTCCTGAATACCACAGAGGTCCAGGCGGTTCCGGTCCAGCTCCTGACAGAGGAGTGGCAGCCTCTGCTCCGCAGTGAACATTCGAATATTTCACGTGGCCACACGTAGTGGTTTTTTGTTGTTTCTGGAGGAGCCCCGAGGGTAAGGATTCAGTCTCCTGGCTGCGCCAAATGGGGTTTGGCCAGGATACGTCATAGACGCCTGTCCCCCCGGGGCCTCCGGCACAAGCTTAAAGTTTTAAATCGTGGTTTAGTGGTACTTCATTGAAGGTGGAGGGGTTACAAGCCCCTCGCACCCATCCAGAGCCCCCATTTGGCTGCTGTGGTGGTTACAAATGCCATGACGCGAATGGCCAATCTAAATTGGCCCGCTCCCCACGGCGCTGCTCACCACAGCGTTGCCATCCGGCACCAACGAGGAGGTAGGGGGTTGTTTTTGCCGCACCGTTGTTTCTGGAGGAGCCCCAGGGGTAAGGATTCAGTCTCCTGGCTCTGCACACACACAGACAGACACACACACACAACAACGATCCTTTGTGTAGCCTTAACAGACTGTTGGGGAACATTATTTTAGCAAGCACCTATGAAGGCTGGCATGGCACATGAGGGGGTGGGTGGCTACCACAATGCCTTTGATTCCCCGGTGGCGAGTCACCAGTGTTGGCCGTGAATGGTAATTAAACTCGGGTCGCCAGGTTCATAGCGCAGCAAGCTAATCATTGCATTACCACTCCCCACAAACACACATGGGGGTACGCACGCACAAAAATATACACGCACACGTGCACGTACACACGTGCACACTCAACCTTCATACACATTCTCTCAGTGCGAAGCTGACTCATTACATCTCATGGAGGATCGCTCCACTGAACAAAATAGTTCCGTGGTTAAGTTTGCGAGTTCGTGTTTTAAGTCAATGTTAAATATATATTTCATGGAAGCTGATTCGTAAGTCAGGTGTTTGTAAGTTGGGGACTGTCACTGTAGTATTAGTCTTGATGACTACCAAGCCACTGTTGTCAAGAAGCTCTTGCTTCTAACATCAGCCGGTGTACCTTGACATTGTCACCAAGTAGTCATTCCAAACAGCCATATATGTATTTAATAAAGAATAAAAGCTCTGATTGTTGTGATAGTATTGCATTTTGATTAAAAATAAAAATGTAGTAGAATGTGGATCTTTTACCTGAAGGTTTGTTTGTTTTTTATAGGTGGTGAAGAATCTGATCTTCCTCTCGCGAGTGATGTACCTGCTGCATGCCGACTTGACACCACCCACGGCGGTCAGGACAGACTTGCGGACAGACATGGACATGGATGGGGAAGAGGACGGAGCAGAGGAAGGAGATGGAGGAAAAGAAGCGGGTAAGCATAAATTAAACAAGTTTTATAAATGCAAGTATTGCTTGGGTTATTGTTTGAACTTTGGGAGGCACGTGTATCCCTGGTTTTGCATTATAGCAGTGGTTACTGGAGCGCCACAGTGGTGAGATGCCAACGACTTCGCCTGGTATGCAGCAGGTCGTGGGTTCAATCCCATCCCTGACGTTAGTACCTTTGTAGTTTGCATATCTCTCCCCGTGGTCATGTGGATTTTTCTCCGGGCCCTCTGGTTTTTTCCCTCCACATTTAGAAACATGTATTTAGAGTATTTGGCTGCAATACATTTCCACTTCGTTGAGCTATCATTTGTGATTGCCAGGTCACTTTTGAAAAAATGCTATATAGCTCAGTGGTAAAATAAAAGATTTAGTTTACACATAGTCCTATACAAAATGCAATATTGTGTGGCACATACTGAGAGAACCTGGGAGACTGCCTGGAGATGGTAATTCAATGCTTGGTTCTGGGTAAGTGAGGCCAAGGCAGACCCAGAAGGGCTTGGATTGATGACGTTGCTTTGGACAGGGCTCAGCGTGGGACAAATCGCAGGAACTGCAGAAGTCGGTGCCCTGTGGTGTAGGAGAGTCTAACTCGTGGCCAGCCCTTGGATCTAGGAAGACTAGAAACAAAATGGTGGCACTCTAGTTAGAGCAAACGACTCGCATATGCGAGGTGGTCAGCAGATGCAAGTACAGAAATAGATTAAATCTGCCTGTGTGGTTTTTCCTACATCCCAAAAGGTTAATTAGTGGAATTGGGTAGAGCAGGACCCGCCAGAGAAAGCGCCTGAAGACGCAATGAGATTCAACACCTACATTTAAATACAACAAATCTCGGTTGTGGGTCAACGCAGTTCTTCATTCTGCAAAAGGCAACAAATTGGGTTCCACTCTTTGGGAAGCAAGCGGGTGGTGGTCCTATGGAGGCGACTCGTCTCCACCATTGGGATGGATAATTTAATCCATTCAAGCACCCACCCCGCACATGAGAGGAAACCTACTTTTCTCTGACCAGCTAGTTGTGCCTCAGGCTTGTTCCATCTGGGCCAGCCCTCTAGCTGCTACCGTAGGTGCACACCAGGCTCAACATCCCTAGTGAGTCGGTACAGTCAGCAGCTGCCAATGCCGAACCCCGGGCGGCGGTTAACGAACCCGGAAAACTCAGCTTGTCTGAGCTTGGGCGTGTGGAACCCCTGGTGCTGGAAATTCCACCAAAAGGGTCTTTGGACCTTCCACTGCAACCAGGACCATCTCCAGTCGTCTTGATTACGTCTTGCCACTCGGTACAGATGGGGCTGGTCAAGAGAGTGAGGTTGACGCTGCGCAAATCACCCTCACTTAAATCCAAGTTCTCTGCGCAAGTCATGGCACTTTTTTACCATCGTCCAAGTCCTGTGGCGATGGGTGAGCGACGAAGCAGCAGGCACGGATATGCTGGAAGCTGTAGCCGCAAACCTGCACGCAGGCGGCTCAGGATATTGGTCGTTCCCTCACTGGACTGAAGCAGCAGTGAAGTTTGGCAGCACCCTGAGTGACTGACGGCCCTATTCAGGATCATACTGTCACCTCCATAGTGAGGAAAGGGTTAGAAAAGGTACCCTAAACATTGCCTGCTTCAAAACATCCTGGCCAGCCTACCGCAGCTGGCGGGGGATACCTGCAGTCGAAAAACAAATAAAATGAAAAAGACCAAAGTGATACCACTCACGGTTGGCGCCTGGAATGTGCACACTTTGATGGACACATCCGGATCAAAAAGACCTGAGAGACGCACCGCCCTCGTGGGCAGCTAGCCAGATATAATGTGGATGTTGCTGCCCTTAGTGAGACCCAACTGGCCAATACTGGACAGGTGACTGAAGTGGGTGCAGGTTACACATTCTTCTGGAGCGGAAGAGGCCAGTAGGAGAGACGTGTTGCTGGTGTTGGTTTTGCAGTAAAAAAACACTTGATCAACCAACTGGCAAGCCTACCCAAGAGTATAAACGACCGTTTAATGACCCTAAAGCTCCATCTAATGGGTAAAAAGGAGGCCACCATCATCAGTGCCTATGCCCCTACCATGACCAACTCTGACGAGATCAAAACCAAGTTTTATAATAACCTGGAAGTCATTATTGCTGCCACAGCCAGCTCTGACAAACTCCTGATACTTGGTGACTTCAATGCCAGAGTTGGAAGTGACCATCAATCATCGAATGGAGTCATAGGTGCACATGGCATTGGAAAATGTAACAGCAATGGCCTTCTGCTGCTGAAAACATGCTCTGAATTTGACCTGCTCATCATCAACACAATATTCCAACTATCAAAGCGCAAGAAAACTTCATGGACGCATCCTCGTTCACACCACTGGCACTTGATTGACTACGTCATGAGGAGGAGTGACCGGCACGATGTCAGGGTGACCAAGGCAATGTGTGGTGCTGAATGTTGGACTGACCATCGTCTCATCATCTCCAAACTTAATATCCGGATTAAGCCTCCCAGACGCCCACAAGGAAAAAGACGTCAAGCGTCTTAACATCACTCGCCTACAACAGGAACACACCAGACTGGCCTTTGTTGAGGCTCTAGACCATCACCTCGAGTCTCTAAGCTTCGAGCATACAGACGCTGAGGAAGACTGGACTGCTCTTAAGACCGTGCTGCATTCTACAGCCCTTGAATCACTTGGTGTTCCCATACGTACACATCAATATCGGTTTGATGAGAACGATGCAGAAATCCAAGCACTCCTTGACGAAAAACATCGCCTGCATAAAGTCTATCTGAATGACAGCAGCTCAAGCTTAAAGAAAACTACCTTCCTCAACATTTGCAGGGTTGTCCAGCGGAGACTCAGAGACATGCAAGACACCTGGCTGTGCGCAAAAGCTGAGGAGATTCAGTCCTACGCTGACCGTAACAACACCAAGTGCCTCTGATGCACTCAAGCAGGTCTATGGTCCGAAACACTCAGGAACTTCACCTCTCTTGAATGCAGATGGAACAACACTCCTCACAGAGAAAGACAAAATACTTGCAAGGTGGGCTGAACACTTCAGCGCAGTCCTCAACCAGCCATCATGCATAAATGAGGAGGCAATTGTGAGACTGCCTCAAGTTGAAATAAACCAGTCCCTTGCTGTTCTACCATCCATGGAGGAAACCAGCAAAGCCATAAGCCCCCTCTCATCATGCAAAGCTCCAGGATCCGATGCCATTCCAGCAGAAATCTACAAGGCTGTATGGCCTCGCTTAGCCAAAAAACTGACTGACCTCTTCCAGTCTCTGGAAATTAGAATCCGTTCCCCAAAAGTTCAAGGATGCCTCTATCATCCATCTCTATAAGAGGAAAGGCAATCGGCAGGCCTGCGACAACCATAGAGGCATCTCCATGCTATCAATCGCTGGCAAAACTTGGCAAGAATCCTTCTGAACCGCCTAATTGTCCATCTAGTCCAGGGTCTGCTACCTGAGAGTCAGTGTGGTTTCAGAAAAGACCACGGAACCACTGACATGGTATTTACTGCCCGGCAGTTACAGGAACAAAATGCCGATCTATATATGGCTTCCGTTGATCTAACAAAAGCATTCGACACAGTCAGCCGGGAGGGCCTATGGAAGATCATGGCCAGTATGAGTGTCCAGACAAGTTCATTGGCATCGTGCGCAAACTCCATGATGGCATGATGGCTAGCGTCAGAGACCAGCAATAACTCTCTGATCCATTCCCAATCACAAATGGGGTGAAGCAAGGCTACAATTTAGCGCCAATGCTCTTCAGCATGGTGTTATCTGCCATGCTGCAAGACTAATTTCAGAACCACAACACTGGGATTAGCTTCATCTACCGTTTTGACGATGGGCTATTCAATCTGCGGAGGATGCAAGCCAAAGCTAGAGTGGAGGAAGTCACTGTTCGAGAACGTTTGTTTGCTGATGACTGTGCTCTGGCTGCTGGCTCAAATACAGATCTCATCAGCTTGTAACAACTTCGGCCTAACAATCAGCACAAAGAAGACTGAAGTCCTATACCGACCTGACCCTGGGAAACCCTACACTGAGCCCACCATCTTTGTGAATGGGCAAAAGCTTTCAGCCGTTGACAAGTTTACTTACCTTGGTAGTACTCTGTCTCGCGCTGTGCACACATGATGAAGTTAACATCAGGATTGTCAAGGCCAGTTGCACCCTTTGGACGTCTACGTGACTCGGTATGGGTAAGGACTGGCATCAAGCAGGAGACAAAACTGAAGGTCTACCAGGCTGTTGTCTTACCAACTCTTCTGTATGGGTGCGAAGCCTGGACAGTCTACCAGCGCCATGCCAAGAAATTGAACCATCTCCACTTGAACTGTCTGAGGAAACTGCTAAGGATTAAGTGGCAAGACAGAATCCCTGACACGGAAGTCCTCAGCAAGGCCAATATCCCCAGCATCCACACCTTGCTTACGAAGGAACAGCTTATATGGACTGGCCACGTGACCAGAATGCCCTGCGCGAGACTGCCAAAACAAGTCGTCTTTGGCGAGCTGAAGAATGGCAAGCGAGCGCAAGGTGGCCCCAAAAAGTGCTACAAGGACACCCTTAAAGCTTCCTTGAAGAGCTTTGGATTCTACCTGAAAAGCTGGGAACCCCTAGCTCAGGACCGACCTGCCTGGAGAAGAAAAGTACAAGATGGTGCAGTCCTCTGTGAGAGCAGGAGAAGCTCCTGGGCTATCTTGAGGAGGCAGCAGCGCAAATCTACCAAGGAAGGACTTGTTGCTGCACCTCAGAGCACTAAATCCTGCCTGACCTGTCCAGTGTGCCACAGAGAATTCCGGGCTCGGATTGGCCTGTTCAGCCATCTGTGCACTCATCAATACCCAACAAAATGACAAACGTGCCATGGTCATCATCAACTATGATGGACGAACAAGAGAGAGAGAGAGAGACTTTCCTCTAGCATGAGCAGAAATGTAATTTGTTGCATGTGGTTAAGCGATTATTATTTACTGTAATACGTGTTTATATGATCAGATCCTGTCTGTTGACCATGAGGCCTAAGTGGAGAGATGTGAATTACCTCACCTGATACACAGGAGGTCGTGAGTTCGATCCCAACCCTAACATCTCTTGTATATTTGGAGTTTGCATGTCTCTCTCCCCGTGGTCGCATGGATTTGTATTCAGGTCTTCCAGTTTTTCCCTCCACATTTAAAAACATGCCTTTAGAGTATGGCTGCTATAAATTTCCACGTGATAAGCCACTTCGTTGAGCTATCATTTGTGGCCAGGTTGCTTCTGAAAAAGAGCTATAGAGCTCAGTTGGCTTTACCTGGTAAAATGAAAATAGTAAAAAAAAGTAAAGCTCAAGTCTATTTGAAGCAGCCAAAACATCATACATGGATGTAACGGGCACAATGCTTTCTCATAGGCAGAATACAATGTCAGTGTACATTATTTAGCGTATATGTTGATCGCTGCATTTAATTAACAATTGCTGTTGTTTCAGAAACCACTGAGAAAAACCAAGCCTGTTTAACCTGGCTTATGAAGAGGCTGTGCTTCATGGCCAAGAAGGAGGCTGCCAACACCCCACTAGTGTCCCTGAAGGTGTGTGACGCTGCAGTTAACACCTGTCTTTTGTTCACAATATTATAAAATCAAAGCTCCAGCTGATTTATTTGATATACAGTGGACTCTATTATCTGAATTCGGTTTATCCGATTTGTGGATTAACCATGCACCTGATATTTTGAAATAAATTAGTAACTTTATGAGACCTCCTTTGCCAGTAGCAAGATATATTAATAGGTTTTTACCCTTTTATCTGGCACCAAAACTGACACCTTTATACAAGGGATCATGTTTGCAATAACCACAACACAAGCAGTCAAAATGCAAACACAGAGACAACTATGATAATGATATACACTGACCTTGAAATTGATTGGTCCACACCCGAGAGACAGCTTTTCTTAGAGCCTAGTCTCCAATGGTGTTGGACCAGATGACTCCAAAAGGCGTACAACTCAAAAACAGCGCACTATCAGAGTATTGAGAGCAGAGTATTGAGAGGGTAAAAATTTATAACTCATGGATTTTTCCCTTAAGCCCAAATTAATAATCTAAAAACAGTTCTACATTGTTATTCTTAGAAATGTTTATTAAAAGTCACGTGCTTAAACCGAACAAATATGTGCTCCGGTTAAACTGAAATCCACGCGATCGCCACTTCAGTACAGTAGTTGCATTTCTTGACAACAATGTGTGGAGTTTGATGTTGATTGGCGTGGCTCTGCTACTGTCCACTTAGTGGACTGAATCTTCTGCGCGGGCGCAGGAAAGTGTTATCACTGAGCACGCGCATCGATCGGTCGATCATTAGTATTCCATGGAAAATGGATTTGTTTGGATTATCAACAGCTGCCCACTGCTGTCAATGCTTCCAGTGCTGCATCTTATATAGCAAGGGTCAGTTGTAAGTCATGGTATGCTTTACCAAAGTCCGGGAACATGCATAAGTTTAATCAGGCATCTACAATCTCGATCCCTTGTTCATTTTGGAAACGGCGTGTGTGTTTGGTTCATATTTGAGCTTGCCGTTCTCACTAACCAGCGTTAATTGTTTGGCATGTCTGGCTGCTGACAAGCGCCAGAAGTTTGAAACTGGTCCAGAGATGTCAGTTTTGACATGCCGCTGCTTAACATATCTGGAAGGCCACTTGGCCAGTATTCTGAGATTTTAACTTTAGAGGTATGGATAGGTAATTTATTTAATGTACTCTATGTATCTGTTTAAGTGTGATTGTATTTAGTATTTTTTTAATTTGATTTTTAACCATTTTAAAGGTCTCATTTCTATGAATTACACCATTTTAAAGCAATATCGTAATGTTGTTGGAAATCTCTTTAAATCTTCTCCTGTTCCAGAGAACGTGTGTGTTTAAGTTCTTCGCGGCGATTGCTTTAGACTTGGGAAAAGAGAAAACAACTCCATTCCTGGCGATAATTCTGAGACCGCTCCACCGTGAGCTGCACAGCACATACGTGGAGCACGGTGAGTGCAAACAGTCTGTTACGTGGTTCGTCTGCTGTTTATCTTTTGTAAGTAGGACAGTGGTGCCTAAACGATGGGTGTGATTTCTAGAAAGGCTAGAAATCTGAACTTTGGCACAAATGCATGTAAGGATGTGCTTTACAAGAAAATTACAAAAAGTACATTTACATTTTTCCAATTATTTTGATGTTTTCCTCTAATAGGGAAGTTTCTGCCTTAAGGTATATGTTTTAATAGCCATGGCATTACCCTTGATTTTTTGGTATTCTAGTCTTGGCTTTGGGGCTCTGATCCTCTATGTTAGAATTAAATATAACTTACATGTATAATAAGCTTAAGTACTTACAAAAAAGTTTGGTGGCTGTATTGACAATCGTGCACAAAAACAAATAACATCAACTGACCTATGTGCTATGAAAAAGGGACATTTCCCAAACCATCAACTTGTGTATATTTTTCGATTCAAAGCTTTCATGACTGCAGGGATTAATCTTCTTGGTTCTTTCGGTAAAGTCACGTAGAATGGAAATAAAATAATAAAAATAAAACATAAAATAAAATTCTCGCGACGTTACGGCCACAACACAAGTAGCCTTCTTCAGGTGAAGAAACAGGACTGACAGCGCTGTCTTCTGGACAGTCCTGTTTCTTCACCTGAAGAAGGCTACTTGTGTTGTGGCCGAAACGTCGTGAGAATTTTATTTTATTATGTTTTATTTTATTTCCATTCTACGTGACTTTACCGAAAGAACCAAGATGAACTTGTGTATACATTTGCTCCTTTTAATGCAGTGTTATTCATGATTGTTGGGAGTTTTTTTTTTTTATAAGAGTAATTAATGTTATAATGTTTGGGTCTTTTGGTAAAGCCACGTAGATAGAAAAATAAAAATATCACGACGTTTTGATCGCAACACACGCAATCGTCATCACGTGAAATAATATTCCTCCTTTGCCAGTACCAACATATGAGAATAGGTTTTCCCCTTTTTTCTGGCAACAAAAAACCTTTTACAAGTAATCATGTCTGCATTAACCATAATACTTGTGGTCAGAATGCAAACACACTGATAATATATGCATTGTCTTTGAAACTGATTGGTCCACACCAGAGACAGCTTTCTTTGGAGCCATCAACTTGTGTATACATTTGTTCCTTTTAATGCAGTGGCGTCCTCTGAGACGAGGCTCCAAAGAAAGCTGTCTCTGGTGTGGACCAATCAGTTTAAAAGACGATGCATATATTATCAGTGTTTTTTTTTTGCATTCTGACCACAAGTATTGTGGTTAATGCAGACATGATTCCTTGTAAAATGTTTCATTTGAGTGTTTTAACATCTTTACACCTTTGATTTAAAGCTTTCGTGACTGCAGTAATTCATATTCTTAGTTTTTTCGGTAAAGTCACGTTGAAGAGAAGCAACAAAATAATAAAATATATATAAAACAATAAAAAATTCTCACGACGTTTCGACCATAACTCAAACGGTCATCTTCAGGTGTGTTGGTTTGCATAAATTTATTTTTAAACGGCGCATTTATTTATTTATAAAAACGTTAGCCTCACGCGCAGCGATTTGGCAGTTTGCCCAGGACTAGTCCATCTATATTTTTTTTAAAGAGGAGGGGGGAGACGACATTTTTTATAATGTATGCTGTCTGAAAGCCACTGTAAGCGTGAACAATCAATTAAGAACTGAAATGGTTTATCAAATCTTTCCAATGATTGCTAAGATAGAATCCATCTTCTCGGTTGAAATTGTCTCTGTGCTTGTATATGTGGATAGCCTCATGAACGAATCTCTTATGGAAGCCAGATGGCTTACAAAGAACCTCCGTCTTGGAAAAGTCTCTGCCTCTGTGGTAGTAGTTACATTGGAGAAACCAAACGCCATGTCTCGGACCGCATTCGTGAACATAAAGCAGACCTTAAACACGGTAGGACCAACACCTCGGCCGTAGCAGATCATTGTTCTAATTCAGTAGGCTCACATGCCATTGACTTTTCCAAGACGGAGGTTCTTTGTAAGCCATCTGGCTTCCATGAGAGATTCGTTCATGAGGCTATCCACATATACAAGCACAGAGACAATTTCAACCGAGAAGATGGATTCTATCTTAGCAATCATTGGAAAGATTTGATAAACCATTTCAGTTCTTAATTGATTGTTCACGCTTACAGTGGCTTTCAGACAGCATACATTATAAAAAATGTCGTCTCCCCCCTCCTCTTTTAAAAAAATATAGATGGACTAGTCCTGGGCAAACTGCCAAATCGCTGCGCGTGACGCCAACGTTTTTATAAATAAATAAATGCGCCGTTTAAAAATAAATTTATGCAAACCAACACACCTGAAGATGACCGTTTGAGTTATGGTCGAAACGTCGTGAGAATTTTTTATTGTTTTATATATATTTTATTATTTTGTTGTTTCTCTTCAACGTGACTTTACCGAAAAAACTAAGAATATATCTTTACACCTATTCTTAGTTTTTTCGGTAAAGTCACGTTGAAGAGAAACAACAAAATAATAAAATATATATAAAACAATAACAACTAAAAAATTCTCACGACGTTTCGACCATAACTCAAACGGTCATCTTCAGGTGTGTTGGTTTGCATAAATTTATTTTTAAACGGCGCATTTATTTATTTAAACGGCGCATTTATTTATTTAAAAATAAATTTATGCAAACCAACACACCTGAAGATGACCGTTTGAGTTATGGTCGAAACGTCGTGAGAATTTTTTTATTGTTTTATATATATTTTATTATTTTGTTGTTTCTCTTCAACGTGACTTTACCGAAAAAACTAAGAATATGAATTACTGCAGTCACGAAAGCTTTAAATCAAAATCTTTACACCTGTTTTGTTGCCAGAAAAAAAGTGGAAAACCTAATCTCTTAGTTCATCTTGTTTGTGTACTATACATTATAGGTGCTGACTTACTCATGCTTTACAGATCCTACATTGAAGACCCTGTCTCAGGAGATCATCGAGTTGCTGAAGGGTCTGGTGGGGGTGGAGGAGTTCTCACTGGCTTACAGCAGTGTCCAGAAGCAGGCCAACCAGAAGCGCACGGAGCGCAAAGTTCAGCGGGCTCAACAGGTCAGGAATGCCTACGTGCACGGACGTGGTTGGCAGACCACGCAAATCCCATTAATGCTACTACTTGGCATTTGAGCAGGCTCCCTGACTCGCCATCGGAAGGCTCCGAGTTCAAATTTTGGTCAGAGTTCCGGGACTATCAAAATATGTAGCACTTGGTCGGAAGCATAAACAGCAATCCCTTGCCAACCACGGATTTCATGCTTTTAGCATTGTATACAAATTTACCCAACCGCGGCCTGGAAATTTGAGTATCCCCGGGTAAGCACGAAGTCTGCAACTCTCGTTTTACAAATTTCATGGGGCCGTGTGGTTCTCCTCCGCGTCACAGCGCCACCCATGGCCACCCGTGGCGCTGCGTAGCTCATCAGTTGTCCCATCTGTTTTGTTGCGATTCTCGTAGCACACAGACCGCGTCGCATCGCAACCGCATACTTTGTTTTTGTTTATTGGTCATTGATGACCCGGAGGAAGAGGTGCTAAGTGCGCTGAGCCCCTTCTCCTTCTAAACCACCCCTTTCCCCATCATCTCATTGTGATCGTCAACATCGTTAATTTTAAAGGTATGTAAACTTAATGTAATATTTATGTTATGTATGTATGCACGTTGAACGTCTTGCACACTTTACGTTATTGTGTAGTGTACTGTATTTTATTCGTTAAGCTATGGCGAGTCTCACCACGGCCATGGTTCCCCTAACCACCTATTTCCCATAGGCTTTGAACTTTACCAACTGCAGATTTGCCTACCTAACCCTCCTGGTTGGCGAGGGATGACTGTACTGACTTTTTTGTGGAGATATTGGCTTCCATAATAGGAATTTTGAACTAAAGCCACTGGCTCAGTGCTGCCAGTAGAATTGTTTATTCATGTCCAGATGGATGGACCAGTGGGCTGCTAATCCTAAAATAATCTAAGTGCATGATGAGTATAACAAAAACTTTATTCTTCAGTTGTTTCTTTTATCTGAATTACAGATCAACCATGCACAACTAAATCTAAAATAAATGTATTTGCCCACTAGTTTAATTATAAATTGCTTCTCGCTCATGACTTGGACCCGACGTGACTGCAAACACGTCAAGTACACCACTTACTCCCATTACCCTGGCTAACGAAGCTGCCGCCTGTCAGGGGCTAGCTGCTCAGTCCGAAACCAGCAATGTGGGCCAGCTGCCTTGAAAACACAGCACAAAAACAACGTAGTGACAGCTTTTTGTTCGACACACATATTTTTTTATTTTATCTTCGTCTAATCTTTATTGTACATTCAGAATGTGAAAGGGTTACATTAGAATTTATTTGACTCTTAGTCCATGCCCTCGCGCTAGCGGGGTCTGGTCCCCTGCACCAGCAAATATCGTTTTGGCCACGCAAGTTCAGTTTCTCCTCCCTCGCGGTGAATCGCTGCCACAGTGGCCCCAACACAACGGTTCAGGTGGCCCCACAATTATGGAAATGCTAATCAATGGCTTGTGATGCACTATTATCTAATAAATAATATTTACATTATTATAAAAAAACTATTGCTGGCTTATTGTAAATGTTAAAATAATGTTTCAAATTATTTACTCCGCAATATAAAGAAAGCTTGAGCGGAATAAGTCACTCCAACCCGTTTTCTTTCATAGCGTGTGATGACATTTTATTGTTTTCGGTGTGCCCTGAAGGCTGTTGCAAATCCGGAAATAGCTGCCCGGAGGAAGATGAAGAAGCACAAGAACAAGGTGGAGGCGCAGAAAAGGAAGTTGGAGGTGCTTCGTCCAGATTACAAGGCTAAGCGGCAAAAAACCAAGAGCGTGCGTGAGCTTGCTATTTTGGAGTGAGGCCTTGGCCTCACGGGAGGACATCTCACTTGCCCCTTGGCGCTATTTATGATGCCTCGGTGAACTCAAGAGTTCTTTGTGTCCCACAAATGGTGGCCTAGACACTGCAAAAACTGGCAATTTGGAAGGGTGTGCTTTTATTCAGATAGCTTTTTTTTAGAGAAAATGTAAAAACAAAGTGTGAAACCAGTGAAAGATTTACGTGCATTGTTACACGCATTAGGAATGAAATATGTTCATGTAAAATTTATATGGATTTCATATGAATAATGTGTTTGAACATTTTGTTTGTATTGTTATTACATTGTTAATTATGAACTAGGCCTGTATTTGTATTAAAGACATGTTAATGCACTGCGCTCTTCTTTGTATTTGTGCTTGTGCACCACTGCCAAAGCAACATCACCAAATAATTAGTTTTAATTTAGAAGTCGGGGGGGGGTCATTGACTAGGCCCAGGAGTTGGCAACCCAAATAACAGGAAGAGCTATTTTTCTCAAATTTGGTAAAACAAACTCAATATTTCAAGAGCACTGGTGAATACGAGACGATGGTTCCTTAATAATTAACGTCACGAAGCAGCAGTCCTTAAAGCGCCACCGTACTCCGCTCCGGAGCCACAGGTTGCCAACCCCTGGAGGAGGCAATGGCTCCGGGTGGTTATTGTTTATTGCAAAGATTACGGCGAGCCGTTATTGGCGAATGCTTTCATTGGTTACTGTTGTCAGAATGCGATGTACTGGCAAACCCTGTGTAATGCAATCTACTGCTGTGTAAGTTCATTAAAATAATGCATTTAAGATATCAAATGATAAAAAGCAGGCATTGCAAGGGGCTTTCGCAGCACGTGGCAGTGGCGTGGTGTGTAATATAATTTGCAGTTGTGTGCAGTGGTTGTTGACTGAATATGCATGATGACCATGTGTGTGCTGACTATATTCTGACTGTGACTGTTCTGACAGTATGTGCATGTGTGCTGAATGTGCTACGTGAATGTATGTTTGCCTAACTGGGAATGTGTGTGCGTGTCAAATGTGTGCGCTGACCAGAGTTGCAACATGCGTCTCTTAGCCACATCTAAAGCTCCTACTGTGAGTGTCATGAGTCCGAACACCCATGACATCTACAGTTGTAACTGTGCCACTGCTGATCGCAGCCAAAAAGCGTTATTTTATCAAAGTGCACCTCACGGTCACAAGTTTCCAGCCTCGCAAACTAAATGTCAAAATGCCCAAACAAAGATCCAGGTGGACAAACCCGCATCGTCTGTGTTGATAATTTAAATCATATATAATGTGTAAAGCAAAAAGGGTAATGTTTATAAATACTTGAGAAAATATGCAGTGTACATTTTTTAAAAATAGTTTTAAAGAAACAGCTGACTTGTGATAATGTGAATGTAAATCTTGACTTAAAGCTTTCGTGACTGCAGGAATTCATATTCGTTGGGTCTTTCGGTAAAGTCACGTAGATAGGTTATTTTGTTACTTTATTTGAAACTATCTACGCGACTTTACCGAAAGACCCAAAGAATATGAAAATGTGAACGTATTGTAGAGCTGTAAAATTCTTACGGTGAAATTGCGTGGATGTTCCATGAAAAGCGATAATTGTAAAGTTTGTATTTACCACTTTGGCACACCTTATCAAAATACAAAAGTATGCGAGTACAAGTGCTGCATGTAAAATTGTACATGTCATTCTAGCTTCATGTTGGTTGTATGTTCAATACTTTTTACAGGGATAATTACCCTGAATGTCAACACCCATAGCCAGCAATCAAGACATAAATAATTCACATGCCTATTTACAAGGGGGCACAATAGTAACTGTTCACCTGCCATATGTTGCCCAGGTCGACAGCGTATAACCTTCCACAAACCTCACCGGTCATAGAAGGCATTCTCCAGGAGCATGTCGATTTACTGCTCTCGTACGCAGAGGGAGTTGAAAACCGCTTGCTGCCGCTTACCAACATCTCCAGCCGCCGCTTGAGAGAGCTGCTAAAAAGGGGGGGCCCTTTGTGAGTTGACTTCGAAGGCGGCAAGAACGATGCGCGTAGATGAGGGGGATGCCCTCGCTTCGCGAGGTGGCGAGGGAACGGGGGCCGTGCCTGCGACCTTCGGCCGCTGCAAGCCAAAGGTGAAGCACAAAGCGGCATCGCGTGCCAATGGGGCCAGTCCGCTCGCCCGTCTGCGGAATGAGGGTGCGGTCACACCTCCGCGTGGTGATTTGCAGCGAGTGGTAATAAATGTGTCCGGAGAACGGTTTGAGACGCAGTTGAAGACGCTGGACCAGTTCCCAGACTCGCTCCTGGGCCACCCGGACAAGCGAGCGCGATATTTTGACCCACTCCAAAACGAGTACTTTTTTGACAGAAGCCACGTCAATTTTGATGCCATCCTCTTCTACTACCAGTCTGGGGGAAGGCTTTGCAAGCCTGTTGACGTGCCTTCGGATGTCTTCAGAGAGGAGGTAGAATTCTACGAACTCGGAGAAGAAGCCGTTGCAAAGTACGGAGAGAATACACTCGACACCCCTGAAGAGGAAAACGTGCACGGAAAAGACTTTCAGCAGCACGTATGGCGCTTGTTTGAATCGCGAGACGGTTCCATCGCTGCAAAGATGTTATCCCTCATGTCGTTTGTGACGACTATACTGTCGATTACGGTCATGTGTTTGGAGACACTGCCACAATTTCGCAAAGATAATCAAGTCCATGCCAATCGTACCGAGTTCAGCATTCGAACAAGTATCTACAATCTCGATCCTTTCTTCATGTTGGAAACGGCGTGTGTTGTTTGGTTCATATTTGAGCTTGCCGTTCGCTTTTACGCCTGTCCAAGCAAGACGTCCTTTATGAAGGATTTCATGAATGCGATCGACATCCTGGCAATAATGCCATATTTCATCACGGTTGTCTTGGAGATCATGCAACAGCAAGATCAGACCCGGCAACCTTTGCTGAAGATCATACGCCTCGTAAGGGTCTTGCGAATATTCAAACTGTCTCGTCACTGCCAAGATCTGCAAATCCTTGGGCTGACGCTGAAGGCCAGCCTGCGGGAGTTGGCCATGCTAAGCTTTTTCCTCTTCGTCGCTGTGGTAATATTCTCCGGTGCGATCTACTACGTGGAAGCTGACGACCCGCAGAAACACTTCAGCAGCATCCCAGACGCCTTCTGGTGGGCGGTGGTCACAATGACGTTGGTTGGCTACGGAGATATGTGGCCCATGACGGTGGGAGGCAAGATCGTGGGTGCGCTATGTGCTATCACTGGAGTGCTCACCATCTCTCTACCAGTACCCGTCATTGTTTCGAACTTCAAATACTTCTATAATCTAAAAAACAAGGACATTAAGAGATGTCGTCGTTGCTAAAGCCACCTCACCCGCTACGCGTGACCTCCAACATCTATTGCGACAGTCTCCCACATCTGGTCTCATGAGGTCTTCCCCTTAGTCACCAGTCTCGTGGAGATCAGCCCTCCTCCATCTCGCACACGTGCAAGTTATGCAATCTACTGGTGCTTTTGTGTTCTTGGCTTGAGATATATTTAAAGATCAGCCTTTCCTGGATCTCTCTCTTTTACCTTCACTTCTCGAGTTTGTGCACACTCTAAAATACCTTACATTTTACATAATAGACGGACACTCTAACATCTAAATAATTCCGTCAGTCCTTTGATGCTGTCCTAACCACGTCACACCTCCTGTCGTGCTTTCTACTTCCCTCCATTCTTGTTCCTGCATCACACTTTTCTTGATATTGCAGCGAAAGTCAATACTATGTAGTAAACATACTGGGCTACACGGAATGTAACCGTTCCCCCCCAGTAATTATTTAATGTAATGTTTTACTTGCTTGTATTGTCTTATACGTTATTTTCTCTCAAATAATCTAAAGGTGCACATTAGCATATAATCCATATACAATTTGTATTTAATGTTCATTGATTAAAAAGTGCATTAAACACGTATGTACTATTAAGAAGGGCCATTGCTTGAAACGTCGCCTTTTATATATTTTTTTCATTTTAGGGCGATAGTGTTGAGTTTTATTCATGAATCAAAGAATTGTCACATGCCTAATCATGTACGTACACTTATATATGATGCTGCTGCCATTGCAGTAAGTAAAGTATAGGTATTTGTAGACTACCCTGGCCGTAGTGGACTGCACTGATCTGCACTCAGGGCCTGGCGTGAACGGATTTAAAACCGTGACACCAGAGTTGGCTGTGCTCGGAAACGGAGGACACTCCGACCTCCCCCGGTGGCAGCATAGTCCCGAGCGGTCTTTCAAATGCTCCCATCTGAACGTATCAGACCAATTTATAACATCACGGATCTACTTTTAATAAAGGGAGAGTAGCAATGCAAGAATGGACCAAAAGCAGCGTGGGCCAAGGCATGCAGTGAACATGGCCAATAAACAAGGTCATTAGATCATACAAAAACAACAACACATACCAATATATAACAGGTGACATTTCGGGCAATTATATAAGTTGCCCATTTATTATTTGTATTTCAAGGCACTGTTATTGACGAATGTGAGTTTTACGTTAATTGCGTTTGTGTGCCACGACTAACGCAGCCTTACGAAATAATTGAAATAGAATAATCACATTAGATTAATACATTGGTTTTTGCATGCTGCCTGATTTCCATTGCATAATCATTACCTTTAGTGCTATATGCAGTGTTTGCATGAAAATAATAACACTTGAAATTTGGTCTACGTATTAAAATCGTGGTTTGTACGCTAAAATATGTAAAGTGTGCAGAGTTTTAGCATCATGGCAATGAGCAATAGATATTCAAAATTACTCACTAGACAGATAATATATTTCGATTTAAAGCTTTCGTGACTGCAATGATTCATCTTCTTTGGTTCTTTCGGTAAAGTCACGTAGAATGAGAATAAAATAATAAATTGATAAAATAAAATAACACAATAATATTCTCACGACGTTTCGGCCACAACACAGACAGTCTGGTAGGACAGCGCTGTCCTACCAGACAGTCTCGTCCCTTCACCTGATGAAGGCCGCTTGTGTTGTGGCCGAAACGTCGTGAGAATATTATTGTGTTATTTTATTTTATCAATTTTATTATTTTATTCTCATTCTACGTGACTTTACCGAAAGAACCAAAGGAGATAATATATTGGCACTCCAAATGTATTGCTACAGGATACTGCATCTAAACTAGCCCCAAAGAGTGACCAACGTAGCCCCCTGCCCTTGATTAGACTTTGATAGACTTCACAAGCTCTAGGCTGGCATCTGGGTTAACTGGAATCAGGATTAAGATTTTACTCGTGCCTTTTCCTTGATTTGATCTAGCCTTCAAATAACTTTGATATTTGACTGGTACCTTGCATTTCCTCTTACATTTGAGTTAAATCCTTGTAGTGTTGCTTTTTTTATAACCTAACCAAGTACTTTTGACTGCAGTTAACTTTAGTCTTACTCTTGGATTGGTTTCAATTGCCTCCTAACCCTAAAAAAACATTGCATACGCCATTGTGTTGTTCTTTGCGACTCCGTTTACTCGATTTCTCCTTGCTCCGGCTCTTGCCCTGGAATCTGGTTTTCGTCACATCCACTGCCCAAGATAAATTCAGCCCAGACTTTTGTCCAACTCGTGTGTTTTATTTAAAGCCATTGTAAAATGTTACAAGGGTGAGGATGAAAACAAATTTCTGACAAGACAAGTTGTGACAGTGCCGGTGCACTTGCACCTCCTCCTAGACGAAATCTGGTCTTGGAATTTTGTAAGTTTTCGAATGTTGCCTTCCTGGAGGCGAAAGCCAAGACTGACCCACCTCACATGTATTTACACTGTAAATATATTTCACCATCTCGCCGACCTTCTCTGGTGCGATTTAACATTTTGCGTGTGTGTGAAAACTGCAGAGCGTTTTTGCGTACAACTTTTCGTTGTAAAACTTAAGTAAACTTCCTTCTGCTTCATAACTGGAACGTTGTCCTTGCCAAGTTATTTTCCATGGGGGTGCTGTGCAAAGAAGAGGCTGTTGTAGATAGTCCATTGACGTTATTTTATTTCGAAATATATTTTGTCTTTGAAAGGAATGTGAAAAAGCGTATTCATTTAAAGGAGAAAACCAGAAAGTCAATGTGCCCTGCACATTTTGTTCAACGCAGTGGTCAGCGATGAGATGTAGACATTTTTAAAAACACATGTGGATACAAGGCATACTTTGCCATTGACCATATTACACACAGGTCAGAAAATATTGTGTATTTCACAGGCAAAAGTTTAATGCAAGGACGTTTGATCGTGTGTTGATGTGTTACACTTTCAGGGGGAAAAAATACATGTGCGCTCGTATTACGTCGAATGTTTTACATTTGCCACTCTATGTAAAGACCTTAAGTTTTGCTTCAGAAGGGTAAATTCGCCAAAATATTGGAATCTACCCTCATGTGACAAAACATGTTTTTTTACTTAATCAGTTACTACAGTGAGGGAAAAAAGTATTTGATCCCCTGCTGATTTTGTACGTTTGCCCACTGACAAAGAAATTATCAGTCTATAATTTTAATGGTAGGTTTATTTGAACAGTGAGAGACAGAATAACAACAGAAAAATCCAGAAAAACGCATGTCAAAATTGTTATAAATTGATTTGCATTTTAATGAGGGAAATCAGTATTTGACCCCCTCTCAATCAGAAGAATGTCTGGCTCCCAGGTGTCTTTTATACAGGTAACGAGCTGAGATTAGGAGCACACTCGTAAAGGGAGTGCTCCTATTCTCAGCTTGTTACCTGTATAAAAGGCACCTGTCCACAGAAGCAATCAATCAATCAGATTTCAAACTCTCCACCATGGCCAAGACCAAAGAGCTCTCCAAGGATGTCAGGGACAAGATTGTAGACCTACACAAGGCTGGAATGAGCTACAAGACCATTGCCAAGCAGCTTGGTGAGAAGGTGACGACAGTTGGTGCGATTATTCGCAAATGGAAGAAACACAAAAGAACTGTCAATTTCCCTCGGCCTGGGGCTCCATGCAATATCTCACCTCGTGGAGTTACAATGATCATGAGAACGGTGAGGAATCAGCCCAGAGCTACACGGGAGGATCTTGTCAATGATCTCAAGGCAGCTGGGACCATAGTCGCCAAGAAAACAATGGGTAACACACTACGCCATGAAGGACTGAAATCCTGCAGCGCCCGCAAGGTCCCCCTGCTCAAGAAAACACATATACATGCCCGTCTGAAGTTTGCCAATGAACATCTGAATGATTCAGAGGACAACTGGGTGAAAGTGTTGTGGTCAGATGAGACCAAAATGGAGCTCTTTGGCGTCAACTAAACTCGCCGTGTTTGGAGGAGGAATGCTGCCTATGACCCCAAGAACACCATCCCCACCGTCAAACATGGAGGTGGAAACATTATGCTTTGGGGGTGTTTTTCTGCTAAGGGGACAGGACAACTTCACCGCATCAAAGGGACGATGGACGGGGCCATGTACCGTTAAATCTTGGGTGAGAACCTCCTTCCCTCAGCCAAGGCATTGAAAATGGGTAGTCGATGGGTTTTCCAGCATGACAATGACCCAAAACATACGGCCAAGACAACAAAGAAGTGGTTTAAGAAGAAGCACATTAAGGTCCTGGAGTGGCCTAGCCAGTCTCCAGACCTTAATCCCATAGAAAATCTTTGGGGGGAGCTGAAGGTTCGAGTTGCCAAACGTCAGCCTCGAAACCTTAATGACTTGGAAAAGATCTGCAAAGAGGAGTGGGACAAAATCCCTCCTGAGATGTGTGCAAACCTGGTGGCCAAATACAAGAAACGTCTGACCTCTGATTGCCAACAAGGGTTTTGCCACCGAGTGCTAAGTCATGTTTTGCAGAGGGGTCAAATACTTATTTCCCTCATTACAATGCAAATAAATGTATAACATTTTTGACATGCGTTTTTCTGGATTTTTTTGTTGTTATTCTGTCTCTCACTGTTCAAATAAACCTACCATTAAAATTATAGACTGATAATTTCTTTGTCAGGGCAAACCTACAAAATCAGCAGGGGATCAAATACTTTTTTCCCTCACTGTACTATGTATGCCAAATGTATACTGCTGTTTTTGAAAGATGTGACAGAAACATATGATACGGTGCCTTTGAAACACTCATAGGTAATAAAATACAGTAATCCATGTCAAGCTTGAGCATTTCATTTTCTAAAAAGTTATAAAATATCCAGTAACAAGTGCAAAATTAATTGCAAAAATTTCCCAATAACAGGAAAATTGACACGACCTCTATACGTGTGTTAATTTACCTATAAAATATAATGCTGATAAAAGAGTATGGTGATTGAAAACATTAACAATCAAAAACAACACTTTCTTAGGTCTAATATCTCAAACCTCAATACATGCACTTTCCTCTTACTAAACACAGCGATAATATGAAATATGACACGCATAGGAACCGTATATTTTTTTTTTGCACGTAACCAGTCGTTCCATTATTCATACACAAACATATTCCTCAAAAACAAGATTGATACATTTTATCCAAAGCATGGACTTGTCAGGTAAGCACAAGGAAACATGCAACTGCATCATACAGACAGAATGGGGGCCCATTTAGCACAACCTTATTTCAAACAAGATTACGATATAAAACACCAATCAAGAACTCGGACGTACTGTTGCTGTGTTAGAATTTGAAACTCAACCCATTTCTTATCAATAAAAATGTTGTCTCGCCCATCTACATTAATGCACTGGAATTCTATTTTTCATAACTGGGCGCCACGGTGAGGAGATGTGAACTCCCTCGCCTGGTATACAGGAGTTTGTGGGTTAGATCCCGAACCCGACCTTGACGCCTACTGTATATTTGGAGTTTGCTTGTCTCTCTCACCCCGTGGTCGTGTGGCATTTTCTCCGTTTTTTCCGGTGTTTCCCGCAACATTTAGAAACGTGCTTAAGAGTATATGGCTGCTATAAATTTCCACATAAGCCACTTTAAGCAATAATTTTTGGTCATGTCGCATCAGAGGGATAATTCAAACAATTACTGATTTATAATAGATTTTTGGGTTCGGTCATGCAAGTTTCAGTCTTAAGACCCTCCAGCACCCGACATAGCCCAACAGATTTAATTGAAACGTATGTGTACAAGCTTTTAAAGTGAAATTATTATCTAGTTAACAGGTAAGTTGAAGAACAATTCGATCCCGACCCTGACACCTGCATATTTGGAGTTTGCATGTTTGCCTCCCCGTGGTCACGTGGATTTTTTTTGTTCAAATCCTCCGGTTTTTCCCTCCACATTTAGAAACATGCATTTAGAGGATTTGGCCGTTATACATTTGCACATGATATGCCATCTCGTAAAGCTTTCAATTGTGGCCTGGTCGCTTCTGAAAAAGAGCTACATAGCTCAGTGGGCAATACCTGGTGGTGGAGGGTCTTACGACTGAAAAGGGTCTTGCAACGCAGATCGTTACATAGCCTCAACGAAATTCAACTACGAATTATAATTTTGTCTGTAAAAACCTCTGGGGTTATGTTAAAATTATTCCTTTAAGCGTGCCCTCAAAAGCGTATAATTTTACTGAGGTCCAGGGATATAATTTTACAATTTGCAAAACACCACGTGTGTGTATATTCTTAGTTTTTTCGGTAAAGTCACGTTGAAGAGAAACAACAAAATAATAAAATATATATAAAACAATAAAAAATTCTCACGACGTTTCGACCATAACTCAAACGGTCATCTTCAGGTGTGTTGGTTTGCATAAATTTATTTTGAAACGGCGCATTTATTTATTTATAAAAAAACGTTAGCGTCACGCGCAGCGATTTGGCAGTTTGCCCAGGACTAGTCCATCTATATTTTTTTTGAAAAGAGGAGGGGGGAGACGAAATTTTTTATAATGTATGCTGTCTGAAAGCCACTGTAAGCGTGAACAATCAATTAAGAACTGAAATGGTTTATCAAATCTTTCCAATGATTGCTGAGATAGAATCCATCTTCTCGGTTGAAATTGTCTCTGTGCTTGTATATGTGGATAGCCTCATGAACGAATCTCTCATGGAAGCCAGATGGCTTACAAAGAACCTCTGTCTTGGAAAAGTCAATGGCATGTGAGCCTACTGAATTAGAACAATGATCTGCTACGGCCGAGGTGTTGGTCCTACCGTGTTTAAGGTCTGCTTTATGTTCACGAATGCGGTCCGAGACAATTTTATGCAAACCAACACACCTGAAGATGACCGTTTGAGTTATGGTCGAAACGTCGTGAGAATTTTTTATTGTTTTTTATATATTTTATTATTTTGTTGTTTCTCTTCAACGTGACTTTACCGAAAAAACTAAGAATATGAATTACTGCACTCACGAAAGCTTTAAATCAAAATTTACCACGTGTGTGTGTTTGTGTGTTGTGCTCATTCTTTGGAGATCCTTTTGGACAGCTGAAAGCCATGGAGAGACTTGTGGGAGTTGCTGCGCTCCTTTTGCTGGACCTCCTGCAGTTGTCTCACGCTGCTTCGAGTGCTGCTACTGCTCTTGCAGTTGTCCTTGTTCTTGCCTATCAAAGACTCGAGCAGTTGCATCTTATCCTGTTCTTCCTTCAGAAAGACATTGACCAAGTACAGCTTCTCTTTCTTCATGCAGTCCTCGATGTCTGACGGGATGTCCTCAATTATCCAGTCCAGCATGTTACTCAGGAACATTACAAGATTCTGTAAAACAACAACTTCATAATGTTTCTTAGGGAAGGGCTTCTCATGGACATTTCGTGGCTTTCAAGTGAGCTGCTAAAAACATCACAAGGTCTATAACAAGAATAATTTTGGGTCCTAGTTTTGTCCTGCTAGGTAAATATGCTACGATGGCAAATGTATATGGACAACACATGAACAAAACACTTCGCTGTGGGGCCACAGCTTAGCAGCTCCAGCCACCTCAGGCTGTGATTTTTAAACGTTATCAACTGTCATGAAAGTCTCTAAACCACAGATTGTTATGAAAATATTAATTCAGATGTGGAAGACTCAGGTAAACCCCTGTTAATCTGCTCTTACAGGAAAACGAACATACCTTTATTCTAACCCAACCACATGGTTCCAGGAACCAAAACTATATTTTCAATGCAATACCATAAACTCCCTTCTGAATTCCCAATGCCCTGCTTCCTTCACTGCTCCATCAATGACCGCATGCAAAAGATTTCCTACGTATACAAGTTTAAGAAAAGCACACCCAGTTTTCTATTGTTTTAAAGACATTTGTGCTGCTGAAGATCGCGCTCAAGCTTTCTGGGGTTTCATTATATACTTTATCTTTCACATAACCATGCAGTGTAAACTACTCTGTGATTCACATTTTTTTTACAATGTTTGATATATTTTTGGACATCTAGGAAATCAAAATTCTAGCATACTTGTTTGTATAAACAGTTGTTAAGCCGGCTACTTTATATTAAAATAAATTAGCCATCAAGGCCGCAACCAAGATGGGTGCCACTCAAAACTTGTGTGTTATTTTCAAGGTCACGCCTCCTGATTTTATTCAGTTGCCTGGTCAACTGAAGCACTGCAAGTTTGAAGACAACCCTTCCAAATTTACTGGTTGCTCAATGGAGTTGAAAATATTTCATGACGGTCAACGTAGTCAATAGGATCGGCATCCATGAAGAGAGTAGAGCGAGATTCTCTGCTGTTGACTTTTATACATAAAACAACAAATTGATAATAAGGTGCAATCACGGAAAAGTGAAACTTAACTCTTCCATATGCACGTTGAATGTGTACTCACCTGAAAAATAATAACAAACGCCAACCGACCAGCCAGAATTATCCAATATGTCTTGGTGTACTGGTAGGGGTGATCAGACCAGGGTGGCTCTAGATAGTCCCTGAACCTGAAAAATATACCAATATTAATTTTAACAAAAAAACATTCCAATTCAATCACATTTCAACCGAGCATTCGTGGCAAAGTAAGCAATTCACTCTACTTTAATATTCACAGCAGAACTTAATAAGACAACACTTTGGCAACGTTAAAATTGTATATCTATTATAGCCCTTCCATTAAATGGTCTCTGCAACAGCATTAGGATTCATTTCGTTTCCCTTAAAGCTGGAATTACTTATACTATTCATCTGAAATAAGTAGGAATATATTGTGAATTGATAAAATAGGGTGTGAAGTATTTTATTGATGCAGCTTCTGTTTATACAATTTCCTCGACACGATGACAAGGAACGTGTACTTAAAACTCAAGATTATGTTCACGATGGATATTCCACATTCCTGTGGTGGATGCCAGTACCTCCGAAAGACAATAATTTTCTTCCCACAAAGTGGTACCATCTGTAGGCCACCGTCCGAGGGATAGGCCGAGCTGCACTTAGACTAGGATTTACATTCAGAAACCTCCGATTGTGACACGAGCATTTTTTTAGAGTGCCACCAAACGGGTAAATACATTTGGCATTAGCGTTTTAACACACTAGAATTTCGGCGGCCTAAGTGCTGTGGGGGGCTTCACGCCTCGCCTGTCGCCCCCACTTATGTCCTCTTCTCCCCCTCCCCCCCAATATGTGCAGATAATACTAACTATTGTATATAGGGTGTGTAGGCATATTTGCCTACGAAATAAAATTCTTTTTTTGGGTCGACAAATTTTGTAAACGTGTAGGATCAACTTTTTACCCCCACATCTGGAGATGCGGGTGGGGGAGAGGTTCACATTCTATAACTTTTTGATTCAGGCCTTCTGAAAGGCTTTTATAATTTAGTTGACAAATGGAACACCGTGATTTTATTATAAAAAGATGCTTTGCAATTGTGCAACACTGCTGTATTTGGAAAACCGTATTTGCAATCTGGCATATACAGTCTGCTCTACTATAACACGGTAGTTACCTTCTTGAAGAACACCGCATTATGGTAAAATCGCGTTGTAATAAATAATATACTAGCAGGAAGTACCTGGCGTTGCCCGGGGGGAAATATATTTAAAAACTTCTCTCAAAAACATAACATGTACATACACAAATACGAAGCTATTGTGAAAGCCCGGCGTTCCGTTTGTCCATATATCCATCAACACAATTATAAGAGGCTTTCAGAAGTCCTGAATCGAAAAGTAATATAAAGTGATCTAAAAGGTTTCCGAAAATTGTCGACCTCCTACCCCCCCCCCCCCCCCCGTCAAAAAATATTTTTACCCCCCCCTAGGCATATATACCGAAACACCATACATACAAAAGAGTAGTATCTCGTGACTCTATAGTAGTATCTGGCATTACTGTAGTATCTGGCTCTATAGTAGTATCTACTGACTCTGCAGTTGCATCTACTGACTGTACAGTATTTATCAACTGAGCATAGTAGTAGCTACTGACTGTATAGTAGTTACTGCTGACTGTAGTAGTAACTACTGACCGTAGCAGTATCTACTGATCCTACAGTAGCATCTACTGACCGTAGTAGTATCTACTGATCCTACAGTAGTATCTACCAACTCTATAGTAGTAACTACTAACTCTATAGTCGTATCTGCTAACTCTATAGTAGTATCTGCTGACTCTATAGCAGTATCTGCTGACTCTATAGTCGTATCTACTGACTCTGCAGCAGTCTATACTGAATGTAGTGGAATCTACTGACTGTAGTATTATCTACTGACTATAGTGGTATCTATTGACTCTACGGTAGTATCTACTGACTCTATAATAGTATCTTCCGACTCTATAGTCATATCTACCGACTCTTCAGTAGCATGTAATGACTATAGTAGTACCTACTGAATCTATAGTAGTATCTGTTGACTCCATAGTAGTATATACTGACTATAGTAGTAACTACTAACTCCATAGTAGTATCTGCTGACTCTATAGCAGTATCTGCATACTCTATAGCAGTATCTGCTGACTATAGCAGTATCTACTGACTATAGGCATATCTACCGACTCTGCAGCAGTATATACTGACTATAGTTGTATCTACTGACTGGAGTATTATCTACTGACTCTATAATAGTTTCTACCGACTCTACGGTAGTATCTACCGACTCTATGTAGTATCTACCGACTCTATAGTAGTAACTATTGACTATAGTAGTATCCACTGATTATACAGAGGTTTTTTTAAAAGATGGACCCAATTTAAAAGCTGTATATTTCACGATGGCAACATGTTACTACAAACGGTTTAATGAGTTATCAAATTTACTAGCCATTTTATAAATGCTCCATGTGCCCTCCACCTGCTGTACGGACATCAAGACGATAGTTGAATTCGTCCCAAACGCCTCTCTTCTCACATTTTCCTCTGAGGTGCGTGGTCGCCCTGTGCTCTTCCCCTTACATAAACATCCTGTTTCCTCAAATTGTCGGTACCAACGACGAATGCTCTTTGACATTGGCGGATCAATGCCAAAACGCCATTGAAATGCACGCTGCATTGCAATTATGGATTCGGAATTGCTGAACTGCAGAACGCCTTGTGTTGCGGGGTCACCATCTTGTGAATGACTGAGGCTAGGGGCTGTTCCTGCGCTGAGAGAGACATCTAGCAGTAATCATTTAAAACTCTATTCCCCGCCCTTTCAAGTGGTAAGAGTTTCATTCATAGGCGGTTCGTGGTTGCAGATATATAACGATTTCAAATCGGGTCCATAACTTTTAAACACCCTGTAGTACTAACTACGAACTCTACAGCAGTATCTACTGAATCAATAGCAGCATCTGACTGTAGTAGTATTTACTGCGATAGTAGTATCTACTGACAGTAGTATCTACTAAATCTACAGTAGTATCTACTGACTCTATAGGAGTATCTACTGAATGTAGTAGGATCTACTGACTGTAGTGTAGTGAGTCCAACTGAGTCGCAGACGTTATTCTTTAAAGGCAACACATTTATTGTAACACGTATATACAAAGAGGTAACTGCCCCTTTACCAGATAGAGTCTAGGGTGGTGACCCACCCAGCTAACTACACTATACGTAAGAGTTACAGCTACGAAGGGTCGGACCCTCACTAAGGTCACGGCCACGTGTTGATGCCTTGTAGGACGTAGAGCTTCCAGCTTGTCGACATGGAGCTTCCAGCTTGTAGAACGAAGAGACCCCGGTCCCTCTTAGGGACCCACCTTATATCCCCCCGGGTTGGGGTCTGCTCCATCCTCAGCCCAGCCCGCCTTCTTGAGCCTTCTAGCTCCCTCTTGATCCCTCTCGAAAGCTCTCCTTGGACACGTGATCACCCCCTAGCCCCCCCCCCCCCCCACCTGGGGCCTCCTCTGTGGACAATCCAGATCACGTGTCTACGGGGTCAACCAGAGTGCCATGGCCCGGGGCAACCTGTCCCTGGGCTGACACTCTCCCGCTCCCCCTAGTGGGAGCCCGCACTACACACTATGCGTGGTGCTTGCGCTATCCCAGCACTCACCAAGCGCCGCTAGGGCTGGTACTACCCCGACCTGGTGCTGTCCGCGACGTAAGTACATTGCATGCCACGGCCTTCCCGGGCCGGCACCAAAGAGTGACATCCCCGATGTTACGACAGTAGTATCTACTGACTGTAGCAGTATTTACTGACTGTAGTGGTATCTACTGACTGCAGTAGTATCTCCTCACTCAATAGTAGTATCTTCCGACTCTATAGTAGTATCAACCAACTCTACAGTAGTAAATACTGACTCTACAGTAGTATCTAATGACTAGAGTAGTATTTACTGAATCTATAGTTGTATCTATTGACTCTAAAGTAGTATCAACTGACAATAGTAGTAACTATTACCGTTAAAGTAGTGTCTGCTGACTATAGCAGTATCTGCTGACTCTATAGCAGTAGCTATTGACTCTATAGTCGTATCTACCGACTCTACAGTAGTATATACTGACTGTAGAATCTACTGACTATATAGTATATACTGACTATATAGTAGTATCCACTGACTATAGAAGTAACTAACTCTACAGTAGTATCTGCTGACTCCATAGTAGTATCTGCATACTCTATAGCAGTATCTGCTGATTATAGCAGTATCTACTGACTCTCTAGTCGTATATACTGACTCTGCAGGAGTATATACTGACAATAGTGGTATCTACTGACTGTAGTATTATCTACTGACTATAGTAGTATCTATCGACTCTACGGTAGTATCTACTGACTCTATAGTATCTTCCGACTCTATAGTCATATCTACCAACTCTTCAGTAGTATGTAATGACTATAGTAGTACCTACTGAATCTATAGTAGCATCTATTGACTCTATAGTAGTATCTACTGACTATAATAGTAACCACTAACTCTATAGTAGTATCTGCTGACTCCATAGCAGTATGTACTGACTCTATGGTAGCATCTACCGACTCTGCAGTACTACAGTGAGGGAAAAAAGTATTTGATCCCCTGCTGATTTTGTAAGTTTGCCCACTGACAAAGAAATGATCAGTCTATCATGGTAGGTTTATTTGAACAGTGAGAGACAGAATAACAACAAAATCCAGAAAAACGCATGTCAAAAATTTTATGAATTTATTTGCATTGTAATGAGGGAAATAAGTATTTGACCCCTCTGCAAAACATGACTTAGTACTTGGTGGCAAAACGCTTGTTGGCAATCACAGAGGTCAGACGTTTCTTGTAGTTGGCCACCAGGTTTGCACACATCTCAGGAGGGATTTTGTCCCACTCCTCTTTGCAGATCTTCTCCAAGTCATTAAGGTTTCGAGGCTGATGTTTGGCAACTCGAACCTTCAGCTCCCTCCACAGATTTTCTATGGGATTAAGGTCTGGAGACTGGCTAGGCCACTCCAGGACCTTAATGTGCTTCTTCTTGAGCCACACCTTTGTTGCCTTGGCCGTGTGTTTTGGGTCATTGTCATGCTGGAATACCCAT